AGGGTTGGATCATTAATCAACTGGATGTTGATAATGCTTTTTTACATGGACCTCTTGATCCTCATACTGACATCTTTATGGAGCAACCACCTGGGTTTGAGGTTCCATCTGCCCTTGGTTATGCTTGCAAGCTCAACAAGGCAATTTATGGCCTTAAACAGGCCTCTAAAACCTGGTTTGACAAATTACACACTGTTCTGGCTGCTTTGGGTTTTAAATCTTCTAGGGCTGATGCATCTTTGTTCATTAGACATTCTCCTGCTTGTCTCATCTACATCCTTGTTTATGTAGATGATATGATCATCACTGGTGATTCTCTCACTGAAATCAAGACAGTTATTCACTCTCTTTCTAATGAGTTTCCTCTCAAGGACTTGGGACAATTACACCACTTTCTTGGTATTGATGTTATTTATACTTCTCAGGGTATGCTGCTATCCCAGGAACATTATGCTCATCAATTGTTTACCAAGGCTAAGATGGTTGATTCCAAAGGAATTTCCAGTCCTATGCTATCTTCACCTGCCCTTTCCAAACATGAAGGCACACCCTTTTCTGATGGCACACTGTACAGGGCCCTTATAGGAAGTCTAAAAAAAATAACAATTAGTAGGCCAAATATCACCTTTGCAGTCAACAAGCTTAGTCAATTTATGCAATCTCCTTTGGACTTACACTGGAAAGCTATGAAGAGGCTACTGAGATACATCAATGGGACAATCTCCTTTGGTCTTTAGTTTTTGAAGTCGTCTCATCTTCATATTTTAGCTTTTTCAGACTCTGACTGGGCCTCAAGTCCTGATGACAGGAAATCCACATCTGGCCATTGTGTTTTTGTTGGTCAAAATTTAGTTTCTTGGAGCTCCAAGAAGCAGCACACAGTTTCTAGAAGTAGCACAGAGGCTGAGTACAGGAGTTTGGGCCATGCTTTTACAGAACTTCTCTAGATTAAAACTTTGTTGCATGAGCTTTGTCTTACTCCTATTCCTTCTCCCAATATCTAGGTTGATAATCTAGGTGCAATCTTCATGTCCTGTAATCCAGTTATTCAAGGAAGAACAAAACACATTGAAGTAGATTTGCATTTTATCCATGAAAAAGTTTTTATCAAATCGGTTTCAGTCCTTCATGTGCCGGCCTTAGATCAAAAAGCTGACATTCTTACAAAGCCTTTAAGTGGCCAATTCTTCCTTCGCATGAGAAACAAGTTAAATGTTGTCTCTCCACGCTCACTTGAATTGAGGGGGGATGTTAGCATGGTCTCTCCTTCCCATTATCCACGTCAGCATGAAAAGCATGAAGACCAAAATGAAGACTAAAAGTCTATACACCATGTCAGCATGTCATGCACCTAACATGCATGGTACATATTACACCTGCAGGAGCATGGGATTTTTATTGCTTTTGTTTGTTTCCTCATGTGGTAGTACAACCTTTTCTCTTTGTTTTGTACCTTTTCCTTGATTGATTATGCCTCGTTTAGGTCACCAAGATGTTAGTATATATTGATGTAAACTCTTTGTTGGTTGGTATGAAAAGTTGTCCACATTTTGCCCTTCTGAGCTAAGAACTCTAATTGGCAGAGCAATTTCTTTTCATCTCGAAAGATGGTGCTGTTCACTTCCAACACGGACACTCCACCAGGGCCGACCAAAACTTCACACCACGACCTGTCGCCGCTGCTGACGAATTCTAGATGCCGAGCTCACACTCTTTAAAGCCCTTCTCCACGAAAGCTGACCGTGCAAATTGGGCGATTTGGAAGGATTTTTTCTGCCGCAACCCTTTTGACCGTAACAGTGGCTAAGTAGGAAGGAATAAGGTCTTTTGTTGGGCCTACTAGCATAATCAGATTAAAGAGGGTTTGGGCCTGATAATAGAAATAGTGTAGGCTTATAAAACTATTTAAAGGGGAATAAAAGACCGGGGCCTGATAGCGAATGTATAGGTCTGTGAATTTAATTTGAAAGAAATGTAAAGGTGAGGACTAAAGGCCTTAGTAAATATTGTAATAGATAGAATAATAGGATTAGGTCAATAGTACCGACTGATAAGCGATCAAGATCTCGAGATCGAGGAGCTCGACAGGACCTGAGCAAAAGAGACAACCTCTACCCATGTGATAATATCCCTAGGCCTACACTCTGCACCGGCCCGAGGTAATTCTACTCTCAATTTCGTGTTAAATACATATATATATGTACATATACATGTGTATACATACACATAAATAATAATAATGACAGTAAGAATATGATAATAAAATAAATAATGGATATGCGTAAGTATATGTACATATATGTGAATAAAAATACATATCGAATCTTATTTCATGAAAGTCGAATCGAGACGGGAAGGATTAGGGAAGTTGGTCTGCTGCAAGCCTTCAGGATAGGCACGATTGTTCCTCTAGCACTTTTCAGTCTCGGAAGGTTGCGAGGCCTTTGAACAGGCCGACGTCCAAAAAGCCTGCCGTTGAGCTCTCGCTCCGGCCAGGCCGACGTCCATATCGCCCGCCGTTGAGTTTTTACTCCGGCCAGGCCGACGTCCATGTCGCCCGCCGTTGAGCTCTCGCTCCGGCCGGGCTGACGTCCATGTCGCCCGCCGTTGAGCTCTCGCTCCGGCCGGGCTGACGTCCATATCGCCCGCCGTTGAGCTCTCGCTCCGGCCAGGCCGACGTCCATATCGCCCGCTGTTGAGCTCTCGCTCCGGCCACACCCGTCGTTGAGCTCTCGCTCCGGCTAGGCCAACGTCCGTATCGCCCGCCGTTAAGCTCTCGCTCCGGCCAGGCCGACGTCCATATCGCCTGTCGTTGAGCTCTCGCTCCGGCCAGGCCGACGTCCATATCGCCCGCCGTTGAGCTCTCGCTCCGGCCAGGCCGACGTCCATGTCGCCCGCCGTTGAGCTCTCGCTCCGGCCAGGCCGACGTCCATGTCGTCCGCCGTTGAGCTCTCGCTCCGGCCAAAGCGGCATAACTAACGTAATAAGCAAATGCGGGCCGGGCTCAGTACGATGACCCGGCCGACGCAAGCCAGGCTCAACTAGGTAGCCCGGTCAAGCCAATAATACCACCGAGTCCGGACATGAGACCGGTCAGGTAAGCTGCCACGTAATTATGTGCAGGTCAGGCTCAGTACGTTGACCCGACCGGCACAAGCCGGGCTCGTTACGATGAGTTCGATCAGGCCAGAACCGCCGAGTTCGAACGCGAGACTGGTCAGGTTGCAGTTTGGGATATTCTTAGTATGCTTTGTGGTTGCAGTTTAATCTGATCTTCCACATCAGAAAAGAATTATTCCTGCTTGATTGCAAGAGTTTTTTTTATTCACCATTTCAAGTTGGTGATTTAATTTACACCTTCCGTATTTGCGCATCTGAGCCTAACACACGTGGCCGGTGATTCTTTTGCCATATAACCTTCCACCATGTAAGTGCTTGAAGGCTTCATTTTTCATTTTGTCAATGCTTATCTCCTGGAAATGATATGAATGTATTTATGGAGCCTCTCGTGGATGAATTGGAAGAATTATGGGATATTGGTATTGATACTTAAGATGCTTACACTGGAAAAAATTCAATCTTCGTGCGACATTGTTGTGGACCATAAATGACTTTCCTGCATATGCAATGGTATCAGGATGGAGCACAAAAGGTTATTTGGCATGTTCGATATGCAATAAAGAAACATGTAGTTTTTGGTTGAAAAATGGAAAAAAGGTATGTTACATGGACCATCATCATTTTTTGCCACATGATCATAAATGGCGAAATCTCAAAAGTGTTTTCGATGGTAAGAGAGAATTGATTAAAAAACCAATTCCTTTGACATGGGATGATGTTGTTGAGCAACTGAAATATGTTCAACCGGTGGCATTTGGAAAGACACAACCAAAGAAGAGAAAACGTGACGAGGAACTAAATTGGAATAAATCTAGCATTTTCTCTCATCTACCATATTGGAGAACTCTTTCACTCCGACATAACTTAGATGTTATGCATATAGAAAAAAATGTTTGTGATAATGTTCTTGGAACGTTATTAGACATTGATGGTAAGACGAAACATAATATTAAAGCTAGATTTGATTTGCAAAAATTGGGTATAAGACAACAGTTACATCTAAAACTCGTGGGAAAATCTTATCTGATGCCAGCTGCATGTTATACATTGTCCAAAGCTGAAAAAAAGAAAGTTGTGTGAATTTTTGGCTTCCGTGAAGTATCCAAATTCATATGCTGCAAGTTTATCAAAACGGGTTAACATACATGAATGTCGAGTGGCAGGTATGAAAACTCATGATTGCCACATTATCTTGCAAGAGCTGCTACCACTTTCAGTACGTGGGTTGTTAAACAATGATGTATGTGATGCTCTATATGATCTTAGTTGTATCTTCAAAAGAATGTGCTCAAAAGCGTTGAAGATGTCTGACTTGGAATGTCTAGAAGATCAAATCGCTTTGACCCTATGCAAGTCAGAAAGTGTTGGGTTCGCTATACTGTACAGATTAAAATCGCAACAAAAATTATACAATATAATTATCATTTATCAAATAAATACTTAATCCGTAAGTACATATAGCGAATAAAAGGATCGGCATCTTTTAAAATCACGTAAAAATACGAATTTTGATTTGTACATAATTTCGAAAATTACCTTTTGTTTTCTTTAAATAGCGACGACTGAGAGAAAATCAATTTCCGGTTATGTGGCTATCACCTTCTTCATATGTCTCACTATAAGGGATCCAAATGTCTCCCCTCTAATCATGTACACCATTTGGATTTCGACTCCGAGAACAATTTCTTTGCTAGTAGAAATTTTCTGGTATTCAATTGGTATAAGAATAAAAATGAGAGGAGAATTTTTTTTTTCTTTGAAGAAGCCGAGAGAAACTATTGCTCTCTTTCTTCAAAACTAATTTGGGAGAGCTTATCTTGTATATCTTCACGTATATCTCCTATGTACATATATATAATAGAAAAGATTTAATAATTATGATGGTGGTGATTGATAGTTGTTGGGGTGGCTCACCTAGCTCCCCAATTATCAATTTCATATTATTATTATTATTTATAAATAGCATTAGTGGTGGCCAATTGCCCCACTTCATTAAATGACATGTTCAAATACATGTGCATTAGTTGACCAAAAATTGGCAAATATCTTTTTTTATTTTAATCTTTAATCTTAATTAAAGATTAATAAAAAATAATGACAGATAATTTATGAAACTAACTTTCAAAATTAATTTGTCAAAATCTTATCTCCCATATAAATAAAATCTCCTTTCTCATGTAGGCTTTTAATATATAATCATATTAATATTTGGATTTGAAATTTTAAAGTCCAACTTTAAAATTCAACTATTAATTTAGTAATTCAAATAATTACTTAATTAATATCCAAAGCCTAATTAATCAATCCAATTGATTTATTTATTTTATTTCTTTAATTGACATCTAATCAAAATAATCAAATTATTTAATTAAGTCTTGTCAATTAATCTAACTATTGGAAATACTAATTTCAAAATGTCATCATCCAAAATTTGGTGTGACCCTTTTAGGTTCACGATTAACATTAGTAGTGAGTTTACAACTCGTTTGTAATTTAAATTATTCTAATTAATTTATATTCTTGAAATTAACTCCTTAATTTCAAGAACCCACAAATCATTGTAACACCTAGCAAATAGCATGATTATCTAGTGTTAAGTGAAATAGTGAGTAAACCTTTTCAATTGCAAGTGCATACATGTAAAATCCTTTCGACAACTAATTTCCTGATTAAATCTTGGGCATGGATTTATAAGTCGAAACCCAATTGATTTAATAACTATGATTCCGTTTCAAGGTTAGTGATTCCTTTATGAATCCATATTCATCCCGCCTTGGCCAAGGTCTTTGAATCACAAACTATGAAAAACATAGAAAATTCACTTATCCACATAAGTGTTGAATTCTTTGTTGGCCACAGATAAACCTCCATACACATTGATACAATACCCAAAATATCCATTTTATGATTGTCCAGCAATCAAAGGATAAATCAAAGTAAAGCACAACATGCACAAGATTACTATCGTGCCTCAAGTCATAGGATCAATCATGTACTATTGCAACATGAAAATTCTTATTCGATAGTTACAAACTTCCAGTTAAGAATTTTCATCGGGTCATGTTCAGTGAACTTGTTCTCCAACAAGCACCTGCATATATGCATTTGCGTCCACACACTAATGTTGATGGAATGCAACATTCTCATCCGATGAGCATACATTATATGCACAAGTCTTACCGGGTTATTCGATGTCCTGTCTCGAAATACCCATCGACTTGGAACTTATTTAAGATCACAACTTTAAAGACATGTTCCATGATTGCCATCAAATGCGCAACCATGTCTCATAGCTAATAATGATCTGACGACTTTATCATATGTGCAAATATAGGATAAATGCAAAACATAAGATAAATTTATGCCTCAAAATAATATAATTTCCAATAAATTGTCTTTAAAAGTAGAAATATATCCAATCAGATTGGAACGCCGGGTATTCTACTCTAACAGAAATGATATTTCCTCTAGCTTTCTTTGATATTATGGTTCATTTGCCTATCCATCTTCCACGAGAGGCAAAACTTGGAGGACCAGTACATTATCATTGGATGTATCCTAAGAAAGGTAAGAATAGTTATTTTTATTTTCTTATTTTTTTATAAATGCTTCATTAAATAAAAGTGCATTAAGTTATTTTTTACATATTTATTTCTCATTTCAGGTACTAGTATATATTGAAGCATTATGTTGGCAATAAAACTTTTCTAGAAGGATCAATGGCTGAGGGTTATATTATCGAAGAGTGTATGACTTTTTGCTCCATGTATTTGAATGACATCGAGACAAAATTCAGTAAAGCTGAAAGCAATTACGAAAACTTAAAAAAACAACCAGAGGGGAGCCTTTCAGTGTTTTCTGAAAACTCACGACTTCTCGGGAAAGGTGGATACAAGTTTCTTGAAGAAAATGAATGGAAACAAATGCACGCATATATTTTAAAGAATTGTGATGAAGTCTTTCCGTTTATCAGGTACTTATATGTAGTCAATTCTTTATTTATTTCATAAATATCAAGTTGAATACACTGAATCCTGGTGTTAAGTGTAAAAATAAAGGAATTTGAATAATATTACAGACTGATTTAGCATCTGGTGAAGAAATACCATCTGTTAATGAGAATTTGCGGAACTTGGCATATGGTCCCGATAAACGAGTTACTCATTATGAGGTTTGCATTGTGAATGGGCTGCAGTTTCACACTAGAAAGCACGAATTAATAGAAAAACTCAGAATTCTGGTGTGGTTGTAAGAGTAGATGAGGAATCAGGATTTTTAGATTACTATGGTGTGTTGACGGATATAATCCAACTGGATTACTTGGGAAACCATCAAGTGGCGACGTTTAAATGTGGTTGGTATGAGGGTAAATCAGTCCAAAAGGACAAATTTAACTGTACAAGCATTAACTCATCAAAGCCATGGAAGACCGATGAACCATTTGTGTTAGCATCCCAAGCACAACAAGTGTTCTATGTCGATGATACTAAACTAGGAAAGGATTGGAAAGTTGTAATTGAGGCACAAACAAGAAGCTCATGGAATGTTCTTGAGAAGCATGACGATGAATGCATAACTTTTGAAGAATCACGTCAAGAATGTGAATCACATAGTACACCTGCCATGTTTAGTTATCCTAGTGATTCTGTAGAATGGCATCGGACTGACATTCCATCAATTTGCTACATATCCACACGAAACATTTTTATTAATCGAGGCCAAATTGGGTATCAACAAGAGGCCCCCGACTTTATGACATGTTCTAAACATAACTGTTCTGAAGTCGCGTTTATAATCAATTTGGTTGTGACAAATAATGTATCGACGTTGGCCGGGTGCTTTGGGACCCATGGACGTTTTGTTGATCGTGTTCAGGCTTTGGCCTGATGTATTGACATTAACTGTGTTTTTTGTTCTGACGAATGGAGTCGATGGCGTAGATAATCATTTTTTTGGAATTGCTATATGAGTGGTGCCTGAGTGGCCTAGTCGGGTAATTTGGTACCCGTTTTTGCATTTTGTGTGCAATGTGAAGCGTGTGATTGATTTGCTTCGCTAATAATGATTTGTGTGGGCATTCGGTCCCCTGGAATTGTTAATGTATTCGCGATTTTGTCGTATTGGGAGGCGCAATATTTTTTTTTGATTGTTTTTCTTCGTAATGTGGACCTGGTCGGATAATTCAGTATCCGACCTTCGGTCTTATTTTTATTTAGTGATTACTTGGTTGGGTGTCTTGGTACCCGATTTTTTACTTGATGCTCATTGAATGAGTCTAATGTTTGGAAAGGCTCCGCTGTTTGGACGAGCTGAACTTTGGATAAAAGCCTATATTTGAGCCCTTTTGAACATTTAACGGCACTTTGACCTTTTAGTCTTTAAGGAATATGGTCATTCCAGCCGGTATAGTGTGTACCTTACCAGTGTGGGTCCAAACCCAGAAAAGAGTTCGGTTAACTTTTTCTGTTAATGTCAGGATGTATGTATGATGCGCGATGTGATGAATGTATGTATGAATGATACATCAATGAATGCGTGAATGTTGAATGAATTGAGGAATGTGTGGATGTATAATGAGCACGTGTAGTAAATGATTAATGCACGATAAATGATGTTGCCTCGATATTTTTTTGAAGGCCCCAGTAATTGCGAAGTAGGCGATAGTGGTCGAACTTCGGAGATCAAGTAATGGAGGGGTCGGCCTTGGTACGTTTTGAAAATTGAGGATGAATAGGTCGGTCTCGGCAGTGGATTGGAGACCCGACGGCTGAAATCGGAAGTGAGTACGTCGGGGATCGGAGACGACAAGGTCTGTTCCGGCCGGATTGTGCAGCTCGGTGGTCGGGTGGTTGAGAGGTCAGCGTGCCTGGTGGTCGGCCCTAGAAACGGCGAAATTGGCTCAGCTGCAAGTCGGTCTTCGGCAGTGATATGGAATTGAAGATGTCGAGGTCCCGACAAGGTGAGGTCGGCTGTTCTGAGGTCGGTCGGATTCGACATCGGGATCGGCTTTGTCGAGGTCGGCTCTTCGAGGTTGGCCATTGTGGCTGAGGTCGGCCAACGGCAAATCGGAGATCCCTAACTGCATTGTTGGCAGCTCGACAAAGGCGAGGTCAGCCGGGCCGTGTCACATAGCTCGGTAGTTGGTCTCAAAAAATCGGCCGGCAGTGTTTGTTATTGGAGAGGTTGAAGAGCGAAGTGGATTCTCTAACTTTGAGTGATGACCATGATATCAGAGAAGAATAAAGGTATGAACTGAATGGTTGAGTTTGACACTTGTATCTCCTGTCCATGGTCTTCAAGCAGATGAACAAGAGATGCTCGCCCCGGCAGAGGTTGGTTTTGAGTTCAGATATTCAGTTTTAACAAATGAGTTGCGGAGTCTTAGGCTCGAGTCGTTCGACTGCGTTTTGATCTCAGACTCACCTTGGGCCCTGATCATGTGAGGTCGCTTCAGTCTGTTGTAAGGGCGATGGTCAATTGGTCGGCCGACTGTGAAGAGTTCGGCCCCCGCGACCAGAATCGTGTTTCGGGGCGTGTCGAGGTGTTTCGAACTCAGCTATGCTGCTTGGTGATCGGCTGGCTTGATTCTCGAAAATGATGGCGACACCGCGCGACTATTTAGTCCACCGATATTCTCGGTTTCTTAATTGTGAACCGAAAATTTTCGCCGTTGCCGGAGCCTTTGCACCGCCCCTTTCCGCAATTTGTGATAAATCACTACTTTTCGGACTCAATTTTCTCGGAGGAGATGTATTAGTGACATCAAGATCAAGGATTTGTGAGGAGAGGGGTTACAAAACCTCATGTGAGAGAAGGATGAGAAATACAATTTTTTTTTCTAAGTGATAGGGGCGACATGGCCAATTTTTGGTCAAGAGAGAATAATGTTATCTCTCCACTTTGTCGTCTTCAGAGAAAGCATATGCAGAAAACTCTCTTTGCAGCGGGCATATTCATGAATATGAAGAACATAGTACTAAATACAAAGAAATTATCGTAAAATTATCAATAATCTTGCTTAACTCGAAGTGATCGTCTTTAGAGATGCGGCCGTTGTCTGGCGAAGATTAACCCGAGCAAATTACAGGCATTTTCTCTAGCGCTAAACTGTTGATACATGAAATTTGATCAACGTAACTGTCATTGTATATATTGAATTTATGTGCAATTGAATGAAAATTTGAGGAAAATTTTTACGTTTATCTTAAATATTTTGATGTAAATGTTTTTTAATTCAATATACGTGTAATACACGGATGTCGTAGTAGTGTTGGTTTATTTGTCAATTAGATGTTGTTAATTGTTATATCCCTTGTCATTGTTGTTTTGAAAATATTAATCTCGGGAAAATAATTATTTTATTTGAAAAATTAAATACAAAGGTAAGTGCATCCGGTTGCCTACGACTGCTGGTACTAATTTATATACAGAGATTTTCTTTCTCCGGCATTTTATTTTATTTCTTTTTTTATGAGTTTCTCTCTCTAACCACCACCACAGGTCCACAGTATCTTTGGGAGAGAAAGTTCCAGAACTACACAGCTCGGCGCCGCGCGGCCGATCTATACCGAGGTACTCTCTACCTTTCTGAATTCGCATCTTTTGTTGTACGTTAGGATGTTTAGATCTAAAAAGTAGTTCATTTTCGCTGTGTTTATGGTGAGCCTCGGGATAGTAGTTGCTTGCATATAGTTGATTTTTATGGCGGGCATGTTGAATCGAATAGTGGGAATGTGTATTTGGGGTTGACATCCTTAGATATGATTGGACCCATGGTTTTGTACCTGTGCTTGCTTGACATTTCATCTTGTTTTTGCTTGATTTAGCTTGAGAGTTTCTTTTTCGGTTGTTGTTGCTGGATTTTGTTAGCATTGTCACTGAGGCATGCAAAGAATTAATCGTTGTGCATTTTATTCCATGAATTGTATGGATCTTTAAATTTTTCATCTAAGTTCATTCATTTGGTTTTTGTGCTGATGCTATAATACCTCCAACTGTTTGCTTTTTGGCCTTTCGCTACCGTGAATTGCACGTTAGGATTTGTTTTGAAGTTCATTTGCTGGGAATTGTCTTCACGTACTTTTTATCTTAAATGTCTCCTCCTGCATTATTGCATTTGAACCTCGTGTGAGGAATTGCAATGACGGGTTGGTAATGGCTTACAACGAAACTGAGAAATTCTCACGATTTAACCTTCAATGCTTCAGGTTGCTACCTACCTTATCAAACAACGTTTTCTGACACATCTTTGAAACGTCCAAGTAAACATGAGTGTGGTCGGTTTCGATTTTGGAAATGAGAGCTGTGTGGTCGCTGTCGCAAGACAAAGAGGAATTGATGTCGTGCTTAATGATGAATCCAAACGCGAAACCCCCGCTCTCGTGTGCTTTGGCGACAAGCAGCGGTTTCTTGGAACTGCTGGAGCTGCTTCGAGCATGATGAACCCGAAGAACACAATATCCCAGATTAAGCGGCTGATCGGGCGGCAATTTTCAGATCCCGAACTTCAGCGTGATCTCAAGCTGCTGCCCTTCTTGGTGACTGAAGGGCCCGATGGATATCCCTTGATCCATGCTCAGTATCTGGGGGAAACCAAGACGTTCACGCCAACTCAGCTTCTGGGAATGGTGCTTTCCAATCTGAAGACCATTGCCGAAAAGAATTTAAATGCAGCGGTAGTCGATTGCAGTATCGGGATACCCGTTTATTTCACTGATCTTCAACGAAGGGCTGTAATAGATGCGGCAACGATCGCCGGCTTGCACCCTCTTCATCTCATTCATGAGACGACAGCTACTGCTTTAGCTTATGGTATCTATAAAACTGATTTACCTGAAAGCGAAGCAATGAATGTTGCGTTTGTAGACGTGGGGCATGCCAGCATGCAGGTGTGTGTTGCTGCCTTCAAGAAAGGTCGGCTGAAGATATTGGCACATTCATTTGACCGGTCCTTGGGCGGAAGGGATTTTGACGAGGTCCTTTTCAAGCATTTTGCTGCGAAATTCAAAGACGAATATAAGATTGACGTGTATCAGAATGCTAGGGCATGCCTGAGGCTGCGGGCCGCGTGTGAGAAACTGAAGAAGGTTCTCAGTGCAAATCCAGAAGCGCCCCTGAACATAGAGTGCTTGATGGACGAGAAGGATGTCCAGGGTTTTATCAAGAGAGATGAGTTTGAGCAGATTAGCATTCCCATCTTGGAACGTGTGAAGGGGCCGTTGGAGAAGGCTCTTGCTGAGGCCGATTTGACTACTGAGCACATACATTCGGTTGAAGTTGTTGGTTCAGGTTCTAGGGTTCCTGCTATTATCAAGATACTGACCGAGTTCTTTGGTAAGGAGCCTAGGCGGACAATGAATGCAAGTGAATGTGTTGCTAAAGGCAGTGCTTTACAGTGTGCTATTCTTAGTCCCACATTTAAAGTGAGGGAGTTTCAGGTATATATTTCTGTCAGTTCTGTTATTAGTGGCCATATTCAAGTGCTGTGTGCAAGTTCATAAAATATCAGGATAATAATTGGGTTGAGTTTCTTTTGTGTTAATTTTTTTTTTCCAGGTTAACGAGAGTTTTCCATTCCCCATTGCTATGTCATGGAAGAGTACTTCGCCTGATGCACAAAATGGGGTGGCAGATAATCAGCAAAGCACTATAGTATTCCCCAAGGGTAATCCAATACCTAGTGCGAAGGCTTTGACTTTCTACAGATCCGGCACCTTCAATGTAGATGTACAATATGCTGACACCAGCGAATTGCAGGCACCCGCTAAGATTAGTACTTACACAGTATGTGGTTGTGGATGCTGTTTATTTTTAATTGATTCCAAATGCAGCCTCAATCGTGCGTTATTTGTTGCGTTGATCTTATATCTTTCTGTTGGGTTGCAGATTGGACCTTTCCAGTCGACAATGGGTGAAAGGGCGAAATTGAAAGTCAAAGTCCGTCTGAATCTTCATGGCATTGTATCTATTGAATCAGCTATGGTAATATCTGATTGCTTATCTTGTCTTTCTTTTTTAATGTTTACTCTCTATGTTATTATATTCAAATTTAAATGCTTGTTTAAGTATCATGCAACTCCCTATGTTTTAAAAAAGAAATGTTTTTGGAAATCCAAGAGGAATTTTTAATTGCATATTTTCTTTGAATGATGAGTGTACTAATATTAATCGATTTAATATATCTTTTCGTAATATCATTTGATTGGATAGTCAATATCTCTCACTGGAATGTGAATCAATAACTAAAGTTAAACACATTTTATAGATTTAGAACGTAAAGGCATCTGCCTTTATATTTATGAAAAAAACCTAAGGTGACTACTAGAATAAAACTGAGGGAGTATTATTCTCTAGACTAAAACTTAAAGTGTAACTAGTTCAAGTACTTGCGTAAAAAAGAGTATTCACCTTTACACATACAAAGAAATTGTAGATTTGGTTTGTGGTTTTAACTTCTAATTATACTTGAATTGTTATTTTGGTACTATGGAAATGGTATTTTATGAGATATTTTTCTATTCACAGTTGCCGGAATAACACATCAATTTATCATTAATACATCATAACTGAGGCATGTTCTATCAGAAGTCATGATTTTTGTCGACCCTAGTTACTAGTTCTTGTAACTGTACCAGAAATTTGCATAAAAATCTGTTTACGATTTGTCCTCCATTTTCCCCTACCTCTTATTCTAACTGGTGAATTGTGAATCAGCTCTTGGAAGAGGAGGTAGAGGTTCCAGTGGTAAAAGAGCCAGCGAAGGAGGCTACAAAGATGGAGACAGATGAGGCTCCTTCTGCTCCTCCGAACGCTGCTGAAACTGATGTTAATATGCAAGATACTAAAATGGATGGTGCTGGAGACAATAATGGCGTTCCTGAATCTGGTGACAAATCAGCTCAGATGGAAACAGATGTCAAGGTTAGCTTAATAGTACAGATGTAGTGCTAAAGAGTTTTATATACGCATGTTTCTCCTCTATTTCTACTTTCTATCAAGCAGCAGAACATATAATTTCTCTGCCCTCCTTTTATTTGTACTAATTTTGATAAGATGTTTTACCATTCAATTCTGGTTGTTTGCGTGGCTTCACACTTGAAAATGGGCTAAGGGTGCTTCTGGGAATGCTTATATTTTCATTTTTGTTTTCTTGGTTAGAGATTAGTTCTCTTTATTTCTTTATTAATTTGGCAAATTTATAAAATATGCTCAGTAAATTAGGGTAGATGACAAACTTATCCAGTAACTTCTGCGATTATAGAAAATGGCCAGTAAATACTGAAAATCAAGCACAGTATGGTAATGTTGTGAAGTTAAATTGGGGTAGATGACAAATTAATACAATTACTTCTGTGATTATAGAAACTGTGCACTAATTTGCAATTTTACCTATCAATCTTTTATAGTGAGTGAATTTGAGGTGAAATACAAATGTAGTTTCAAGTTGTTTTTCAGGAAAAGAGAATAAAATAAAGATAACGTTGGGTAGTTAGAAAATAAGGTGGGGAATGAATAGAAAAATTTATCAAATAATCTGTAGTCATTGTTTTTAAGATTTATTTCTGAAATATTGGTTGAAACCAATGGCAGGGGAAAAAAGTGGAGACAAATTTACTTTGTTAATATAAACATACATATATATGTATGTCTGTGTGTGTGTGTGTGTGTGTGTGTCTGTGTAAGAACTCAATTCAGAATGCAAAGCATATCAATTGCAACTCACCCTTAATATGTATCCTCTTCATACTAGAATCTGGATGTATTATTCCCCAAGGGTTTTCACACCAAGTTTTCTGTTCTGTGTTCATCAGGTTGAAGCTCCAAAGAAAAAGGTTAAGAAAACCAATGTACCTGTCTCGGAGATTATATATGGTGGGTTGTCAGCTGCAGATGTGCAAAAAGCTGTCGAGAAGGAATTTGAAATGGCTTTGCAGGATCGGGTTATGGAGGAGACCAAGGACAAGAAGAATGCCGTTGAGGCTTATGTTTATGACATGCGGAACAAGGTATGCATGAGTTTCGATGGCTTTGCAGATAGTATCTTTTAACTCTTTTGAGACTCACACTTTCTCTGTCTGCAGCTTCATGACAAGTATCATGAGTTTGTAACCGATACAGAAAGAGATCAACTTATTGCCAGACTGCAGGAGGTGGAAGATTGGTTGTACGAGGATGGTGAAGATGAAACGAAAGGTGTCTATATTGCTAAGCTGGATGAGCTCAAAAAGGTGATTGTTCTGTTTTTGGCTTTCCGCCTTTACGTTCGTTTCCTAGTTTTAAGTGATTGTCACAAAAATTTCTTCTTAGGTTTGGTTTTCCTCAATTGTCAATTACATTACCTCAACTATCCTCGAAAAGTTTCTTTCCCGCCTTTATTTTCTCTCTTTTTTTTTCACAATTTTTTAAATACCATGCATTTTTTTAATAATAATTTGTTTTTTAAGACGACTATTTAATTTGCTTTGGCATTATATATAATATGTATAGCAAGGTGACCCTATAGAGGAGAGGTACAAGGAGCATACTGAGAGAGGAGCAGTCATTGACCAACTCACCTATTGCATAAACAGTTACAGAGAAGCTGCTGTGTCGAGTGATCCCAAGTTCGATCACATTGATCTTGCAGAGAAGCAGAAGGTATATATTACTTGAGCCCTAATAATTAATCTCTTTTTAGGAAATTCGTACTTGGGTTGGTTTATTCTATTTCTATGTGATCTTCAAGTCATTTGTGGTTCACTCTGTTCAGGTCCTGAACGAATGCGTAGAAGCTGAAGCTTGGCTGAGGGAGAAAAGGCAGCACCAGGATACCCTCCCCAAGCATGCCACACCAATTCTTTTGTCTGCCGACATTAGGAAAAAAGCCGAAGCTCTCGACAGGTAAACAGTTGATTTTGTATGCCAGTTTAATTGAGGGGTTTATATTATGGCATCTGTGTTGTTTTATGTACTTTATACTAACCGAGCATGTGAAGCCAAAACTGATGGATGCAAGGATGATTTTGTGCTGGTGAAAATATTAATTAGCTGCTGAGACGTTATTGTAAACCTTAATCCTTATTCTAACGGATAATTAAAAAAGCTAATCCGAGGTTGTAGTCTTCATTACCAGTTTCCCACAAAGCCCAGTTTTATTAAGAGCATGTTTGTTTATAGAAATTTTCAAAAAATTTCCAACCATTTTAACTCAACCGCTTTTTTTTTAACTCAACTTTAATTCAACTCCACTATCATCAATATTATCAATATAATTAAATAATATCAATCAATCATTCATACACACCACATCAACTTTAATTCACTATTCATCCACTCACATTATTTTAACTAACCATCACTTCAAATCATCTCTCCTACTTTTACATTAAATCAATTTTAATCATTTTATTTTAAATATTATTTTAATATACCACTAAAAACTAACCATACAACCTTTTTCAAAATGAACCAAACTAAACCAAAAAATCCAAACAAAACCAAAAAAAATTCTACAAACAAAAACTTTGCTATAATATACCCTTTGAAGTATCAACCACCCTTTTCGGAGATTACAACTTGGAATAGTTGAAAGAATTGTTTATTTGTGATTTTTTTAATGTTGTTTGGGTAATTCCGCAACACATGGGAGTATCCATCAACAAATGTGGATTTTTTTTATTTATTATTTTTTGCTTGATTAGTCAAAACTTGGGGGTAGTTTTTGAATTTCGACTCTAGTTGTAATCAGCTGTAAGATGATTTTTTCAAGTTTTCTCGATCTAAGATAAGCTATATATGCCTCCACAGGTTTTGCAGGCCAATCATGACGAAACCAAAGCCCGCGAAGCCAGCCACTCCCGAGCCACCAGCCCAAAGTGGAGAGGCCCATTCGCAAGGGACAGAAAATGCCAGCCCAGAAGACAATGCTGCAGGATCTGAAAACCAAGCACCACCAGCTGAGGTGGAGCCCATGGAGACAGACAAACCCCAGACAACTCAGACTTAGTAACGAGTTTGCGAATGATCAATATTTGTGGCGATATAAGGAAATGTTTGGTTTACTTTAATGTCGTGGAGATTTGAAGTCAGGGACTTAATTTTTATGGGCTGTGTGCTTCTCATGAGATGCTTGTGGATGTGTTGGTTTTGGACTTAGTTCCATAATATATAAATATATAGGCGGTTTTTGTGCCCTTTTTCCTTTTTTTTTTCTCTCTCTCTCTCTCTCTCTCTCTCTCCCAGGGAAGGTTTTGTAAGGAGTAGGGTGATTCACTTGATCCTCATTTCTGAATGTTTGTTTTGTTCATGCACCTCCTTTGGTGTAGGGATGGATTATGGGTATTGGATGGTCGTTTTTTATTTGTGTGAATCTTTTTTGCACCCAGATATTTCTGAAAAGTATTTCTTCAATGGAACTTAAGTTTTGTCGTAGGCCAGTAGTGATAATGTGATATCCATATAGTATAGGGCTTGACCAAGTAAATTGGTAAGATTTGAATTATTTTCAACTCTATTTAGTGTTTACTTGTCTATCAATGAAAAACGAAATTCACATTTGCACTACAAGTTATCATTTTTTGTTTTCAAGTATTAAAGTATATATAAATTTGTGACAAAAGTATATTTGCTTAATGGTTAAGAAAAAACCTACTAAAAATATACATATTGCGCACTCAATTTTTAGTTTCTCCAATATGATTGTTTTTAGTTTCTCCAATAAGATTATCTATTAACGATTGTCTTGCTTTATACTATCTTTATCAGTAACTCAACTCAATTTAATAATTAAAAATTATTTCTCTTCACTTCACCTACAACCCAATCTTACAATCCTTATATTAGTGACCCAACACAATTTAAAATATTTATTTCACTTTTATTTATTTATTAAATATTATAATTTTTGTTATTTTTTTAGTTGCGACACATTAATAAAAAAACTATAATTAATGTTGTAACGAAATTCAAAAATTAATATTTTTATCAAAAATTAAAAGAATGAACACTATTAAAAATTAAAATTACAAAAATTAAAATAAAATAATAAAATTAATTAAACAAGTTAGAGTAATATATTCCGTCACACCCCAACTAACTTTTTTGTAAGATTTGTACGTGTTTATTGCACATTTTCAAATAAATTCTGGTAGATGTTTTGTGAGTTTTGGGCATCTCCAATGTAGGAAATTGAGTAAAATTAAGATAAAATGGCTCATGAGAAAAAAAAATAAATTAGAAAAGATTTAGAGTTTGACAAAATTTGAGAGTTGAAATAATATTCAAAATTTGGATCATATGTGATAACGCAAAACACTCCGACTGGCTTGAATCGGTTCACCTTCCTCTTCTTCACCGGTAGAACGCCGCGCACCTGCACAGAACTCCTGCACAGAACTCTCACACCGGAGGGGTTTTCCGGTGAAGAGCCTCCGATGCTTAAGTCAGTATATGTTTGTTCAATTTTTCAAAGTAAAGAATGGATAAATCGTCTGTCTCACAAGAAAAGACCCACTCCTATATATATAGGAGTGAGATACCTGCCCTAGGAGCTGCCCGGATTTTGGTGAGCTGTCTTACCCGCACTGCCCGTCCGTACACACACAGTGTGCGTGTGTCAGAGATGTCAGAGGTGGTTATCGCCACTATTGCTCTGCACCAATGCACTCTCGCCACGTGTTCCTCTGAGTGGAGGGAGATTATTCTTCTGCGCTTGCCGTTAGAATCTTCTAACGCCACCCACGCTCGCGTTCAAGCCACGCTCTCGACTGCTCTTCACCTGTTGGGTGCTCGATCTGATCGAGGCCCCCATCGCTAGGTCGATCCTCGACCAGTTCTGCTATTCTGCTCGATCTCTTCTCTTTTGGTCGATCATCCGTTGACCAATGCGGTTTTCTCTACTTCGAGCTTGCCCGACCGATGTGGTAGACCGGTCTATTCTTTAGTTATATTATATCCCATATCAATATGATATTTGTTGGAAATTAGAAAAAAGGAAATAAATGATCAAATAAATAAAGTAATACTTTTTTAGACCGTGAAAATAGGGAAATTGCAATTGTATTCCAAAATATATTAAGTGTGGTCTCTATTTATAGAGAATCGAAACATACGAATTTTTGTAGTATTTTTCAAATTTTAATATAAATTAACATCAATTATTATCCTTTAAAAATTACTTATTAATATCTTATCTAAAAAATCATGACAACTAATCGGAATGAGAGAAGTGTCCCATTCCCACTTAGGGCATCTACATTCCTCCGTTCAGTTGACATTTAAATGGCAAATGATTTTAGTAATATCAATGCAAGCATCCATTTAATGGTGGGACCACTACTGTCATTTAAAGGATTGAACAACCATTTGATGAAGTGAAAGAGGCTCTCTAAGTTATTACTCCCTCCTTTTTATTATAAACATCGTTCTGTACTTCTGCACAGGGATTAAGAATTCTTTCTTTTGCCAATATTACCCTTATTTAATGAAAATTAACATTAATTAATTATTTTGATTTCAGCTTTATTATGTTTTTTTAAGGAAGAAAAACTCCTCATCTTCCTCATCGTTCCTTCACAAAATACACAGCCTCACCAAAACTTTTTCTTTTGAAGCCAAAATTTCAACAAGGAGGTAAAATCAAATTCACATTCAACATTTCAAAGTTTGTGAAGCAACACCTACAAATGTCTATAAATATTGATGATTTAGTTAAACCTCATATCATAAATAAAGATTTCCAATGGCTTCAAACATTCCGATCGATTTGAACGGACCTCCTTACGACGTAGAAGATGCAGCCCTGAGATCCTCACAGAACATTATAATTGACCGAAATGTCGACGATAGCCTAGAAATTGGATACCCTGTTATCGAGCTCGACTTAAATCAATTTTTTGAAGATGATAACGAAGCTAGGTCCGATTCATCTGTGGAAGAGGATGTTGGCCAGCAAGCTAATGGTGGAGAAGGAAATACAGACATAGAAGGGGTAGTTCAAGGGCACGTAATATCGAGTGGACAAGAGATTTTCAATGAGTTTGACGACGTCAATGGTGAAGCAGTGGAAACAAGATAAGGTGAGTTATTTTACAAAAAAATAAAATCTTAGAAAAATGTTCTTTTATACATAGCTATACTTGTTGCCTGTATGTTTAGAGAGAGAAATTTGTTCTTTTATTTTTTTAATTTATCTTGAAGGGTCCTAGACGATATATGATTTTTTAATATCTTGATTAATTTTCAGCAATATTATAGATTTCCATCTTTTAGCAGTTGATTAATGTTGTTTTAATTTTGTTCTGTAGTTCTTGATGTAATGACTCTTTTTATGACCAATGTGGAAATTATTGGATGCCAAACATATGAATTCTTCACCACTGTTTGTGAGTAACCTTAGATTGATGTTTAGTTTTAAGGGATTTTGGTAATATCTTGCTTCAAGACTTCACTTTTGTTTTTTTCTTTTTCACTTTGACATGCATGAAATACTATTAATTGAGTAAATTATTCACTTCTTTGTGAAGAAACAAAGGGAATGGTAAAAGCCATTTCTTTGTATATTGAAATTTTGATTGCATGTGGTGATACATACATACATGGGATCTCTTGGGATTTGAAAAATTTTGTTGAAAAAATCATTTCTTTTTTAGGTGTTGGTTTTTGTTCTTTTTTAATCCATGTGATGAAAAAAAATCTTGTTAAGAAATTGCTTTTTGGGATTTTTTATTTCACCTTGGCTCGCACTTCAATTGAAGTGTTTTGTTTTGTATGTTATTTCTTCAAATTGCTTGGTTCTCTATGTTAAATTTGGTTACCTCTATTTTGATAGGAATTGTTCAAGGGAGAAAGAAAAGGACCCTAACTAACGCTGAACGTTGGGCAGTTTACTATGCTTTGTTGGAGAAAAGTGTAAATGGTAAATTGAAAAAGAACACAACAAAAGAAGTGAAAGATATGTTCAATATTGAGGAGCTGCGAACAGTTCAAAGAATATGGCAAATTCACAAGAGAACTCCACCAGGCTCAGATGTGGATGTTTCATCAAGAAAGGCACGAAACTGTGGTCGTAAACGAATTGAGGTGGATTTACATAGAATTCAACAGATAGAATGGCATCAACGAACAACACTTACATTTTTTTCTAATGCTTTAGGAGTTAATTGTTCCAAATTGTATAGCCTTTTTAAGCGAGGCGTTCTATGTCGTCACTCAAGTGCCATCAAACCACATTTGAAAGACGAAAACAAAACATCACGACTAGAGTTCTGTTTATAGATGCTTGATGAAAGCACAACGTCGAACGAGCCAAAGTTTAAGGAGATGTATAACTTTGTGGACATCGACGAGAAATGGTTTTACATGACAAACAAGGAGCAAACATATTACCTGCTCGACAATGAAGAAGATCCTCACCGTTCATGCCAAAGTAAAAATAACATTGCAAAAGTCATGTTTCTAGCAGCCACGGCTCATCCTAGATTTGATGGTGAAGGAAGGGTGGTATTTTCGGGCAAAGTCGGATGTTGGGCGTTTGTGACAGAGCAACTAGCCCAAAGAAAAAGCAGGAACAGGCAAGCTGGCATGATGGAGGTGAAGGCTATCATATCTATTAAAAGAGGGAATGTGAAAGTGTTTTTTATTGAAAAGGTTATCCCAGCTATTATTGAGAAATGGCCTAGCTCTGGAGAAACTATTTATGTCCAACAAGACAATGCTAGGACACACGTCCCTCCTAATGACCTGATTTTGTAGCTGCAGCTTCACAAAATGGCTTTGACATTCGATTATTTGCCAACCCCCTAATTTTCCAGATTTGAATATACTTGACCTTGGGTATTTTAGGGCTATACAATTTCTACAACAAAAAATGTGCGCAAGGAATATCCATGAGCTTGTAAGTGCGGTAGAGAATGCATTCTCTGACTATTCACCCATCAAGCTCAATTGTGTGTGGCTGACATTGCAATTATGTATGAAAGAGATCATGAAATTAGGAGGGGAAAATCGATATAAAATCCCTCACATCAACAAAAAATGACTTAAAGACTAGGTGAACTTCCTATACAAATTTCACGTGCGTCTACCTTAGTGCAAGCGACTAGAGACTTGTTAGCAGCACAACTAGGTAAATCTATATATTAACATTAGCTCCTCGCCTTCATATATTCACTATTATTGATAAGATTTTCATTTTCTTGTAGGTAACCGTTCGATTGGAGGTGGATTGGAAGAGCTTTAGTTGTGTTTGGTATTTAAAAACTGTAATTTTCTTTGAGGATGTTCAGCTTTGGGCAGTTTCTTTGGCCATAGTATGGTGATGCTTGTTGTTATTGTCAGTTGTGATGATAATTGAATTCTTGTTGTTATTGTGAGTTGTGAGCTTTAGTTGTCTTTGATTCTTGTTTTTTGAGGATGTATGGCGAATCAAATGGCAAGAAATTTATATATTCCATATTATGTACAAAGATGGCGAATGGAAGGCATCGTTTCCAAATATCTTCCCGGCCTAATAGTGAATACATCAGCTTTCCCGCTCACAACAAAACCCAGCTTTGATTTAATTATTCTAAAGAGCTGTAATCTTAATTGCAGAAACCTTATTTTAACAAACAACTTCCTGAATTAAGCATATGTACTGGAAATTAGAAATAGGACTTGAGACAATGAAGATAAATTTATTTTTTCAATTGAGCTTAGTATATACTTTCATGTTTCATGCTTAAAAACAGTGGACAAACGAAAATCAAGAAAAATGTCTTAATCAACACAAATGAGGGTCCAGCTAAAAACTCCAGCAACTTTACTATGGGCCAATTAGACTTTCTAATAGAGAAAAAAAAATCATTGATTTTTCTGTGGAGCACTAACTGTCACTGCATGCTAACATGGTACTGATATTCAATTTTAATGAAAAAACAAAGAGATANTCACTGTCACTGCATGCTAACATGGTACTGATCTTCAATTTTAATGAAAAAACAAAGAGATATTGATCTACAAATAAAATAAAATAAAAAAAACAAAGAGATCATATTCTCATTAATGAATTTCATTTTCATCGTTAAACAATCACTCTCCAAAAATCCACCAGCCAAGTGTATCGATCTAGGCCATAATTCATCTCATTATGAAAATCATAAGACCTCAAAGTATACGAGCCCCCTAAAATATTAGTTGTTTCTAGAAAAGATATAGGGTCAACAAAAATAATTCTTGTGGATACTTTGAAGCAAAGGGAACTATCTGACATATTCATCGCAACATAATTCACGCACAACCAAGTAGTTCACTCACAAGAGAACTTCTCTTGGTAAAACAGTCGCAGGGTTTGTTAATCCCAACAATAGGAAATAGCATATGATTGTCGATATAATACAGTGGGGAAAAGACCTAAACAACAAACGGGCTCTCCATGCAAGGACCGAGTTACACATCACAGCTTCAACGTGCTTCATATTGAACAACGATACAAATTGAAAATAATGTATATAGCTGTTAGAAGAAGTTTCACTTTCACAATCGTCTAAACTCACCAAGCCAATAATATTCTTTGAATTACTAAACATGAAACTTTTTCCATCATGATTATATGCAGTGAGAAGAAGTGGCGATAGGAGAAATTTGTGCTCCTTGACATTCAATAATATTTAAGTGATGGTAGCAAGATTTTTACATAACTCTCAAGTGTTTTGGGTAATTACATAAGAAAAAAAAAAGCAGCTGAGATTATCTCATCCACCGTGTTCAATCTCACTTAAACAACAATGCAATAATTCTTCTATTTTCTCTTTCTATACCCCTCTGAGCAAACAGAAAAGTAAGGAACAACAAATTATGAAATAATATCAATCTAAGTATCAAAACTGAAGTCAATAATAACAATACAAAAGTATACAACGAAACAAGCGTGCCATTAATGATGAAAATCAACCTGAAGATAAAAATATAAACTAACAGCACGAGTACAATTCACTCCTCCCAATTTTTAGAAAAAAAAAGGTGTTGTCACAATAACAATAGATTACTCGAGCAAAAAAACATAGACGAACAAGACACTCCGATCAAAGCAAATCTGTCACGTTAGCCGAGAGCTTTTCGGTAAACAGACTTGGCACAAAAATCTTCAACATCTCGTTCACGACTTCATCATTTGGGCGAGAAATTGCTTCACCAACAACAACAGGCTTCTCCTCAACTATTGTGGTGGTTTTACCTTCTGAAAAACTAGTTCCATCTGCAAAGTGATTGGGGTGAGAACATTGATGAACATCATCTTCAACATCCGAATCAGACACATACATCTTAAATGACTCTGTCGAATCATTAATTTGCAAAGCGATTGAATGGGCATCATCTAAACTTGCCTTGGTCTTCTCCAATAGTTGAAGGAATTCATCCACAAGAAGTATTCGAGATTGAACAAATTTAGCAAAGTGAATTTCTGGATTCGATTTTGAAGAATCATAACCTTTCGAATCCATAAATCAATGGAACAATGAAAAATAAATAGGAGAACAATGGAAAAGAAAAAAATAAAGAGGAGAACAATGGAACCAGAATCAAAGGCTTAGAAAAAATTTGAATTAAAAGAGGTACACACAAATTGTGGAAGATGGATTGGAAAAGAATATAAAGATATAAAGTGAGATAAAAATTATTGATAGCCATGGGAATAGAGATTATGTTCCTGGAAAAGATGAAGATGGGATATGAAGAGACGTGTAATATGGAGAGATATATAGGGATGGGATATGGAGAGACGTTTAATATGAAGATATATATATATATATATGGGGGTAAAAAAAGAAAAATGTAAATAAAAAGATCTAAAACGCCATGTATTTAACTAATGATTTTGTAACGCAGAACGACATCTATAAAAAACAGGAGGGAGTATAATATAAACAAATAATATTTTATTGTTGTAATTAATGAATTAATGGATCATTGGTCCCACTTGTATTTGTTTTTAAATGTTCAACTAATGTGGAGATGATGTATAAATGAATGAAATTTATAAAATGATGATGTGAATATGATGTGGATAAAAGGGATTGTGATTTTTATTTAAATAAATAATAACGAACGCGTATGCCCTTACAACCTAAGTCACAACCCAAAGTCGAATTGTGACTTGAATCGTGCAACTTTGTGATTTTTTATTTTTTATTTTTTTTGTCTTTTAGCTTGTGACTCGGGAATTGGGTGATAGTCTCATAGATAAAGAAAGTCTCACAACTCTTTATTATACAGATAATACATTTTTTTAAATAGAACTAAATTACAAAAAAAATTATCATGCAGTAAAACCGTGACACGATTATGCAAAGCATATTATTGTCGTAAAATTTTATATTGCTAGAAAAATTAAAAGAAAAAATGAATAAAACCAAATAAGATTTATTAGCAAAACAAGAGAAATACCTAGCTCCTAAACTATATTCTTCTTTAGTATGTTTGAAATTGAATGTTTGCCTAATGAAAGAAAAATGCTCTGAAACAAAATAATAGACTATATGTTAATTAGTGATGGAGTATCGGATGAAAAATAAAATTGAGGTTTAAAAATGTAAAAAAAAAAAAAATGAGATACGATTTGTAGAATTTTATAAGTTGTTCATCTAAAATCAATGATCCAAAAAAGCGTTGGTCCATTAATCGGTAAAAAAAAACCATTGACATTATAAATTATGTAAGAGTAAGACGAGTTGTCTTGCCCTTTGGAAATCCAATAGTTAAATTTTCATCAATTGTCCAAAGGTGTCATAGTTTATTATATTTTTTAATTTATTTAATGACATTTATTTATTTTTATTTTATTTTATTTTATCTATTTATTTTGTTTAAGGAAATCCATTAATTGATTTATACAAGTTCTATCATTTTGGAAATATGATTTCTTGGTGAGACAACCAAACCATAGGTGAATTGACCATCATAACATGAACTAAAATTATACAGTCAGATATTATACTTATATATTTTTTTTTATAAAGAAAAAATATGATATTTTATAGTTAAAGCATACACATTCGTTGTACATCGGCCACTAGAGCTACCATTCTAGAAAATCCTCCCTGCCCACTCTCTTTGTTAACCAATTTCTAGTTACAATTTATTCCAAATTGACAAACTATTGAACATATTTTTTTATTGATTACATAATTTTTTAACCCAGACTGGTCCGGCGGGTCGACTCGGGACCTGGAGTCAGAACCGGTCTGGGTGGGCTATTCGGACCGGACAACAAAGGATCCAATCAAATCCGATCAAAACCCGACAAACCCGGTCGACCCAGGCCATTGACCCGGATGGGTCGACCCGGTTGACTCGACTCCTATATATATATATATATATATATTTTTAAATATTTTTTGTTTTTAAAAAATAAAATATATATATTTATATGACAAATATTTATCATGAAATACATATTTTAACACTTTAATGCACAAATTTTATATAATAAACATTTAATGTTGCTACTTTTATGTATATGACAAAATACTCTATATATAATTTTAAGAATTTTAAAATTAAATATCTGGTTCAACAATTGACCCGGTGACCCGACGAGCTCGTAACCCAGTGACCCGGAGGTCTGCCCGGACCGAGTTTAAATACTATGTTTGGTTTGGTTTTAAAAAAATGATAGGTTTGTATTTCGTGATTTACCAACATTGATTTTGATTTTAGCAAATTATCATGTTCATATAGATTACGAGACATTTGTCAAGTTTCGATTGAATATAATATACTTTTTTTTTTTGAAAAAATTAAAGGTGCTAGAAAAGTGAAAAAAAAAAATGTTATTGAAAAACTTGTCATAAAATAAAATCTATAATAACTAAAATTTATGTAATACAAAAGTAATAAAACATTAATGAATAAAATTATTAATTTTAAGAAAAAAATATATTGGTAAAAATTAAATAAAAAATTTTCTCCAATGAGAAATGGACAAGGAAAACCATATGGGCCCGAGTTTAGTACAAGCCCAATAAGGTTTTATCATGTTGGGTTCGTCCATTTATAAATTAATAGCTCCACGCAAATCGTTTTAGCCTCACAATTAGGGTTTGGAAGCTTGAGCACCCCTCGAATCCAGCAGCAAGCCAAGCCTCCGTCTCCTACAATGGTGCTTTCTTTTTGCCTTTATACCTGGTTCCTTTGCTTTTATACTCTCTATAGGCCATTTTCATTTGTCGGGATACATTTTTAGCTTAAGGTTTGATTAATAAGTCAGTTTAGATTTTGTGATTGATTTAGTTGTAAAGAAGCTGATATCCAATGATAGCTTTGAATGAACTCAAATTTTGATATTTAAAATGAAATTACTGTAGAATTGTAATGATTGTATTTGTTTTGGCTGTGTAATTCGAATATGAAATGTAAATGCAATTTGTGATTTGTTCTACTTGTCATTTGATTTGAGCAATGTTATGAGTATCTTTAAAACTGTACGTTCTGTCCTTTCTGGTGATGGGTTTAAGATTTGTTTTGAAGTGAGAGACAATGTTATGTGTTTTCAGTCTACTTAAATTGAACATAAGAGTATCATTTGTGTTCCGAGGGTTACAATTTGGGTTTTGCTGATCTACACTTGTGGGGATTTTTTTTTGTGTGTGTGTGTGTGTATGTGTGTGTAATCAATGTGGGAGTAACAATATATTCGATTGTTATTGATATGGGAAAATTTTATAATTTCAGTTGATCTTGTAAAATTAGTTTCTTGATGGGTTTTTGTTTATGTCGCTTATATGCAGGCAAAGCAAATTCACGAGATTAAGGACTTCCTGCTGACAGCTAGGAGGAAGGATGCTCAATCTGTGAAGATCAAGAGGAGCAAAGATGTTGTTAAGTTCAAGGTTAGATGCTCAAAGTATCTATACACTCTTTGTGTCTTTGACCCTGAGAAGGCTGACAAGTTGAAGCAATCCCTTCCGCCAGGTCTGTTCTACTTAGAGCACCACTTATTCATAATGTCTTTATTTGTCTGCCATTATTAATCACAACACACCCTTGTGGGTAGTTGTTTTCAGATCGTGTGAAGAGCTGTGTGCAAGCTTGAATTCTTTTCATTAAAAAATATCATATTTGATGTAATTTGTTTTTGTTGAATACCTCATGGTCTTGCTTAAAGAATATTGGATCTTATGGAGTATATGACATTTTCTTGGAACCTGCATGTGTTGAAGCACGACTACAAATGTTTATTATGATTTCTTGTTTTGTTGGAAAATTTTGGACACATTGTTTGTCTACTTTTCTATATTCACACGCCCTTGTATTTGTCCCTACGTAATGAGGTGAGTAAAACAGTTTTTTATTTATTTTTTATTTGCAGGTTTGAGCGTGCAAGACCTTTGAGCTGGAATTTGTTGTCGTTCAGTGGTGGTAGTATGTTGAAAGACATTTTGCTTGTTTCTGAATATTTCTTTGAAAAACTATTTTGTTTGAGATTCATGGTGGGAACATATATTGTGAAAGTTTTGGTTATCTATGTATTGTTTTGGGTTTTCAAGATGATAGATAATGATTACAACTTTCATTGACCTATGCTGAGCTTCAGACCCTTCTGTTTGTGATCGATGAAGCAATTCTCTATGATTATCATTGGTTGATATGGTTTTCAGGTTTAGTGTGTGATATGGTGGTTTTCAGTGTATTGAAGATCTTCTATGAGGTCGCACAGGACTTAAATTCGATCTTATTTATAAGAATTTTGATGTTACTGATCCAAGGACCCATCTTGCGTTGGCCGACATTGCTAAGCAAATCAACACTCAATCTTTCTGCATGCTTATTGTTGCATTGCAAAAACATATTTTAAATGATGCGAAATGGTTACTTTAGCTCAGTAAAATTTTTGTATTCAAATAAACTTGGTTTGTCAGTAAGATTGGTATGGTAGAATGAACTTTTTAAAAAACTTGGATCTTATCTCACAAGTTTAGGTAGCTTATAAAAGAAGTCTTTTTCGAATTTTTAATTTCATATTTTTACCACACTTTTATTATAACTAGTATAGTCCCCGTGCGATGCACGGGGGTTTATTATCTCCGTCCTTTTTATAAAACAATGTTCAGTTAAAATTTAAAGTACTTACAAAAGGAAAGATCATGCCATTAATAATAAATAAATTAATAAATACAATGATAATAAAATCTATATATTATTGAACATTTCCTTATATACAACGTGCATGGTTTGATTCTTTGGCACGTCATTGTCGCCACAAATTAAGACTTTCAAACTCATTTCTGTTTGTGAAACGGGAGACAACAACATACAATTGGCCATGACTAAACACTGGTTTCTTAAGAAATAAGCCCACGCCACAAATTAAGACTTTCAAACCCATTTCTGTTTGAGAAACGGGAGACAACAACATACAATTGGCCATGACTAAACACTGGTTTCTTAAGAAATAAGCCCACGCCACAAATTAAGACTTTCAAACCCATTTCTGTTTGAGAAACGGGAGACAACAACATACAATTGACCATGACTGAACACTGGTTTCTTAATAAATAAGCCCACATGCGATAATGATTGTTACTGACTCTTATTTATAGTCATGATAAGAAAACATAATGGGAAACAACCAATCCAATAACATCTACAAAAATATAAGAAAATACATCATATTGAAATGTATAACAATAGTTTATTACAGATTTTAAATTAAAAACAATCGAAATAAGAAATAAACAAAAAAATTATAACGTACCAAACAACATGACTTCATCAATGTTAGCTGGTTTTTTAGTAATCGGCCATAAGCTAATAGCTATAAAGTTGAAATTCACTTATAAGCTAGTTGATGTGTATCTGATCTAGCTTTTTAGCTATGATTATCAAATATAGTCGTAATGTACCGACCCAATTATTAAATTTGAATATAATAACGACAAAATTGTATTTTAAGTCTTATTGATTTACTGTCTCCATAATTTTAGTCTTAGGGTTTCCTTTTGGTCATGTGATTTAAAAAATTCTCATGCAATTTCAATCATTTTGGCCTCGGAAAATTGATTTTTTCGTCGGATCAAGCACGTGACCGCACATGGTGCATTATCCGACTGATTGAGGTGACTTGGTCACCTTTTTGTGCACGTGGAAAAGAAATATTAAAAAATAAATGTAAAAAAATTAAAAAATTCCACATGGAAGAGAAAATAATAAAAATAAATGTAAAAAATATAAAATTAATTAAGGTATATTCGCATTCAATTAAAAAGGGAGAACATCTCAATTGAGCCCCAAATTTCCCCAAAACTGTAGCCCCAAATTCTCCCAATTCTGCACTGAAAATTCCCACAATGTCCGGAGCACCCATGTCAACGATGAGAGTTATGGCCGTTGCGGTAGGAGGTCTGTCATATGCACCTCTTAGACAATCGAAAACCCTTCTTGCCATGAATACGAGATAAGAATGTGTCTTTTTGTTCTTAGTTTAGGGTTTCTTTATACTGATGAATAAATTGTTTTATATATATATATATATATATATATATATATATATAACAATTGTGAGTTACATTTTATCAATTTTTTGTTAATTTGGATCTCATATGTCAGTTAGTTCAATGTTATTCCTATTTTCTTCCCTTTTCCAACGAAGCTTGAAAGAAAGAGGAATGCAACTGAAGGAGCAGCAAGGGGTAAAAGGAGACTAGCCTCTGTTGAGAAACTCAATCTTGTAATAGCATGATTGGAATAATGGAATAAAATTGGAATAAGGAATGAAATGAATTGAAGAATGAAATGATTATGGGAATGAAATGAAACAAGTTTTATCATTGATACATTTGGTATGCAGAAGAAATATGACTTGAATGGAAAGACATTATCATTTTTTATTATAAAAATAAATAAAAGCCTTTTTTCTTTAAAAATAATATACTTTTAATAAATTATATATAAATATTTTTTTAATAATATATAAAAATAAAATAATATATTTTAATAATATATAAAAATAAAATAATATAATTTTAAATTATATATAAAAGTAATATATTCTTAAAAGTAATATATTTTTAATATATAAAAATAAATATATTTTTAATAATATATAAAAATAAAAATTAATATATTTTTAATAATATATATTTTATTTTTTAAGTAAACAATAAATAAAAGTAAGTTTTCAATTTTTTATTTGAATTTTATTTTTTAAAATATATATTTTTAATAATACATAAAAATATAAATTAATATATATTTAATAATATATATTTTTAATATTTTTCAATAGTATATTTTTAATAATATATTTTTAAAAGTAATATATTTTTAATATATAAAAAATAATATATTTTAATTATATATAAAATTAAAATAATATATTTTTAATTTTTTTTTTTTCGAAACGATAGAGATACTATATATAAAAGGCACAAATGTGCAAAATTACAACCCCTAGCTGAATACATACAGCCAACGGCTGAATACAACCAGCCAACAGCTGAAAAACTGGGAGGACAGCCTAAAGACTGCCTAGAACCGACCCCAACAGGGTAACCTAAAAACTCAAACAACACAACGAAACTGAAACACTAAAAAAAACTACGAACGGCCCCAACAGGGTAATGCCCGAGTGTACGGTCCCAACAGGATAATAAAGTTACACCCGGGCTAACTGAGGCCAACGGCCCAAACATAAAACACAACAAATAACACAAACACCAACACAAACGACTAAACAAAAACAAATAAACAAAAACACAATAACTAAAAGCAACTACACACAAACATAACAGCCTCCCACAGCAGGTACATCCGAAAAGGACAGCAGACAAAGTCGATTCCGAGGAGAGCTCCGAGGTTCCGGTATCACGCCCACCACTGCATAAGGCCTAACAAGACGATGACCGAAGCGGCAAAACAAACCAAGAACACGACCCGCACTCCAGCCGCAAAAAACCACGAACACCACCCCACCGGCTAACACCACTAGCCGATTCGACGTCCAGCCAAGGCAGCCTAACACCACTAGCCTACTCCGGCGACTGTCGGCCTCCCCCAAAACTCGGAAATCGAGCAAGGGAAGAAAGGGGACCACGGCTTCTCTGCTCGACCGCACCAACCAAGCCCAAACGAAACACCTCCAATCAACCCGACACGCTAGGAATAGTCCCGACCCGCCATTCTCGCACACACGAGGAGCCGGCGACCTGACCCCTGCGGAAATCGGAAGACCACCAACGGCAACCCTTCAAAACAGGCCGACAAAAGGCGCCCCGACCAAAGCCGATTGAGGCGACACCAGCATCATCCACACCCGACCACTCCACGCCATGCCCCGAACCACTTAATTACGGCGGTTATCGAACGGAAAAAAGATTCCGCCGGAACCCTAGCCCTAATTCAGTGGTGACAAGACAGAGGACGGGAGGGCCGCGGCCATGGATAAGCGGAGGAGATCGTCCACCGGCGATTACGGACGCCGGCTGAGGGAGATTATCTGCGAGAGGAGATGGAGGCCGAGAGATTTGGGGGAGACGGGACCGAGAGATTTGGGTTTTAGAAAAACGTAAAGTTGGGGAAATCTTAATTGAAGATATATTTTTAAATTATATATAAATGTTTTTTTTAGTTTTATTTTTATATAAGTATTTGATATATCCAATTAAAAAATAAATAAAGTAAGTTTTCAATTTTGTTATTTGAATTTTATTTTTTAAAATAGTTTTACTTAATATATTTTAATCATGATTTATAATATATATTATATATTTATTTTTTATTATTATTGTTAATTTTATTTTTTAAAATTGATTCCTACACACATGGAAATGAGAACACCTTCCATTTACTATGGAATGGTTAATCCCATGGAGCCATTTCCATTGGAATGGTCATTCATTTCCAAAAAAATATACTAATCATAGGATAAGGAATGCGTAAGGGAATGATCATTCCATTCCCATGTCATTCCTTCCTAGCAATCATGCCATAAATATAGTAGATTTAGTTATACTTGCTATTGTTGATCATTCAAGCTTGTTGATCATTCGTCTTGTTTAGTTTAGAATCCCACACTTCTGTCACCAGTGGTAGTTGATGAAGAGTACAACATTCTAATTTTTATTTATTTTTTGCAATACTCAAAATAAATAGCAAGAAAAAACAATACTCGTGTTTATAACAAAGAAAAATCTTCCAACAGATAAACCAGAAAGATCTAATTTACTTGGGTTAAAATAGTTTTTCAATTTTAAATAATTTTCAAATACCTATTTTGGATTTCAATATATTTGGTTCAATAAAATTTGTAAGCTCACTCTTGGAGTAAATGTTTCAAGTGGGTAAGTATGAACGTTGTTAAAAATATATCATTAAGTGTTAGAATAATTTTACGGCCCGGCTCTCTCGTCGAGAGTAGGAAAATAGATATGTTGATTTTTTTTTCTTTTTATTATTATTGCACATAAATGATGAGTTAATTTCATATTTTTTTAATGCTTGATTAGTTTTTAATGTGCCGCTCATTCATCCCTTTATATGTTAGAATTCTTATATGAAGTTGGAAACTACTTGTGCAAGATGTATTAGTTCTTATAGTTTCATACATTATCCGCAACAATGTTTCGATATTTTTTTAATGAAACCTATTCTTCCTGGTGCAGTTTCAAATGTCCTTAAGATGGATGGACAGCTGACTCAACGGCTTACTAGGTTTATACCCTCAACTTTCCCCTATGCTCTAAGAGTTGTTGCTGATTACATAATTGATTTGTTGAGAACGGTTTGCATGTGGCCATTTACATTCTTTATTTTACGTAAAGTTGAAGAGGATTTAGATCTTTAATTGGTATGAGTTACATGTCTGCAATTTGATGAAATATGTCAATGGAAAATCCTGAAAGTCGAAATAATGCAATCTATAAGTTCTTTATTCCAACATGGTGGCTCTTTCATAACTTATAAAGAAGAATTAATATCACTTATACTTAAATGTTATTCTGTCATGATGTAAGTTTTTGGTATTGTTAAAAAAGGTTCCCAAAGTTACTTATTTTATTAGGGAATCTAAAAAAAAAATTATGAACGTCTGCAAAGGAGTTTGATGCTCAAAGTGCTTCTCAAACTAAAGGTAGTGTGTTTCTGTATTGTTCGAGTTTTGTACGTAATACTATCAGCTTTGGCTTTTGTTTAATTATGTATAGAATATCGTGTGTGTGATTTGAGTTATGTTTTAATGTTTTGTAGTTTATACTGCCAGATGGGAACGAAAAGGCCTAGAAACATTAATCTAAAAAGTCGAAACAATCAATGTAAGGTTCTCTAAGTTTCAACAATGCATTTATTATTCTTATATAAGCAATTAAATATTATTTTTCTTACTTATTTTTAATTTAAATATTATGTCGTAGGTTGGAGTTAGTTGAAGTTGGAGCCTTAAGGTTGGATAACAAGTTAATTAATTTATAAGCTCAATATGGATTTGAAGTTAGATGGATTGTTCGATTTGGTTAATTCTCTTAAAGGCTCAATTATTGATGAAGTTGTTGAAAAGCTAATATCAAAAGATCATCTATCACACCAAAGGTAAAACATTCAGACAATGAACCCAAATTCGATCATGAAGCATTTCTTAATGCAACCTATTCTCGTGAAAAATCATATGCCGCCCGCTAAAAAATTACGTGATAATTTTGAATTTGATCCATCTATGAGTGGAATGGGTATGGGTAGAAGAAAATTACATGAGGTTCATATAATGTTAAGTGATTCGTCTATAGAAACCCCACTAGGCTTAAAGAAAGAAGGCGAAAGAGTGGTATATACAAAATCAAATGCTTTCAATGCTTCTAAAGAAGTTTTTTTTTCCAAATTTATGAGTTCGAAGAATGATTACAAAGAGTCATTTGAAGAGTCATGCAAAAGTAATATATTATTTCATATGCATAAATTCTCTTACATGCTACATCTAGAAATGTGGTTAAAAGTTTCTGGCTATTCATATCCATAGCATGTTTTATGATTTATTTTTGTATTAGGGTGTTGAATAGGATTTTAGTATTGAAAAGAAGAATGTTTTGAAGTACATATTCGATATAAACCACAACCATAAGTAAGAGTTTATTTGTAGGCACTATACTTTTATATAATTAGAATGAATATACAATTTATTGCTAATTAATATGTTGCAAGTGAAATGATCGTGCTGATCTCAGAAGAATTTGGAGAGAGAATACAGTTAAAACAACTATAGACTTCAAAGTGTCCAAGCGCAAAAGTAAGTTTATTTATGTTAAAATCTTATTATGATCGAATGTAAGTGTGTTGATTTGATTTGCAGATTTTAAATCTATACACTTGTATGCTGACGTGGGATAATCGAAACGATGTCTCTAAAATATCGGCTAGAAATTGGTTTATGCCAACCTATGTCTTGAGTAGTCATCGATATTCCACTTGCATTATTATTTACTTGAACATATATAATTGATCAAACATTTTATAATGCAGCAATACATTATTGAAAAGAAGAAGGGTTGTGATGCTGATAGCATATATCGTTATTTCTCGTGTGAGGATATATATGACGGGGATATTCAAAAATGCGAAAAGCTAACTTTCCATAATTTTGATGCATTGTTGACAAGTTAGCTAGTAAAATATCTTGAGTAAAGGCTTACCGACATTTTAGATTTTTAAATTCATAGATTTTCATTCCAATGAATCATAGAGATCATTGGTACTTGTATGTAGTTGACATAATCAAAGAGGAGGTTCTGATTGGACTCACTTAGGCCAAAAATTTGTAATGAGCGTCTTTCAAGTGCTAAAATTGTGGTAATTAGTTTGATAATTATTGTCTTTTTTTTTTTTTGTGAACAAGTTTTATTGGTTGTGATTTTATTTATAAAATTTCATTGTCATCCAGCTCAAGTGTTTACATGAGGCTTTAGAGATTGGTTGTGGTACAACGTATAGTATCAATATTTATGAATTCCTACGAAAATAGCTCAATGGGCACAACAAAAAAAGAATTTGTAAGTTTGAATTGTGTAGGATCCAATATGTTGGAAATACTATACATGGTTGTTGATTACATTGTTGTATTGCAGTTGTGATTGTGGATTATTCACAATAAGGTTCATGCAACTATACGACAAGCCACGGGCCGAGATGTATTTCAATATTAAAAATTCATATTTGGAGAGAATGAAAACAACTATTGAGATATTCCACCATGAAGCAAATCAAGCCAAGGAAGAGATAATTAGAAAAATAGTGCACTCTTCGGAAGTTGTGAGTCCAGCCTTTGGTGCAACTCCTTAATCTTCACCGACAGCTCGGACTTTTTCTCCTTGTAGGTACTTAATATTCTTGTTTTAACGAGCACAAGTGGAATAACATTCGTCATTAGAATAGATGGAGTATTTTAGAGAGGTGTATTCGTTTGGGATTTTGAGTAACATTTTGAGACTTTTTAAGATTTATAACTTTGGAGGAATTCTATGAAATCTTAAATCTGGAGGTGGATTAGTAGTGGGATTTTGTATAAAATATTTTCTTTTGAAATCCCAACAAATCTTAAAAAATCTTAACAAACCACAGTTTCAAATAAGTTAAATACTTCAAAATTTTGTAAGACTTTTGAAAATCTCAATTGAATATCCAAGGTCTATTTTTTCCCCAAATGATGGATATTTTCTTTCAACAAAATAGAGGGCAAAGCACCTAATACACCGAAATGAAAAGAGAGCACCATACACAAGGTATGGCCTAGAATACCCATAACTCACTCACAACGCATCCACAAACACTAGAACAAACAGAACTCCCAATAGGAGAATAAACTGTTAAAACCAACAACTCAAGCCCAATTCTCCATCAAGCCCAACATACAACCTCAAATAGGGTTCTATTCTAAAACTAATTGACAATAGAAGGAGTAGACCACCAAGATTATATATTGGACTGGGAACTTTTAATTTTTTGATATGGGATTGGGTTTACACACCCCACAAACCTCCCCTTAAACACAAGACCACATACTTGGGCCTCCCCTTGAACGAAATCCATACGATCAGGCCATCTTGTACCGCAGCTAACACCTATGGAACACGCCGCCTGACCACTTTTTCGCCAGGAAGAATTTCGACACAAGGCACACAAATCCATCAACCCATCACCGGTTCCACGGGGAACATGCCACGTCATCCACATCGCAACTGCGCTACACCGTGGATCTGATACCAATTGTTAGGACCAACAACTCAAACCCAATTCTCCATAAAGTCCAACATACAAGCCCAAATAAAGTTCCATTCTAAAACCAATTGGCAATAGAAGGAGTAGCCCACCTGGCTTATATATTGGACTTGGAACCTTTAATTTTTCGATGTATGATTGGGTTTGCACACCCAATATAAACCTACTCCCAACAGGGAAAAAAACACCCACAACAAATGCTCCAAAAACACAGAACACACAAATACAAAACACACCAAACACACAAGACTATACAGAGCACACAAGGAAAAAAAACAAGAAAAAAAGCCCTTCCCATCGACCGGACAACCACCATAGATCAAAGGCAACACCCCAAATCCAGAAACGCCCTTCAAACACTGACGGCTATTTGAACCCAGACCACTGGCTCTAACCCTCCCAAAGGAGCTTCCGCCGGGAGTACTAGGAGAAACGCGACGACCCCCCACCCCACACAATCTGGCGCCCGTCCCAACCGAACGATCGAAACTAAGCCAGACATTCGCCGGAGGAACACATCACACCCAAACCAGGGGCAACAAAAACGAGGGGGGAAGGTCAAACAAAGCTGAGCCGGACACCGCGAGACGATGCACTACTCAGCCTGTGGAGCCACCGTCGTAAACCACGGCCCGCTCCGCTGCCAGCCATGACCGCCCTGATTTAGCATGGGAAGTGCCACACAAGGAAGAGGGTCACAGAGACACCAATAGACCATCTTCCATCTTGGTGCTAGTCGAAGACGCCAAATGCGACGCACTTGCCGGTGAGAAGGCTGCACAATGTATGGACAAGGGCTAGGGTTTACGGCTAATTGGGGAGAGGGGAAAAGAAAGGGAGAAAAGGTTGCACAATACCCAAGACTTATAAAAGTTTAAAATGTCGGGTGTATTCAATTTAGATTTTTAATAACTTTTTAAGATTTTTTTAAGTGAGTGAATTTGGTGGATTTTGTAAAATTTTTTATGACTTCGATGGACATTATGAGACTTCCATAGGAAAATCTCATCAACTTGATGAGATTTCTATTGAGACTTTGTCTTTGTAATTTTACTCAAAAAGTCTCCAGAAGTCTTTCAATTTAAAAACTCTTTTAAAGTCTTTCTACGTTGAATACCGAGTGCCTTATTGAGACTCTTAAAGTTTCAGTGGAATACACTGAGACTTTTAGCGATTTATAAAAGTTCTTTAAAAATCTCAATTGAATACATGCAAACTTTCTAGAAGTCTAAAACAATTTTAACTGAGTGCATTATAATTTTGAAAGTCTTAAAAAGTTTTTAAAAGTATTAATTGAATACACACCCTTAATTTTCTCCATTTATTTATGTAATTTACTAATTTTATCACCAAACTCATCATATGTGACCGCCGCGGCTGTGCCCGGCGGAGAAGTCGCCGATTTGACTTGAAGAGGAACAAAAGAAAAAGGGCTGATGGCGGAGGAGGAGGCGGAAAACGTGGCGGCGCGATTGGGATCATTCGACGGCAGAGTTAGCTTAGTAAGTGATCACGAAGAAGAGATTATGATTCTTTGGGCAATCCAGCAGCCCATTTTCGCCAAGCAAAACGCCTTTGTGAAGCAGTCCTCTCTTCAGCTAAACATCGATGCATGTGGCCGTTCTCTCTCCATCCTCCAGTCCCCATCTTCACTGGTTATTTTACTTGCCCGTTCTCTGTGTGTGTGTGTGTGTTGGACGATGACAATAGAGAATAATTCTGGATTAATGGAAGGATAATGTATGCTTAATTGTATGCCTACTTGCTGGTTGAGTTCTAGCCTTTTTTTTTCTTTTCCTCACTATTGTATGAATTAATGTAAGGTTTTAGGGGTCAAAATGTGAACATTTCTTTTATTTATAAGGAAGTAAGGAATTTTCCTCCTGGACTTGAACTTACCATCTCTCATTAAAGTCCTATGTTTGAAGGGTTAGTTATGAATATGATTCAGATGTGTATCGCGACTATATTTCAACTGGTGTTGCAGTATTCTCAATAAATACATCCAAAGTGTATTGTATTAGGCTTGGTGAGTATTGTAATAGTAAAGTTAAGGTTATTGACATTCTATAAAGGTGGGAGGAATAGTGAGCTTATCTGATCTTGTGCAGTTTGTTTTAAAGGTGGATAATCATAAATGGTCAATTCACTGAAAAAAGGTACTTGTTGATGTTAGCTTCACATTTTGCAGATCACTCCAGGGGTAACTGGTGCTGTCATGTGGGACAGTGGCATTGTTCTTGGGAAGTTTCTAGAGCATTCTGTAGAACTGGGAGCAGTATCCCTCCAAGGAAAGAAAGTTGTTGAGTTGGGTTCTGGCTGCGGATTAGTCGGGTAACATACTAACATTTCATCAGTTATTATTTCTATTTTATTTATGAATATTCTTTTTCCATCAGTTTACTCATTTGGATAATTGGATCACGTATTGGGTTTTATGATATGAAAAGGCCTGTAAAGTGGCATAGTGCTGAAACCCTGCATTTCTGATCTTGTTAGTAATGTCAAACCATAGCTGTCTTGAACAGCCAAATCATAAACCTTTGTGATCTTTACACCTTGTTAACATTTTCTAGCTTGGAAAACTAGTGAAATGATGAGTCCAAACTGGAAACTGCTCTATTTTTTGTTTTTTTTTTTCCAAATAAATATGAACAACAAGTCAACAATCTAGCGAGCTCAATTATGTATGTAAAGGTACCTTGAGCTCGGCTAGTCTGACAATAAATCAAACTTAAATTGGGTCTGTAGTTTGTACCTTGAGCTCGGCTAGTCTGACAATAAATCAAACTTGAAATAAGTTTCAAGAGCTAGATCTCAAGTTAGCTTGCAAGAGGTGAATTGACAGGTACAATGTTTTACGTTTTCAAAATACATGTTTCTTTTACGTTTTCCCTGTGCACTAAAGTGTAAGATATGTCTCATATGAGCTGATTTTAGTCCCTTGTATATACTCATCAGCTGCATAGCTGCTTTGTTGGGAGCTCAAGTAGTTCTGACTGATTTGCCCGATAGGCTGAAGCTATTAAGGAAGAATATTCAGTCCAATCTCTATGGAGATGTTCGTGGCTCGGCCTCTGTAGAAGAACTGACATGGGGAGATGACCTCGACACAGATCTTACTGATCCTTCACCTGATTTTGGTAAGATTAAGAATACTATTTTAATAAATCTCATTATGGAACTTGTGTTTAACCGGAGGGTTTGAGAAGACGTTGTATATTGTGTCCAATGTCCAAAGACTCTGACGTAATTTTCCAGTTCATGTTTAATAAAAGCTCATTTAAGATTCAAAGCTTAGCTTTGAGTTTGTGCACAATAAATAAAGTTTCATAAAATATATATGTATTAAAAGGTGCAGGGGAGTGAAATATGTGTAGGAAAAAAATATATGTAACACAAAGAGAATGAGCGAAATGTAACAAATTTCGTCTGATGAGTATCCACTACACTTCAATACTCTTTAAAAATAGTATGTGGCTGCGCGCACATAGACTGAATTTACAAAATAAAAGACTTCTTCCTAAACATGTCATGCCTATAGTGCATTCTACTCTAAGAATGTGGACCTAGCAGCTCAACGAGAATCCCACCAAGTATTGTATATACAATGATGTATAATGTAATGCAAACACACGAGTTTGATTGAACCTCTATAGGTTACCTTCTATTTATTTGTGTCGTCTTAAATATTTGGACTAGAAACGTGATTTAGAACAATTATTCCTTCCTCTATTGGATTCTATGAAATGATATTAATATCAATGTGGACTGAGTGTTGAACCTGATTCTTAGAGGGCTTAATGACACTAGTATTATCATAGATGAAAATTATGGATTGTATCTTAAAACCGAATTCAAGCTTCGTGTGCTTCATCCACAACAATTGTGAGAAGCAACTTCCGCAAAAAATGTCAGTAGAGAGAGACATAATTCTGCTTGGTGCTCATCTAGATGTAAGAACATCCATCAACTTTTCTTCCTGATTAGCTTATCATAAAACCTTACAAGATTACTGCTCATGTCACGTGAGTAAGAAATCCCATAAATTATCAAATATCAATTATTAAGTGTTCTAGACCCTGTAAGAACATCTATATCTATATATATATAATTGCTGGCTAATAGCATTTAATAAAACCTCATTTCGATTTCCCTCCAAAAACCGTTACAAACTTTATCATTTATATATCTCTCTCTATATTTAATTACTAACTATAAATTTAATCATATTAATTATTGTTTACCATATTTTTATGTTACAATCTTCTATTATTATTATTATTATTATTATTATTATTATTAATCCACCATATCTAATTTATGCTAAAATATTTCATTGCACTTTTTTTAGGGTTAATTAAGACAAAAATCGTTACATTTTATATTAACGGAGTAATAATTATGCTATTTTATTATATCATATAATAGTATGAAAATTACATAAACATAAAAAATTATTGTAAACTTTTTGCTAAAGTTATTTATTCTAAAATTAATATTATATTTTTTTTATCTTATTTAGTGATTGTATTTTTAAATAAGTTAATTTATTTTAATGTTATAGTAAAATTTCTTGAAATCGCATAATCAAATGTTATAATAAATTTAATATTTTTAAGCTAATAAATTGGCAATCTTTCAAAATTGCATTATTTATTATATTTTATATAATTAATATAGTGGTTCATATGCAATCAAATAGTTATGTGCTATTTATTTTAACCAATGATCAAATTTTAAAATATAAGATCATTATCTAATTTATATTTTTATTATTATATGCATAAATATAACTTATAATACTCTATGTTTAAAATATAATATCATTGTATAACTTATAATTTTAATACTATATGCATAAATGTAACTTATAATATTTTATTTACATTGTGCAAATGCACATGGTCGAATACTAGTAATTATCATTCTTATCACAAACTAAGCATTTATTTAACATAATTGTCATTCTTATTACAAACTAAGCATTTACTTAGAGTGAAGCTCACTGAGAAGTCCTGATCACATAGTTGACTTATGCTCAGGTTTCCTATTAAATTGTCAATCAACAAAACATTTTCAAGTTTGGGAAGATTGTAAACATTTAACCATCCAATTCATATCACTATCACCTAAAGTGGCACTCGTTAAGAAGGAATATCGGTCTTAAGTTCTTAACCCGTCGATGTCAAAATACCAATCATCGCTACAGATAACAAAAATGAAAAACATTAAACTACTCTTGGGTTGGATTGTGTCCCACTTGTCTAAAGCTCGTTTCAGCTCGTCTTAAGTTAAGGATCAAATAGATTCAAGCGTGTGTTTAGTAAGCACTATAAGCTAGCTTATAGCTTATTACCTTTCCATATACCATTGAGCTTGGTTTGGTAGGACGGATTTTTTTAAAAAACTCGAGTTTATTACATAAACTTCTTTAGGTAGCTTTTCAAATAAGCCCGTTGAAATTTTTGTTTCTCTTGGCTTATCAGCTAATTTTATCATATTAGCTAGCTTTTCAGCCATAAGCCATAAACTATGAGCTATAAGCTCGAAATTCGTTTATAAGCTATCAGCTAACATATCAGCTCATTGCTAGCTCATAGCTTATCAACTCTTAGCTATAAATTAGTTTTACCAAACATAGCCTAAACTCGATGAGTGTTTCAAACCATGAAGAAATTGGGATAAAAAATCCCAAGTTATTCGAATGATGCAGGCATATTTATTATCTAATAAATACGTCAAACTACTATTGGCTCGATTTGTGTCCAACCCAACCAAAGGCTCGTATGAGCTCAACCTATTTACAACCCTAACTAATTGTGTTTGATTGTATAACAGTGTTTGGCTCAGATGTTGTTTATAGTGAAGGAGCTGTGGTGGATTTGGTGCACACACTCACAAGGCTTTGCGGGAAACAGACGACTGTCATTTTAGCTGGAGAGCTTCGGAATGGTATTATTTAGTTTGTTTTCTTATGATTTATTTCCTTAGTGAATTAAAGAGACATGATTTGTTGTGCAATCAATCAATTGATGTGGCAGATGCCATCCTCGAGTACTTTCTAGAAGCTGCCATGAAAGTGTTTGTTGTGGGCCGAGTTGATCGGGAGCAGTGGCATCCAGATTATTGCACTTCACGTGTTGCGGTTTATGTTTTGGTGAAGAAGTAGAAAGATGGCCGATGAGTGGTGTGGATGACAATATCCAGGTTAATGTGATAAAATTGGGATATACAAAACTACTCAATAATTTTATTACTAGCATCTTGATGGAGTGACTGTAGGCTCTTTGATTTACTCTAAATTTCTCATATTTGGTGTGCTATATTTTGTGGCATATCTTATTCTTTATTTGAGATTTTGATTTTCCTTCTAATAAATAACTACCCAGTGGAATTAAATTGTTTTAATATAAGCACATACACCACGAAATGAATTGATTATAATTTGTACTTGAGGCCGACTTATTGTCTTCGCAAGGACAGGCAAATTAAATTCTGGGATTTTAGAAAAGAAAGGTTCTAGTATATGCCTATACGGGTATTTGAGGGTAAGATGGACCACTCTAGTGATTGTAATGAGGAAACCAAGAATTGGTGAGTTTAATTTTGACCATCGGCTTTAACTGCACATATTTGTTATTTACTCGGATTTGTGTTTGACTCTGTATGATCGGGTGATTAAAATTTATGCGGGGGCAATTTTCTTGGGGTTAAGGATTGAATCTACCACCTGAAACCTAGACATGGAAAAGTACGAATCAATTATCTGTATCAAGGATTAGTCGCTCGTGTATCCCATAGGATTGTTTTGATTCGTGTGTTGTGATTACAAATGTTGTGATCATGTGGACATATTTAGAGCATCTCAAACGCTTAAATGTTGTAGTAAATTACATTTTACCTCAACACATTTAGTAATATTATAATTTTGTATCTTTCAATGTACAATGTAATCACAAATGTTATGGTGATGTGGATATAATTAATGTCCACAATGTAGAGAAGATTGTGGTTCATTCACATTCTCTTCCACACTCTAGCTGGCCAATGAAATGAAGAGAGATAATTATTCTTACCAATTCAAAGCTATTTAATTAATTTTCTTACTTTTTATTAAAATTTAAATATTTAGTAAGTAGTATATTATAGTTAGACCACCATTGGAGATAATTTTTTTTAATTTCATAGTTGTAAACTTAACATTTTTTCAACATGGTTCACAATCCATTTAATTATTGACATTTGTCAAAATTTATTCTATAACAATATTAGATTATCGGAGATGCTTTTAATATCTACAATGTAGAATAGAATGTGGTTCATCCACATTCTCCTCTACACTCTAACTAACCAATGAAGAAAAGAAAGAGAAATTAATATTCTTACCAATTTTAAGGTATCTAATTATTTAATTAATTTTATTTCTTCTTTTTACATTTTTTAATATTTGGTAAGTATATGATATTGTAGTTAGGCTACATTGTGAATTGGAAAGAATTTCTTAATTTCATAGTTGCAGACTTAATTTTCTTCTTACATGATTCACAATCCATTTAATTTATTGACATTTGGCAAAATGTATTCTACAACTCTATAGCATGGGAGATGCTCTAAATCTCAACAGTTATCCCACGACCCTAAGGTAATCTCGCACTTTTATTTTACGTTATATTAATTATTTTATTTATTATAAAAGAACATAAAATATTAACTTTGTTTTAAAAAACTTATTGTAACAAAATATAAAAATAAAAATAAATAATCATATAAATTATTAAGTATATTAAAATGATAAAATAACGAATAATTTGGAACAAGTGTTAGAAATAAAAAAACTATTTATATTTTATATTGCTATATTTATAAATTAAGTAATAATTTATCGAAAGCGTAATTAACAACCATTAACTTTATAATTTGCAAGAATAATACTACATTCATTTTAGATTAAGTTTACCTTAAAAAACTAATTTTGTTTATAAATTAGATTCCAAGTGTACATGGAAGCATACGAGTAGAGATGTTAAATGGTCTTTGGCCCGACGGGCCGGCCCGTTTAGCCCGGAAAAAAAGAGGGTTAGGTCCTTTTATTAGTAGCCCGTTTAAATCAGGGCTTTTTAGGCCCGGACCGTTTAGCCCGAAGCCCGCTAGGGCTAGCCCGAAACCCGCTAGGGCTGGCCCGTTTAACTAGGGTTGGGCGGTGTAAATGTTTGCATCAAGTAAGTAATATGCTCTTAGATTTCTTGTATATTACAATTTTGATATTCCAATTCACATGTAAGTACGATTTGTAATGCATTATTATGATTTTGAAAGATAATTATTAACAATATTGTTATTGTACTTCATACCAAAATATTTAAGCAAATCAGAACGACTAATAAGAAAGACATGAAACATAGTGATAGACGGTAATTACTAAATAGCCGTTGAAAACAATTTTTAACTAGCCGTTGTTATTTGTTTTATAATTTTTACTCTTTTTATTTTTTATTTTTTATATATTATTATTATTGTTGTTATTATTATTATTATTATTATTATTATAGCCATAGCCCGCATAGCCCGTTTAGCCCGAAGCCCGCTAGGGTTAGGGTTAGGTCCTTTTTTTGGTAGCCCGTTTAAATCCGGGCTTTTTAGGCCCGGACCGTTTAACCCGAAGCCCGCTAGGGCTAGCCCGAAACCGCTAGGGCTAGCCCGTTTAACATCTCTACATACGAGACTAGAGTGTACACTTTTTACGTAAAAACACATAAATAATGCAAAAGAGAATATAATAAATATGCATAATACCAAAGATAATTTCGATAATTAGTAAACAAGAAAACTAAACAATGAAGTGAATCTTCAATTTTTGTTGTCTAACTTATTTTCCAAAAGTTTTACAAGAAATAAAATCAAGTAATTAAAAATTTATTCAATTTATGGCAACAAAATATTGTAAGAAAGATTTCGACTTACAAATTCGTACATGTTTTCAACTGCAATAAGTGAAGTGTACATATTTATAGTTTCACAAAACAAATAAATCAATAAATAGTGATGAAATATAAATAGTAATGTACAAGTTGTATTAGTAGGGGACACGTCATCACACTGTAAAGGAGTCATATAGCTGTCAACAATTAACAAATAAATAACCCCCAAACACACACTCCCAAAAACCTATAATAATAATTGAAGGCCGTGTTTGGGTGTGAACTCGGGACTCTCTCTCTCCTCTCTACCACTGCAAAAGAAAAAGGCGAATATATGCCATGAAATGATGCAGATGATGCTGTGTAGAGCTGCGCCCAAGGCCATGGTGTCCCTCCCTTGCTCCAGGGTCTCCTTTATTTCTCTTTATTATTCTATATGCGTGCTAATTCTATATTATTGTCTGTAATTTTGCGTAGGGCTTTGAGGCACCACGCGATCATTTTTTTTTGTTGCAATATGAAAGATGATGAAAAATTACGTATATTGATATATCTATGTAGCTGTTGGGATCTCCTTGAGCCGTAAATCCCTAGATCGTACTTTTTTTTTTTTTCNTGTCTCTTTCGTTCCTTTTCTGCCGTTTATGTAAGAATAACCGTGCATATGTTTTTGTATCTGTGAAATTGAAAAAAAGAATAGGAAAGAGGGAGTATTGCATTTTGAGAGGAAATTAAGGTGCTGTTCACGGTTCCTATATTATTATAGTTAGGAAAAAGTATTATTCTCTTAATAGGTGTGTCACCTTACAGCATGCTGTGTACAATTACTGCAAATTGCATTTAGCATCATTAAGTGCTTTCTACTGTATATTTTGTAGCATTTGCCTTTAATGATTTTGGTTGGAATCTGATAAGGTGCGTGGTTGGTTGAAATTTCATTTTTTATGTTGTATATTTAAGTTAATATGCTTCTGAGTTAGATGCTTGTACATGTTATCTCGGTTTTGGGATCCTCCACTAGTCTAATTACTTGACATATATTAACAGTTGAATAGTTTTGTCTTTTTGGTTCTACGCATAACTGTGGTTGTTCTGTTATTTCAGAAGGGATCGGAGCTATGTGTGTGGCCTGGAATGGGACAACTTTGCCTGAGAAAGTCTCTTTTGTATGGGTTTATGAGACTCTTTTCTATTCCATTCAAAACTGTGCGTAATGTCAGTCGGAGTCTTGGGGGAGTGTCCCGTTTCTGCAGTGTGACCAATATTTCATCAAGTTTGCAAATTGAGCTGGTGAGCCATAATAAAATCTAACTGTTCTGAAGTAGTACAGCTTGCTATTATTTTTCTGCGTGATCAACGAAGTTCAGAGTTTTGAACCCATTGAATTAGAGAAATATGTGATCTTCAGTAAAGAGAGCATCTTGGGTTGCAAAGTTTTTGATTAATGTTTTCTGTTCTCCAAAGTTAATCACAGCTAGACTTTGTGAATTTCATCCAGATGATGAGTCCTCCAGCCTTGTTGTGACTTGTGAACCTTGGCTTTTTATCACTTGTGCTTTACCTTTTACTCTTAAAAATAAAATTGATGAGTGATATTCACTATAGCTATCAATTTTTTTTTTTTGGTTTAAGAGAATGAGTTGCACTGTTTGAGTGTAATGACCTGTACGAAGCACTGAATTGAGGACCATTGATCTACGATTGAGTTGCTTGCATCCCACAAAATCCAGTTTTTAGTTTCTAAAGATGTTACAGTGTCATTCTTGACAGAGCCATCCCTGGGGTGGTCATGTTGGTGCTGTCGCACAGGACCCCCGGCTGGTGTGGGCTTCTGCTGGATTTTTATTTTAATATAGATGTTTAATGCGGAGGTATATAGCTCACATTTTTTGAACGATTATTGCTCTTTTTTTCCACATATTCAAAGGTTTTGTTCCTTTTATTTATTTATTTATTTATTTTTCATATTCATCCTTATATCTTTTGCCGTTTTTGGCTCTCCTTTTCCCATTATTCAACATTTTTGTTCTTTTCTCCATTTTCAGACTTATAAAGATCAAATTGAATCGCTATAAATTATAGTGAATGAATGTGGTTGTGAGTGGTATAGTCGTGAAGACAAACAATAAATAGAATAATACATAAGTGGATTGCATGTAGGTGTGTGACTGAGTGTGTGTGGTAATAGCAGGTAGTAGAATGTAGCTGAGTTTTGTGAATAGTGGTAGTTGTAGTTAGATAAGAATAAAAAATAATTAAACATTTAAAAGTAGCATGTACACACACACGCGCGCGCACCAGTTACCATGGAAAAAAATAACTAACTATTTTTTTTAGACACAAATGTTCATAAAAGAAAATATGAACAATGGTACATTAAGGCCATCTCCATCTTCAGTGGAGATGTCCAGACTTGGGTCTCATCCTCAAATTTGTCAAGATCCTAAAAAAACTATTGGATTGTTTATTTACGTAATTTTTTTATGTATCGGGCCAAAATTGATTTTATCTCTTAGATCTAAACCAGTTGGGAAAAAAGAAAAGAAAAAGAACATATCTGCACGACTGCACCCCATTGGGATGAGTGATAGGCTGAAATCATTTGGGAAAGGTCTCAAAACTAGACATAACTAGAAGTAAGACTAATACATGTAGTTGGAGCAACTTTGGGATCTCAAATTTGAGATCCATTTTTGGAGATGGCTTCTGTCGATGCCACTCTCAGCTGGCTTTGTAGCCAATAGCCACATATCTGCACACCAGTGGTAAATGTGTCTATAAAGTCGGTTGGGGTACCACCCAATTGGGTGGCATCTCCCAAATCCTGTAGATGGTCTAATCACATATAATAAACATATTAATTGAAAAAAAAATTAATGTGTAATTGTTTTTATTGAAGATAATGGTAATACGTTTAGTTATAACACTGCACTTTTGGAGCAGATAAAAAATTTGAGAATTCTTTTCTTANGAGTTGAGATCAACGGCTGGAGATTCTAATCAATTTTCTTATTAGGCATGTATGTGTCTTGAGGTAACTGCTAATTTGAAACAATTATTAGTAATTATTTATTTATTTATTTATTTTTTCTGTGACATTGATGATTGCATAAATACACAAGACTCAAGAATATGAGAACTGTCCCACTGTAAGAGGATATCTTGTCACCTATTTTTCTTGTCCATCACCCCCCTCCCCAATTCGACCTGACCCATGTAATGGTTTTTGAAGAAGAAATAAACGTGATGTATATAAATGTTGGTACAATGAAATTTTCCTCAAATTGTTCCTAATAACTCTGTACTGAGTTCATATCCAAGCTAGCTGGTAACTCTAAAATTTGCTTGATCTGAATATGTTGCCTAATTTGGTAAATCAGCAAAACAGAGGCACTGCACTAGACTGATATAAATGGATGAACTGGAAGTTGATTTTTACTGTACCTGTTTCTTGCTTCAATTTGTCCATGTGGATGAATTTGTAATTTTGTATCTGTTCTTGATTAAACTAGCTGTTGAAGCTTTTGGTGGACCTGTCGACATATATATACATATATGTTTGTATATATGTATCTGATTAACTGCACGATTCATATGTATTTTGCTCATTTTCCTTCTCTTTTAGGTACCATGTCTTCAAGATAACTATGCGTACCTATTGCATGATGTTGATACTGGAACTGTTGGAGTAGTTGACCCTTCTGAAGCAGTACCTGTTATAGATGCACTGAACAAGAAAAATTGGAATTTGAATTACATTCTGAACACCCATCATCATTATGATCACACTGGTGGCAACATAGATTTGAAAGAGAGGTATGGTGCTAAGGTATGATATACTCAAACCTTTTGTAGCATCATGACAGAGGAGTGCATTAAAGTGAATAAAAGCATGCATGTTATATCCAATACAAATGCATGAAAAAGCAACTATGTGTTCTTTGTTTTCAACTATACCCTTCTACAAAACCAATGTACCCGTGGATGTAGTTTGGAATACTCTTGTAACTTGGTTGTAAGATTCCTAGTGTAGGATTTCACCCTTATTTTCTGCTTGGATGAAAATGGATTGGAGGAATGTCGCTACAGACAAAGTTCCTAAGGTTGGTTGTCTCACAAACCGAAGCTTGTTGGTCAAATGATTATGGTTCCCTGTTTATGTGATACATAGGAGTTCTGTCGTGCATGATGAACCTATGACTCATCATAAGATGGATTAGACAACCTCAGCTTCGAGGAGAAAGAACGAGGAACTAGTAATCCGTTTCATGTTTGTCAATTGGGACTATTTGGCATAGAAGCCTAGTTTCCCATGTGTATATGCTTAGATGCACAAAGAGAGCATAGAAGTGTAGGGAGTGTAAGGGACAAACAATTGTAAATTCAGTTTCTTCGGCTTCCTGCTGAGATCACTACATTGGATGAAGACTGGCTAAAGGTATTGGCATCTTTCTTTTTGCTGAGAGGTTCTGCTACCTACCTTACACTGGCTTCCTAATGATCACTACATTGCGTGAAGTTCACCTTACTTTTCACCTCTCCAAATGGGATTGGGTGGTACCATGATATAATGTTAAGAGGTTTATCTCTCCCGTGTGTAGGAATGGGGAAATTGCACATAATAGGCGATGTATGTTTCAGAAGATAATTTAGGTGACTGTTTTCGGTCCCTGTTGATGATCTTGAAGCAGTTGGAAAAATTGCTCAATAAGTTAGATGAGTGTTTTAATTAATAAAGATGTGTTTACAACATAAATAAGGGTACCCTGATTGAAAAGTCATACAACAGACGAGCCAACTAGCCTATTTACAAAGATGGAAGGCATGGGGCGAGGTGCCTGCCTTATTGAAGTGCGGCGAGTCAATATGCAAAATGGAGATTTATGGAAAATTAATCAATTATGACAATTATGAGTCTCAAACCAAAACATGATAGTCGATAAACATGCAACAAAGGCCACACATTTGAAATCCAACATAAACATAACCGAATCAAAACAGAAAGCAACATTTAACAAAGTGGCAACATCAGTCCATGACCAACATAAAACAAAACCAGAATCAACTAGATCCACACGAAACAAACTCCAGTCAAAGTCACTGTCAGCACCCGTCAGTACCCATCCACATCGTCTTCTCTCCATTGTCGGCACCTTCAAGTTCCTCCCATTCCTTCTCATCTATAAGCCTAAATGATGAAGATGTTGCCCTAGATATGTACCATTTGAAGTTACTCATCTCATCAACACCAACCTCAACACCAATGGCTGTAGCAACATCATTCCATTTGGAGTCATCCCCAGACACATATCTTCCTCTCTACTCCCAACCAACCCTCGGTACTTTCATCAGTATCTTTCAATGCAGTTGGATCAATTTTACCTCTCATCAGGTATCGGATTTGCAAGGCCCTTTTATACTTGATGAGCACCAAATCATTTAGCCACTTGTCATCTAATTTGTTATTGTTTTTTTAAAAATGTATCTGAGAACTCAAAAACGTATCTGATGGAGTTGGATCCTCAGATTCACTTCAAAGTCTTGATAGAGCAGTTGTATATATGATACTACATTTTAATGAAATGTCCATTGTACATTAAAATGTCATCTGCATTCAGTTAGCCTTCCGACTTTAGTTGGGTTTTACAAATGACTTGTTGGATGCTTTTCTTTTTTGGTGTTCTGGATACTTATCTTTCTTGGTGTGCTGGATGCTTCTCTTTCTTGATTAGCTATTTCTGAATGGTTATGTGACATGCACTCACTGTTGGAGTGATTTCTAAATTTTGCGAATGCCTAGTTTCTTGAATACTCTATCATATTCATGGTTATAATTATTGGTTGTGCAGGTAACTGTATGCGCGGCATAAGTTATTCTATTTTACCCGGATAATTGTCCTGTTTGCTAGCATATAAAAATACTCAACTCTAAGTGCACTTTTGTAGGTTATTGGTTCAGGTATAGACATGGATAGAATTCCTGGGATTGACATAGTCTTGAATGATGGAGACAAATGGATGTTTGCAAGTCATGAGGTGCATGTGATGGCAACCCCTGGTCATACACGAGGTTGCACTTGCTTCAGTGATAAACTTCTTTTTTCGTCACTTTTTTGCCTTGATGAGACTAATATATGAGTTCGCCTGACCTATTGTTGGAGTTGGCCTTTGCAGTACCATAAATTTATTAAATCCGAGTAATATTTGGACTTCATTTATGGTACTAAAAAGGTTACAGAGAAGTTGCTGACTGCCTAGCAAAAATTTGGGATGTTTGAAGTTTAAACAAGAAGGAAAATAATATATCTTAAATGTAATGCTCAGATCAGCTAAACCAGAAATTATTCGTTAGACTCAAGTGATTTAAGTAGTCCTAGTCTTCCGTAAATTTCCCATATATTGTATAGATATAGGTTTGTACTTCTTCAGTTAAATATTAATGAGGAGTCTTGCATTTTCAACAAGACATTCTCAAATGTTTTATGCTTAGCGTCTGTCACACCTTCACAATCTTTTTGACGTTGAAATAAAATCCAGACCTTTTGGATGTGGAACCAAAAAATCCATAAAAAATGGATTTGAATTGTTGGGTTACATAATCTGAATTTCATATTCTCTTCCGAGCACTCACCCTCTTTATGCCATTTCTCTCTATGTGTTGGGTTACATAATCCGAAGTTCATATTCTCTTCCGAGCATTCACCCTCTTTATGCCATTTCTCTGTATGTTTTGGCTTTCGCTTAGAGCACGTCGATTTTTATTTTCATTGACTGGGTTGGTAATTAGAAATTTAGAAGCATGGTTTGCTCTCATTAAGTACCATTATATTATTCCTCTTCATAAAGTAGAATGCAGTATTTTTTCTTACCTTATATGGTTATTGACATCCAGGACATATTGGATTCTACTTTCCGAGATCAAAGTTGATTTTTACTGGAGATACATTATTCAGTTTATCATGTGGTAAACTCTTTGAAGGAACTCCCGAGCAGGTAATTGTATTATGACTTGTTCTATGTCAGCTCACAATGTTAAAACTTAGAACTCACATCTTGTTGGCTTGCTGCTTATTGACTTTTATGGTCTGTGGCATTCTACTGCTTCTAACAATTGCACCATTGGGTTTTCTCATTATGGTTGATCTTGTGTTATTAGTATAAGATTTGGTTTGAATTTTGGCGATATGAATTAGTATTGCGACACATCGATATGCTCACCTAGGTAGTTGGTGTATTTGAGACCATTTAAGCAGATATTTGAGATTTACTTGAGATTTACGTTAAAGAATGTTTTGACTTTTCTCTCTGCTACTTATGTTAATATGCTAGCATTGCTGCACTGGACCTTTATAGTTTATAATTGAGATTTTTTCTTATGTGGGCCTTTGGCAGAAAAATTGAGGACAAACAGGTTATTGTGTTAGTTGGTTATTACCAGTATTAATTCCATATTTCCATTGTTCTAATATGATTGATTATGTACTTCTATTTCCTTTCCATTAGATTGAATAAATCTGCCGTTCCCAATCATATCCCCAAGTCTTATTGTATAACCTAATAAGTAGAATGTGAGCTTATTGTGTATACTTTGCCAACAGATGCTTTCTTCACTGAGGAAGATTACATCACTGCCAGAGGATACTAACATATATTGTGGTCACGAGTACACCTTGGTAAGTTGCATATTATTTTATAGTTTCTTAAACTCTTTTCCCCTTTTTCCACCGTTCTTTTTTCAAGCTAAATCTGATAGCGTGTCTATAATTGTCAGAGTAATGCAAAGTTTGCACTATCTATAGAACCCGGAAATAAAGAACTGCAGTCTTATGCCACCCTTGTAGCTCGTCTTCGCGAGAAGGGAATGCCAACGGTATATTCTATTATCTGATGCATTTTACGTCAGTTTTAATGTTGGATTCCGATTTTAATGATTGAAGTTTTAATGTTTGATTTTCCGGATAGTATCTCTCAATATTGTAAAACTCCTTGCTTTATATCGTCTAGAAACCATATGCTAATTATCTGTTCCGAGTTATATGATCGTTTCTCTTGTTCAGTCTGCAAATAGATTTATATATATCTTATGGCTCCCATTTTTGTGCAACTTAATTTTACATTTCTTGAGGCTATTTTTTGGCTTTTTGACAGATCCCAACCTCATTGAGAAAGGAGAAGTTATGCAACCCGTTTCTTCGGACTTCAAGTGCAGAAATTCGGAAGTCTCTCAAAATACCTGAGTCTGCAGATGATGCTGAGGCCTTGGGCTCAATACGTCAGGCCAAAGACAACTTCTAGCATATATAAAAGAATGTTTGGCATTGTTTTACCAAGCGTAGGAACTGATGTAGGTATATAAAGTGAAGATGTCATATTTATTCGAACACATCACTCTGAGTTTTTTACCATGGGATTGTACAGTTAAAATGATTGCATCATTGTGCAGCATTAATTGCATCACTCACTACTCAACAATTTTTGTTTCTCTTTAAAAACGTTATTCGTCATATGAATAAAACAATGTCATCCATTTTATTCGTCATATAAAAAAGTTATTCGTTATATGAATAAAAAGTTATCCCTCCCTCCCTCAAAACAAGGTACACATCCGTTAAAAAAGAAATGGGACTTCTTGAATCATGTACCCAACTCTCTCTACTCCAAATTGCCCAATCCACTAGCTCTTTTTTTCCCATATATTTCTTCCAAAAAGATCCAAGCTCACGATATACTTGGATGTTTTGGGTCTACCAGATCGAATTGAGCCTGTGGAGGTCTAATGCGTCAAAATCCATTGAGATATACCAGGATGTTTCGGATCTACCAGACTGTGGAGGTCTAATGCGTCAAAATCTATTGATGAAATCTAGAAACCATACAATTCAAGGAGAACAAGGAGGACAGCAACGGCTGTATGGAGACAATTTCGATCCTGCTTGAGGTGAAGGTCAACCACAATGGACGGCCGCCGACTGGGGTTGTTAGTTGACATCCAACATATTCACAAGACGCTTCACGAAGGTGACCAATGAGAAAAAGGTGACAAACATTTTATGTACATTTGCAAGCACTGTCAACCCAACGCTAAGAAGAAGTATGCTTTCAAAGTCGGCGATGGGTACAAATCCATGCAACGGCACATACAGACACATCATCCAACTGAAATAGGGATCTCTACGACCTAAACAAATATACCGAGGAGTAGCACTGCATCTGCGACAGGAACAAGTTCTTCTTTATTTCAATACTCTCATGGAAACCAAAGACGTAATCGATATGAATTTGTATTTTATTCGTCTCTTCCTTTCGGTTTTGTGATTTAAATTTATAAGAAAATTTTTCTCAAATGGCTTTAAACTCGGCTTCATCTCGGGTTCTACATACTACTCTGACTTGCGATATTTGAATATTGTGGGTGAGAAAAAAAATTAATTTTAGTGCAAAATTTTGAAAATTTAAACTAAAGAATTTATATTTTTTGTGACATTTGATCCGATCATTGACAAGATATCATTATATGGGAATTATTTGTCATTAGATAGATGATAGTTTTACATTACAAAAACGTTTAATTACTTATACGAGATTTGATATTTCTCACACTGCTACTAATATCATTCGTTTAATTTCACGTATCTTGAATACTTATAGAATTGGTAAAAAAAAACTTTTTTTTTTCATTTCTTTTGATAATGCTAGTGCTAATACTGCTTCTTTAAATGAGCTCAGAGAAATTTTTCGTTCTCTTTGTGGTGGAAATTTTTTTCATATTCGGTGTGTGTCATGTTCCTAATCTTTGCATTTTAGCAAGTTATCATGCTTTGAAAGAGTCGGTCACGCCCATTAGGGAGACATTATGTACTTACATCGTCGTCCTCAAGAAAATGAGAAAAATATTGTAAAGATGAAGGTTGTATACCTAAATAATCCAACCGGATGTTCCTACTGGTGGAACTCTACTTTTAAAATGTTAAAAAAAAAAAATAAATAAATAAATAAATAAAAAAAAATAACACTTTTGAATTTGCTTTTAGTTGAAAACATATTTAGGAGTCATGAACGTCATGATTGTAATGTTTTCACCGTTATTATTGATGATTGAATAAATTGTAAAACAGTTATAGAATTTTTAGGAACATTTTAAAGTGTTAGTAACGTACTTTCTGGTCTTTACTATCATATTGCTCAACTTGTGCTAGCTCAATGTATATGTGTAATGTATGCTATAGAGATGTTTTTGCTAGTGATCCTGACAAACAAGATGAACTTGTAAGAGATATGTTGAGAAAATGGTTTAAATATTATCATCACATTCTTGATACTTTTTTAGTTGTATGTTTGTTAGATCCGTCACTGCGTGAAAGTGGCTTGCTCAGCCAACTCCACACTTATTATGATATTATGTATCAAATTCCAATTTCCTCTGATGTTATTGTCACTGAAATACCTAAACCACGACTTCTCGTCGATTAAGAAAAAGTTTTATTGTATGAATTGTTTAGAGAAACAACAATCGAACTCGAGAAAAATCCGGGGTCATTTTCTCTCATGCTTCTGGGTCTTCTTCTTATTCCCATTATCCACAAATGACACGACAAGCCTCAAACTTTGGTGGCTGATGGTCAAATTATAATCCCTACAAGAATGCTAAGATTCAAAGGTGAATTGAGACTAGATACGATGAGCTCGATCACTACCTCACCTCGAATTTGATATTTACAAATGTCAGACCACCAATTGCGCCACTCAAATTCGATGTCTTGTATTGGTGGTAAAAAATGAGTTCCATTTATCCTGTTTCATACTTGATGGGCAAGGAGATTTTTATTGTCCCAGCCTTAACAGTGGCAGTTGAATAAGCATTTAGTAAGAGAAGATATACACTGGACACACGACGGTCGAGGTTGACGCTACAAAACTTGGAGGCTCAAATGCTGCTGAGTGATTGCAACAAGGCCGAACAAAGGGTACAAACGGCCATGCTAACTACCGAAAATAATGACGAAGAAAAGGCATTGGATTTTACTAGTACTAGTGGAACCACCGGAACTGATGATGACTATGAGACCTACAATTACTAGAGCGTTCAACGCATCCTGCCATATTCTTTCATCAAGGTAAATAAAGTAAGAGAACTACGAGGACTATGATTTCTAAGGTAAGGGATATATACGCAACTTAATTGACATATTATAAGTTAAAATATCACTTTTTAACTCGAAAATTTCTTCAACTTAATTGATATTTTAACTTACAATGTGTCAATTAAGCCAAGTCCGATTTTTTTAAACCCCCCTTTATTTTTATTTTTTTTAAAAAAAAATTGTTAAAACCGGTTCAGCCCTAAACCAGCTCGGAATCGGCAGGCCGGTTCTGAACCGTGAACCGTCACTTCATTGAACCTGCCCATATATGTTATCGGGCCGATTCAGGTTTACAGAAAACGTGAACCGGACTGGCGGTTCTGACTCGTAGCCGTTAAATGGCCGTCTATTTGTAGCCATGAATGACACCTTAATTTTCCGACTCGGCTGTAATCCTTATGGTTAAGTGCATTAGTAATCAATGGATCACCATTTATAAAACATTGTTTTTGTCTTTTGAATAAAATTATTTTCGTGTTGCTGGAAAAATAAGAAGAAAAGGAGCCATCATAAGTCTTCGCAGCCAAGAAATGGCTGAAAAGTGAAAAGCATAAGGTTATGGAGTTGAGTGACTTCTAAAGTCAGTAACTAAAACCAAATTTCTTTCACTTTATTGCCAAAGTGTTTTGAACTTTTGATTGATGGATTGGTCCAGCAAACTTAATTATGGTTTATGTTCATCGATTCTCCATTTCTCATGATCATTTTTAAAGATTATAAGTGGTCATTATAATCCAATTTCCATAAATGCCAATTATATCTATTTGTTATTTTAGTCTTGTCATATAATCGATTTGATTCTTATCTTTGATCAACTTTGAAATGAAATCTTTAAAAAATATTGTTACTTATTCACAATTATTTAAGTTCTATATATTGCATAATATATGTGAAAAAAAGAATTTTTTAATGTTAAAATATGCGATTGATTAATATGTATCTATATATATAATAAGAATTACCATTTACCATAAATAGTAGTAAGAAAAAGTCAAACCATATTTATTATATACTATTTTCAGCAATTTTTATTTTACATTTTAATTTTAATTCATTCTCAAAAATTGGATAGTTCCTAAACTAATGGGTTTTAGATTCACGTGTCCTGTTTCAAAAATTATAAATCATTTAAAAATCGGATGGTTCCTAAATTAATGGTTACAAACTTTTCAAAGTTGCAATCTTTATGACATCTTTTCTTTTTTACTTTTAATAATAAAATCATTTTAAATATATATATATATATATATATATATATATATCATTTTGAATATATATATATATATTCTAATCCAAAAATTCAATCATGTTAAATAACATAAATAAACTCAATCTAAATCATTTTAAATATAAATATGCGATTTAAAATATTCAATGAAGTTAAATAACATAAAATAAACTCAACCTAATAACTCCAACAGTTAAATAAGCAAATCTATATATTAAGAATTACCATTTACCAAAAATAGTAACAAAAAATAGGTCAGAATTTAATGCAGTCCATAAATAGTAAGTTTTATTATTTTTCTTTGAAAATCATAGAGCATTAAATGTTACCTTAAATTTTGGGCTTTAGTTCATTTTATTATTTAAAAAATCCAGCTAAGATTTTTGAAGTGTGTATGTTTTTATTTTTATTATTTTCTTAGAAACAACGAACAACATTAAAATCTCAGTCTCTATATTTATAATATCTCAATTAAAAATACAAAAGTTTTAGAATCTCGGTCTTTATATTTGTGCCTTTAAAAAAAATATTGAACACTAAAAGTATTATTTAAATTACATAATCAATCAATTAATCTTAATTTTTTGAAAATTACTATGTGTATTTTTTATTAATATGCATAAAGTAAAAATATCTTTAGATATATAATTTATAATCTTAATATACTATCATTTGGTGTAGACATTTATTATATGAATCATAAAATATTTTTATTTCATAATATTAAATATATTTAAAAAAAATAAGGAAATTTCTCGGATCAATCAGGTGATTAAATTAGGGTACTGCCCAGGTTGATTGAATTACTTTTAGGTGATTTTTAAAATAGTAAAAAAACTTGACACAACTTGGTTGTTTCCAAGTGACTAAGTTATGTATTAGTTCGACCACACCAAAACGATTATTGAACCTAAATATAAATTTTATATTGAAAATATTTTATTACGTGAATCTATATATATATAATTGCTAGCTAAGCAATAAATTTTACCTAATAAATAAAACTTAATAAATTTTACCTATGTGGCAAATCATTAATAAAACTTAATAAATAGAACCTAATAAATTTTATTTATGTGGCATTAATACACCCAATCTCATTAATAAGAAAATATTTCATTACATTTTTTGGTTTAATTAAGACAAAAACCATTATAATTTATGTTAATAATTAATAATTATATTATTTATTGCCTAATATAATAGTTAATATTAAAATTAGTAATTATATTTTATACTAAATAATATATGAAAGTTACATAAAACTATATTTTACACTAAAATCAATATTTTTTTATATGATGAAGGTTGTTTATTAATAAATTAATTTTTTTTATGTCATAGTAAAATTTCTTAAAATCACATAAGCAATTGTTATAATAAATGTAATATTTTTCAGCTAATTAATTGGTCATGATCACTCAAAATTATAAAAAGTATATATTTATTGCATTTTATGCAATCAATATAGTGATTCGTATACAATCAAATCGTTTGTACTATTTATTTTAACCAATGATCAAATTTTAAAATATAATACTATTATAAAATTTATAATTTTAATATTATATACATAAATATAACTTATAATACTATATGTTTGAAATATAATACAATAATATAATTTATAATTTTTATATTATATACATAAATATAATTTATAATATTTAATTTTATTTACATCTGTGCAAATGTGCAAGGTCAAATACTAGTGTGATGTAATCCAAACTTTAAATAATCGTATTAACATTAATTTTATGGCAACATGATTAATGATCTATGAATATTTATATATCATTTTATTAATATTTATGTGAATTAAATAATATTTTATTATAATATTTATTAATGTACAGTAAATATAAGGTTTTCAGAACTGTACCGTCATCAAAACAATTAAGCTATTTTATTAAATCATTTGTGGTTTGTTCAGATTTTAATTTATAAACATTTTAATATATATAGTACTTTTTGTAATAAATTTAAATAAAATGTGTTACTTAGATATCTAAACAATTTATAAATTCAAATGTTCAAACTAATTAAAAAATAATTTTTAAATCTCTATTTTATTTAAATATGTAATTTTATTTAAAATAATTTTAAATATAACAGAATTTATTTAGAAAATCGTATCGATCCTACCTGTCCAACCAACTGGTGTTGACGGATTCGAGAGCAAAATATTTTATTCAAGCGAACTAGATTGGTTATAAACCGGTTCTCGGTCCATCAGGTTGAACTGTGTCCAACCTGGTTTAATTTAAAAACAATGGATAAATCATGATTAATATTATTTATATATTTAATTTATAATACAGTCGTAATATTGTTTTCCCGTGCATCGTACGAGTCACGCACTAGTATAGAAACGTGTAAATTAGATTTTCCTCAAAGATCAAATTTGTACTTATCAATTTTATATTAGTTCCCAAATATTTGATACCATGATTAGTGCACGTTTGTATTTATATTGTGACGCAGCGAAAGGTATACAATGGGAACAAGAAGAGATTAAAAACCTCTAACAGAACCGGTTTTGCTATGGAGTCATCGGATGGCTCGGCTTATGGAGCCATCCATAGTTATCAACAAATGGTGTATTGACACATGTCCTGCAATAAATGCACATTGCACACGTGTCAATACATAAAATTATGGATTGCTCCACAAGAGAACCATCCGATGGTTCCATAGCATTTTTGCTAATAGATAACTTTTTTCTTATTCCACCAAAACTAATCGTCCAACCCTTCTGCAACAAAATAAATAGACTCCTATGCCTAGTAAAGTCCTAACTTGCTAATCAAGTTTTAATCCTAACAGATAAATATTATCCTAACAATAAAAAGAATCTTATCCTAACAATAAAAAGAGATAAATAAGTAGTAATAGAAATAATAATTATGTGAATAAATAATTATTTTAATGTCGGGATTCGATCGTATTTCTCCAAGAAAGCTATCGCGAGCTCGTCTTCATCATCCTCCCCCGGTTGAGGAGGATTCGGCCTCGAATCCGGTTGAAGAGGATTCGGCCTCCGAGTTATCACCGAGAAACTGCACCAAGTGGTTGACATTGAAAACGTCGGAAGTGTGAAGATTAGACGGCAAACGTAGGCGGTAGGTGTCCGGATGTACTTGCTCGATGATCTCGACGGGGCCGACTCTACGGACGTCCCACTCATTATAAGCATCAGCCGAGAATCGGTCCTCTGTCAAAATGGCCCAAACAAAATCGCCCACAGCGAACTCCATCTGCCGTCTACGAGTATCCTCCTTTTGTCTAGGTGCAACCGTTGTCGCCTCGAAATTGGCATGGGTAGCCTCATGCTTCCTCCGTAACACCTCCAAGAAGTCCTCCTTCAGCATTTCTTTGAATGGCATAAAGATGGCAGTATGTCCCATGGCCTAATACACAAAATGAATATATTGTTGTCGTAAAGCGGGACCACTAAATAAAACCTTCCCACCTTCAACATTGAGGTAATGGGCCACGTGAGCAAGCAATTTAATTTGAAAATGAAGAATATGGCCAAAATGAACATGCAACATCCAAGCAGCAACGATAAAAAGCTCCACACTCTTCTCCCCTTCCTTCGTGTTAATTGTCTCAAAATACTCCTGCAACTCCTTATTCGACTTCTCCAAACCCGCGCTACTATTCGAAGCCACTTCCAAGTCCTGCTTCTTCAGAACAACATCCAACTCACCTTCATGAATTTTATTTGTATTTGCTGTGTCAGAAAAAATATCCTCTGAAATCTCATTTTGTAGACCTTCAGAATCCACCGTCGAATTCTCGTGGATGTCCTCAACATCGATAACAGCACATCTGCGAAGGGATTCTTCATTGTAGACAGAGGTCTGGCCCCTAACACCTAAATCACGCGTCCTATCTTCTGCAACCACAACACGGCCAAGGCAACAAAAGCGAAAGGATTCCTCAGACGATGAACGTGGCGATAAGGACGACCGACGAAGAACAAGTGCGTGCCCGACATCCCCATGCAAATGCACCTCTGCCACTGGTGGCTCGTCATCGAATACGGGGGGACCCTCATAGTCCGGCGAGCCAGGCTCCTCGTTTAATAGAGTACGAAAGGCTCCCGACTTCGGGCAAGCCGCCTATCTGTGACCTGGTTCCCCGCACGAAAAACACCTCAAGTTCCCACCCGACCTAGTGCCCATGGACGCCCCCGCTGCAGCTGCATGCACGACAGAACTGGATGTCGCTTGGCGGCCTGGCGGTTGATCCGCTGCAGCCAGCGGTGCACTGGAACCTCCACGCGCCGCTGGGAGGAAAGACTGTCCCGCACGACGGGCTAATTGTTGTTCAACGAGTAGAGCCCGTTGATGGGCATCCGAAACCGAAACTGGTGAAAATAAATTCATCGTGTCCTGGAGCGGAACACGTAACCCACCAATATAGCGAGAGACGATTTGGTCAGTCGTCTCGCGAAGCTCGACCCGGGTAATAAGACGATAAATCTCCTCAGTGTACTCATTCACTGACCGAGGACCTTGATGCAAGTTTTGCAATTGTTGGTAAATTGTGCGAATGTAATTAAATGGGAGAAACTCACGCTCAAGATGTTTCCGGAACTTGGCCCAAAGCGAGACTTTCGGCTTCCCGAGCCTGCGGCGGGCTTCCTTCAACTGTTGCCACCAAGCGGCAGCTCGGCCACGTAATCGGGTCGCAACCAAAGCCACGCGTCGGTCATCTGGCACCTCCTTGAAGTCGAGTGCGGTCTAGACTGCGGCCATCCAATCCAAATATTCCGATGCATCTAAGCCACCGGTGAATTCTGGGATGTCAACACGAAAAGAAGATTCCCAACGTCGCTCCTCGGGTGGGAAGTCGTTCTCACGAGCCGGATGTCCAAATGGATTAACGTCGGACAGGATGTCGTCATCTTCACCCTCCCCGCCCCACGGATTAGGCGACCGGGCGTGGGGCGCCCCACGTGCACCCCGGCTACGACCTCCGTGTGCTCCCCTGTGCCGTCCGCCCCGACCACGGTTCGTCCGTTCATCTGTGAAAGCAGTATGGCCTGCCAATCGATCCTCGAAACCCTCGTCCAAATCAGTGATCCGTCGCTCCATGAGATCGAATTGCCGCCCAAACCCTATGTTCATCTCTCCGATTTGACGGCTCAACATCTCGATGGCAGCTTCGACGGTGTCGTTCTTCTTTGGCGGCATCTTGGAACGTACTGGATTCTGGATACCAACTGACGCATCGAAAAATATACGATGGGAACAAGAAGAGATAAAAAACCTCTAACAGATAACTTTTTTCTTATTCCACCAAAACTGATCGTCCAACCCTTCTGCAACAAAATAAATAGACTCCTATGCCTAGTAAAGTCCTAACTTGCTAATCAAGTTTTAATCCTAACATATAAATATTATCCTAACAATAAAAAGAATCTTATCCTAACAATAAAAAGAGATAAATAAGTAGTAATAGAAATAATAATTATGTGAATAAATAATTATTTTAATGTCGGGATTCGATCGTATTTCTCCAAGAAAGCTATCGCGAGCTCGTCTCCATCATATTGTTGGTTCTTCTTCTCATTTCACGACTGATTTCGTTCCATTCAAAACGTGGTGAATTTAATATTTTACAATATTAAACAAAATATAAAAATACTGATTTCTCTCGTATGTGAGCGTTTTCTCTCTTTGGGGAGGTGGTTTCTTGATAATTGATCGGAGTGTTAGTGGGAGTGAGAGTGGTTATTGAGTGAGCGGGAGTCGACCTGAAAGTTTACTGTCGGAGGAACTGTGCTAATGGGGTCGCAATCGATTGAGGAGGAGTTGGAGCAGAAATTAGGACAGTTTTCGCTTTCAGAAACAGAGAGCCAATTAATTGATATTGAGGATAGAGATGTGCGAGTAAGTGCTGAGGAATGTACAAGGAGTCTGTTTGGGAAGATTATAGGGGATCGAAGGGCGAATTACATTGGAGTTAAACGGGTTATGAGTAACATATGGAAGATTGGGAGCAGCTTTGAGGTTCGAGAATTAGGAATAAATTTTTTCCAATTCATATTTTCATCAAAGACAGAGATGCAGAAGGTGGATATTGGGAGAAACTGGATCTTCGATAATCAATACTTAATCTTGAAAGAATGGAAGCGTGGGATCAACAGTGCGCATCAAATGTTTGAAGAGATTAGTTTTTGGGTTCAAATTCACAATGTCCCAATCGACTGGCTGAGCTCTGCTGTGGGCATCAAAATTGGAAGAGTGTTTAAAGGGGTCCAAAATGTGAATCTGGCGAAAGCAAGTGGACTAGGAGGAAGAATTATCAGAGTATTAGCAACGGTGAATTTGTCAGAACCATTGCCAAGATGGACGAAAATCCGGCTGGGGGAGGACATTGTTACGGTTAGTTTCAGGTACGAAAGATTGGTCAATATGTGTTTTTATTGTGGAAAAATTGGTCACTTAGACCGAGGATGCGGTAAACGTGTTTCGGATGTGAGATTGAATCAACTGAAAGAGGGTGAATATGGAGAGTGGATTAAAGCGGAAGAAGGGGGCATTTGGAATAATTCTCCGAGGCAGACCAATCAGTCTGAATCAGAAGGTACTCCACAAACACATTCTCCGTTTAGAGAGGTAGCATCTGAATCAAGAAAAGAACAACCGGATTGTGAACTGCCTGCAAGTGGAATGATGATAGAGGTTCATAATAAGACAAATCACAGTCAGTGTTTGGGAGAATCAGCTGCATCAACTAAACAAGGGTATGGCCAAGACGGCAGAGAGGAGTTAAGTTCAAAATGCCAGGAGAATCAGAATGTTAAGCAACAGAATGGCCCATCATCAGTTCAATTAATAAATGACATGGAAGTGGAGGTGAATCAAGGAGGGAAGAAACTTATGATAATGGCCACTCCAAGTCCTACTCCTCTTAAAACATGGAAGAGGAATGCTGTGGGAGAAGGGAGATTAGTGAGGAGATCAGAAGGAGGCAGTGATATAATCTTGGCTACAGGTTCGAAGAGACCGTGGATAGAAGAGCAGCGCATGGTCAATATTGGCAATAGTGAAGAAAAAAAGGGCAAAGGAAAGAAGCAGAAACAACACTATGAAGATAGGGTGGAGGCAGCCAGCCACAAATGGCTCCCAAGTGACTCATGAAAGCTGTGGTGTGGAACTGTAGAGGTCTGGGTGGGCCCTCTACAGTTCCCCAAATTCGAGAAGCTATCATAGCTCATCATCCAACTTTTATTTTTCTTTCTGAAGTTAAAAAACAAAAAAAATTTTCTTTGTCTGTGTGTAATAAATTAGGGTTTGGAGGGAGATGTTTAGTGGTGGCGCCTGATGGGACAAAAGGAGGTTTGTACTTATGTGGTCTTCTGAGATAGATATCTGTCAAATCAAAGAATGTGAGTTCAATGTTCAAGTGGAATACAAAAGGCCGAAGGATGGGATGGTTGAATGGATAGTGTTTGTGTATATGAATTCTGATAAGCTTATCAGACAGACTCAAAGGTTGCAGTTGGAAAGAGATAAGGATAGTTGGGGGGAAAGGTGGTGCATAGTGGGTAACTGGAATGATATTAGTAGCATGGAGGAGAAGAAAGGAGGGAGGGTTAGAGGTGATAGGAGTTTCCAGGATTTCAACAGTTTTATTGCTAGAATGAGCATGGTTGAAGTTCAGATGCAGGGATATCAATTCACTTGGGGTAATAACAGGGATAATGAAGGGTATGTGGAAGAAAGGCTGGATAAAGCCTTTGGTTCTATGAAGTGGACATCTGAGTATGCAGGAGCTAAGCTTATCAATTTATACAAATCAGCATCAGATCATGGAATGCTCATTCTTGATTGTGAGACTCAGCAGCAGAGGAGACCAAGAAGATTTGCCTTTGACAAGAGGTGGATTAAAAGGGAGGGGTGTAAAGAGGTCATTGAAGCAGCATGGGAAATATCTCAGAGTGGTACTCCTATGTTCAGGTTAAAGGAAAGTATAAAACAAACAAGAATGGCTTTGTCCCAGTGGAGTTCCAATTTTAGGGCTCAGGGAAGGGATAGAATTCAGAAGCTCACTCTTAGATTGGAGGAGATGAGGGCTTTGGGGGGAGATAAAAATTGGGAAGAATGGGAAAGTGTGAAACAGGAGCTTGAGTTGTGTCAGTGCTCTGAAGAACAGTTTTGGATGCAAAAGTCCAGAGTTCAGTGGCTCAAGGAAGGGGACCTTAATACCAGATTTTTTCATGCTTACACATTACAAAGAAGGAAGAGAAATGCCATCACCAGGCTGGTGGAGGGAAATCAAGTGTTTGATTCAGAAAAGGAGATTGAAGAGCATATAGTGAAGTCTTATCATACTTTGTTCACTTCTGAGGGCTCTTCAGGAGGAAGTGCAGTACTTCAATACATTCAACCTTCCATTTCCAATGAGATGAACAGCGATCTAATTGCCACTGTGGACAATGAAGAGATTCAGAGAGCCCTCTTTCAAATGAATCCTCTCAAAGCTCCGGGGGAGGAAGGCCTCACTGCTTTATTCTATCAACATTACTGGCCCTCAATCAAAGAGAAGGTGTGTGCAGCTGTTCAATCTTTTTTCACCTCTGGACAGCTTCTCAGGTACTGGAATCACACTCTTGTATGCCTTATACCAAAATGCTTAAATCCAGTATCTTTGCATCATTATCGTCCTATTAGTCTATGCACGGTGGTGTACAAGATTATTGCAAAGATTTTAGCTTCAAGGTTGAAAGGTTGTCTTGATCAGTGTATAAGTAAGGCTCAGTCTGCATTTATTCCTGGTAGACAGCTGATTGATAATGTGGTGATTGCTCAGGAGGCTTTTCATTTTCTTAATAATCATAGATCTGGAAATCATTGCTTTATGGCTTTAAAACTAGACATGATGAAAGCCTATGATAGGGTAGAGTGGATGGGGTTGAAGCAAACTATGAGCAAGATGGGGTTTGATGTTGCGTTTATAAAGTGGATTATGGCTTGTGTTACTTCCTCTTCATTTGCTTTCTTATTAAATGGCAAGGCTGCGGGGTTTGTTGCACCTTCTAGAGGATTGAGACAAGGGGATCCCCTATCCCCATATCTCTTTCTTATTATTTCAGAAGTGTTTTCCTCCTTGATCAATGCTGCTGAGAATCTGGGTATATTTAGAGGTATTAGACTCTGCAGGGGTGGGCCTACCTTGACTCACCTTCTTTTTGCTGATGATTCTTTGGTGTTCTGTAAAGCTGAGCAAGGGCAAGCAAATCTTTTAAGAAGCATCCTGAATTCTTATATGCTCTTTTCTGGTCAGAAAGTAAATTTGTTGAAGTCTTCTGTTTTTTTCAGTAGAAACACTCAAGATTCAGTGAAGCTTTATATCTGCAACTTATTGAATGGTATTCAAATGCATAGATCAACTAGATATCTGGGACTTCCTCTAGGCCTTGGGAAGTCAAAATTGGAGGCTTTTGAGTATTTGTTGCAGGCTGTTAGACAAAGGTTGGTCAACTGGAAAAATAAATTTCTTTCTTCTGCTGGGAAGAAAGTTTTGGTGAAGGCAGTGCTTAACTCTCTACCGGTTTTTTCTATGGCTTGCTTTAAGTTACCAATGGGTGTGTGTAAACAGATTTCTTAGCTTATTTCAGCCTTTTGGTGGAGCAAGGGAGCAGATATGGAAAGAAGTATACACTGGAAGAAGTGGAATTTTGTCACTCAGCCTAAGCAGAATGGAGGACTTGGATTTAGGGATATACAGCTGTTTAATGAGGCAATGATAATCAAACAATTGTGGAGGATTACAAATCAACCTAATCTGCTGGTAAGTCAAGTCCTCAAGGCTAAATATTTTCCAAAGTCTTCTATTTTTGAATGTCAGTATAAGGCTGCAGGATCTTGGATGTGGAATTCTTGGGTGAGCTGCATTCCTGAATTTGCAAAGGGGATCAGAAAGAGATTGGCAATGGCAGGTCTACCAAAATCCGGGATATTGGGTGGATTCCAAATGGGAAGATGACTAAACCCCCTGAACCTAGAACAACTGAGCATAATCTTGAATGGGTTTGGGAACTGCTGTGTAATGGTGGCACTAGGTGGGATACTTCTGTGGTGAAAAGTATTTTTTCAGATGGAGAAAGCAGAGAGATCCTTAAAATAAAATCAATTAATCCTACTAAGGCTGACAGATGGAGGTGGATAGGGGAGAAGTCTGGAGTATTTACAGTGAGGAGCTCTTACTCTTATTTGATGCAACAGAAAATATGGAAGATGGATCTGGCCGAGGGTAGCTCTTCAGCACAAAAGAATCTGGAAGTCAGGAATAGAACTTGGAAATTAAGGGTGAAAGGGAAAGTGAAACACTTTATATGGAAATGTGTTAATAGCATACTTCCTGTTAGAGTGAATCTGTGGTGCAGAGGGCTTCAAGTGAATGTGATATGTCCTATGTGTGGAGAGACTGAAGAGACAGTGGAACACTTATTTTTTCAATGCAGCAGGGCAAGGAAGGTGTGGAAACTATCACCTATCACTTGGGATGGAGTTAATGTAGCTGAAGGAAATTTCAGACAGTGGTGGTGGCAAATATGCTCAACAGATAAATCAGCTATTTCTGAAGACCGTATCCAATTAACCACGTATATCCTATGGTGGTTATGGCGGTCTCGAAACTTGTGGCTATTCCAAGGACAGAAACAACCGGAGAGGATTACAGCAAGGATGGCATGGGTGGATTGGCAGGAATTTTGTTTGGTGTCTTAGTTGCTTTGGGTTTGAGATGTATTTCTGTTAGTGGTTTGTGTTAGTGGTTAGTGTGTTGTTTCTGGTTTTTTATTTTTTCTGGTTGGTCTTTGTTGTGGTGGCTGTTATCTTTAGTTGTTGGGTTGCCTGTTTAGCTTTGGTATTGTTTGTGTTGGAGGGTGCCGATTTGGGTTTCAAGCTTTATGCTTGCCGCGAATTGGTGTTTGGTAGTGTTTAGACCACTGTAATGGTGTGTCTCCCAGTGTGTTTGTAGCCCTTGTGGCTTGTATTCGGTTTGTTTAAATAATAATTATTATAGAAAACTGCGGATATGAGTACAATTTAATATTTTTTATCTATATCTATGTAAACAAATAGATTTATACTTAAGGAATTTAATATGTGTAGTCCTACGTTTAGGGAACTAAAGGAAGCTATATATTTGGGTATTATAATTACTGGTTTGGTAACTCCTACATTTGTATTTATCTTGTTTATTTTTTCTTCTGATTTTACGGCAGATTTGGTTTCATTCAAAACGTGTTGAATTTAATATTTTACAATTAAACAAAACAAAATATTTGGGTATCTATATAAACAAAACAAAAAATTATAGTTCAAACCCGCGTTAGCTTTATATGTATATATATAAAAAAATGTACAATCCAAACAATTAAAGAACAATAAAATCGAGATAACATAAACAAAAAAATCTCTACATGATTTGTATAATAGTGAACCGAATGATATGACATTTTTAAAAATTTTGTTACCATTGATATCGGTTTTTTTATTTCTAACTATGAATATATTAGTCTTTGTTATTTATTTATAGTTCAAATCTGCTATTTCTTTATGTATATAAGAAAAAATGAACCGTCCAAATAATTAAATTGTAGTTATAATCTAGTATATTATTAATAATGATACTATTATTATTATGAAGTGCTACTCTCCTTTTGAATGGCAGATTTATTCTATAATATTAAAATTACAATACAAAATATTGGAAGTGCACGGGAATCCGGTTATTAAATTAGAAGTTTAGAACGTAATTGACACGGAAATCCGATTGTTAAGAAAATTTTAAACTGATTACGAATAAAGCTTTGAGATTTGGTTTATATCTCATTTATCTCGGCACATTTATAAGATAAGTTCGTAATTAATGCTGCGAGATTGTTAAGGAAATCTGGTTGGACGTAATTAGTGCTGCGACATTATTAAGGAAACTTAAAACTGGACGTAATTAATGCCGCGAGATTTGGAGTATAAAATTACTATAAATAAGGTATAATTAATGTTTATGGCGGGAAAATGTTACTAAAAATTATTTAAGTTAGTTCTTACTCCCTCCTTTCTTATATGGATGTCGTTCTATACTCATGCACAAGGATTAAGAATTTTTTTTTTTGCCAACATTATTCTTATTTAATGAAAATTAACATTAATTAATTATTTTAATTTTAGCTTTATTGTATTTTTTTAATGAAGAAAAACTCTTCATCTTCCCCATCATTCCTTCAAAAAATACATGGCGTTCTTTCTTCAGGCTTTCAAAAAATACAGAGCTTCACCAAATAATTTTCGTTTGGAGCCAAAATTTTGACAAGGAGGTAAAATAAAAATTCACATTCAACATTTCAAAGTTTGTGAAGCAACACCTACAAATGTCTATAAATATGGATAATTTAGTTAAACCTCATATCATAAATAAAGATTTCCAATGGCTTCAAACATTCCGATCGATTGGAACGAACCTCCTTACGACGTAGAAGATGCAGTCCCGAGATCTTCACGTAACATTATAATCGACCTAAATGTCGAAAATAGTCCGGAAATTGGATACCCTGTTATCAAGCTTGACTTAAATTAATTTTTTGAAGATGATGACGAAGCTAGGTCCGATTCATCTGTGGAAGAGGATATTGACCAGCAAGTTAATGGTGGAGAAGGAAATAATGTGCAATAGATTTTCAATGAGTTCGACGACGTCAATGGTGAAGCAGTGGAAACAAGACAAGGTGAGTTATTTTACAGTTAAAACTTGTTTGCTTGAATAATTTGAATTTGCATTAGTTTTTTTTTTTTTTTTTGGGTGCAAGAAAGAAAAAAACAGAAGCAATAACAAGGCTAGGAGCTATAACAAAAAGGCAGATGGGGAAATGAACAAAAATTGGGGTTTTAATTTAGGCTGAAAATTGGAAATAAAAATAAAATAAATTTGGACTATGGTATAAGAGTGTCAGGATGGCTTGCGGGCACACTGTAAATGAACAAAAATTGGCGTCGTTGATAGTTATTTCTTGCCCGCAATATCTGGACTCGCGTGCGCTTTTTTTCTGCTGCCTACTCTTCCTTCATTTGATGGCTGTGAATTTTGGTGGAGTACGCCGACCATGCGATTTGGTGGTGGGTGTATTTTTTTTTTTCCGCCCTTTTTTGGGTATTCTCGGTGGGTCTTTTTGTTGTGCTTTTATTTTTATGTGTTGTGTTGCTGCGATGAGGAGTTTATGTGTGGCCATTTGAGGGTACAAACTTATCTACGGTGGCGAGATTTGGTCCAAAAATTTTCTATGTTCTGAGAACTTATATCAACATAGCACAATAATATCAAAAGTAATTGCAGTATCAACATCACACAATAATATCAAAGACATGGCAAATAAAAAGATAAATAAATCCCGCAGGCTGGATTTTTATTTTTGCTAAGATGAGGGGCGGATGAAAACAAGCAGGAATTGAACATAGAGAAAGAACAAACAAGATTTTTTGTTTTTTATTTTCCTACCTGTACATTTAGAGAGAGGACAATATATTTTTTTTAATTTATCTTGAAGTGTTCTACGAATTGGGAGCACCAGAAAAAGGTCATAAATTTGTTTGTATGTTGAAATTTTGATTGCATGTGGTGATACATACTTACATGGAATCTCTTGGGATTTGAAAATTTCTGTTGGAAAAAATAATTTTTTTTTTGGGTGTTGGTTTTTTGTTCTTTTTCATAATCCATGTGATAAAAAATCTTATTTAGAAATTGTTTTCTCGGTTTTTGTTTATTTCACGTTGGCTCGCCCTTCAATTGAAGTGTTTTGTTCTGTATATTAATTATTTCTCCAAATTGTTTGGTTCTCTATGTTAAATTTGATTACCACTATTTTGATAGACAATGTTCAAGGGAGAAAGAAAAAGACCCTAACTAACGCTGAACGTTGGGCAGTTTACCATGCTTTGTTGGAGAAAAGTGTAAATGGTAAATTGAACAAGAATACAACAAAAGAAGTGAAAGATATGTTCAATATTGGAGTGTGAACAGTTTAAAGAATATGGAAAATTCACAAAAGAACTCCACCAGGCTCATATGTGGATGTTTCATCGAGAAAGGCACGAAACTGTGGTCACAAACGAATTGAAGTGGATTTGAATAGAATTCAACAGATAGAGTGGCATCAACGAACAACACTTACATCTCTTTCTAATGCTTTAGGAGTTAGTTGTTCCAAATTGCACAACCTTTTTATGCGAGGCGTTCTACGTCGTCACTCAAGTGCCATAAAACCACATTTGAAAGACGAAAACAAAATATCACGACTAGAGTTTTGTTTATCGATGCTTGATGAAAGCACAACGTCGAACGAGCCAAAGTTTAAGGGAATGTATAACTATGTGCCCATCGACGAGAAATGGTTTTACATGACAAAGAAGGAGCAAACATATTACCTGCTCAACAATGAAGAAGATCCTCACCGTTCATGCCAAAGTAAAAATAACATTGCAAAAGTTATGTTTCTAGCAGCCACAGCTCGTCCTAGATTTGATGGTGAAGGAAGGGTGGTATTTTCGAGCAAAGTTGGATATTGGGCGTTTGTGACAGAGCAACCAACCCAAAGAAACAGCAGGAACATACAAGCTGGCACGATGGAGATGAAGGCGATCACATCTGGTAAAAGAGAGAATGTGAAAGCGTTTTTAATTGAAAAAGTTATCCTAGCTATTACTGAGAAATGGCCTAGCTCCGGAGAAACTATTTATGTCCAACAAGACAATGCTAGGACACACGTCCCTCCCAATGACCCTGATTTTGTAGCAGCAGCTTCACAAAATGGCTTTGACATTCGATTAATTTGCCAACCCCCTAATTCTCCAAATTTGAATATACTTGACCTTGGGTATTTTAGGGCTATACAGTCGCTACAACAAAAAATGTGCGCAAGGAATATCCATGAACTTGTAGGTGCGGTAGAGAATTCATTCTCTGACTATTCATCCATCAAGCTCAATTGTGTGTGGCTGACATTGCAATTATGTATGAAAGAGATCATTAAAAAATTCTCAAAGCAAATCTGCCACGTTAGCCGGGAGCTTTTCGGTAAATAGACTGGGCACAAAAATCTTCAACATCTCGTTCACAACTTCATCATTGGGTTGAGAAATTGCTTCACCAACAACAACCTTCTCCTCAACCATTGTGGCGCTTTTACCATTTGAAAAACTAGTTCCAGCTGCAAAGCGATTTGGGCGAGAAAATTGATTAACTCAAATTGTGTTTTATCAGTAATGTTGGGTGAAGAAAAAAATCTAGTGCAGGTAATCAGCAGCTAAATTTCATTTTTCAATTGTCAAGAAACTAATTTCAGCAGTATTAGTAACTAAATGCAAATTAAATTGACAATTGAGGATAACAAGAATGAATAAGTACCATAAAATGGAAAGTTACTAACACACATAACAAAAATTGGATCATTAGCTGCTACTGATGAGCAAGGCTAACAGTTCAGTTCAGCAGCCATACTTTATCAACAAATTTGCATACTTTTATATAGAAATGTCAGTCTCAAAAACAATATAAACAAAAAGTAAGACATTTTATTGCATAAGTATGCATTTTTATAAAAACGTATGATGGGTTGACCCACCTCACACAGTAGATAATTCGGGAAATTAGGCGGCTAGGAAAACAGGAGCACTCTTCATTGATCAATTCAAAGCAGTTAAATTGCTAAAGGCTACAAAATCCTTCAGTTATTTTACTCGTTAGTCAAAACATAGCTACACATACCTTCATGTCAATTAAAATCCACAATTATGAATTTTCAAAATATATTACCATAAACACTTGAAATCCAACTAAATACAGAACAAAATTACTTTTTCAAACAAAATCATGATTCTATTAGCCGCTTCAAAATGAAACAATTGCAAAGCTTGCAGCTTTGCACTCTTCCAATTTTTGAAGTTTAACTAAAAATGAAGCTAAATGACCCTCACGCGCACAGAGCAAATAACCCAAGCTCCACGATGGTAAAGTAAAACTAAGCTAAATCCGTGGACTACAAACAAAATTTACCTGGATCACAGAGTCCATAAAATTCGTCCACATCTGAGAACATAGAAAATGAAAATTACTACTAACAAAATAGATTTGTGCTCTAAATAAAAAAAGCAAAAAAAAAAAAAAATCACAATTCATTCTCATCGATGTACAGAATGTTGAGCACAAAGTACCATAAGTCAAGGCGCGATTTGGGCGAGAAAATTGATGAACATCATCTTCAACATCCGAATCAGACACATAAATCTTAAATGATTCCGTCGAATCACTAATTTGCAAAGCAATTGAATGGGCACCATCTAAACTTGCCTTTGTCTTCTCCAATAGTTGAAGGAATTCATCCACAAGAAGTTTGTGAGATTGAACAAATTTAGCAAAGTCAATTTCTGGATTCGATTTTGAAGAATCATAACCTTTCGAATCCATAAATCGTAAGAGAACAAAATAAAGAGGAGAACAATTAGAAAACCTTTGATTCAAAGAGGCAAACACAAATTCTAGAAGATAGATTGGAAAAGAATATAAAGATATAAATTGAGAGAAAAACTATTGATAGCCATGGGAATAAAGCTGATGTTCTTGAAAAAGATGAAGGGATATGGAGAGACGCAAATATGGAGAGAGAAATGGGGACAAAAATGAAAAAATGTGAATAAACAACCTAAAACGTCATCTATTTAACTAATTGTCAAAAAACCTAAAACGTCATCTATAAAAGAAAGGAGGGAGTATACTCCCTTCTATTCATAATAAGTGTCGTTTTGGGAAGTTGCACACTAATTAAGAATAATTTTTTTGCCAATAATAACCCTCATTAATGAAGATAGAGATGGATGTTTTAAAAAAAAGATGAAGAGAATATGAAAAGACGTAGTGTATTTATTAACTAAATGAGGGTAATAATGGAAAAATATGTACAAAAGATCCAAAAACATTTATTTTGGTTAATAGTTGATAAAGCCAAAATGACATTTAAAAAGAATAGGAGGTAGTATAAACTAGTACAGTACCCGTGCGATGCACGGGGTTTATTATCTCTATCCCTTTTAAAAAGCAATTTTCAGTTAAAATTCAAAGTACTTACTAAATGAAAGATCATGTCATTAATAATTAATAAATTAATAAATATAATTAAAATAGAATCTATATATTATTGAACATTTTTTTATATACAACGTTCATGGTTTGATTCTTTGACATGTCATCGTCGTCACAAATTAGGATTTTCAAACCATTTCTGTTTGTGACATGGGAGACAACAACATACAACTGGCCATGACAAAATACTGGTTTCTTGAGAAATAAGCCCACATATAAATGATTGTCCATGACTCTTATTTATAGTCATGGCGTAAGAAACCATAATGAGAAACTGTCAGCGCTGGAACTTGAAAGGAATTCTAATATCAGAAGGAAATATAGCATTCTTGGAATCAACACTTTATCACCTGCGTGATCGCCAGTGAGTATCTTACACTCGAAAATGTGAGTGGAGTGCTTTGTCACAACCAATCGTGTCTTATTACACAGACCCATAGAGGAGATATAGTTACAAAATATCAAGTTAAAAAAGATCAGATTAGCTTAAGAAATAAGATCATACTTATCAATCCTATTATTCAAACCCTTATCCGAGTAGTTACTTGTTTTCTAGATATATATTTGTAACAACCATTAGTAGTTTGGATAGTGTAGATTATATAAATCAATAAAATATTGGTATAACATATAACTTCAAAATTGATTTACGTCAGGTTTTTAAGTTGAGTTGAATTTATTTTCCTAAATAATGTTATTACGATCGACTTCAAAAAATATGTTTATCCGTCTTTGTTAAAATAAAACAAAAACAAAAAATGTGCAACGTGTTACATGTGTCTTGCATTTTGTCGATTATTGAAAATTATGTGTCATATCAATGTGACATAATGTTTGCCAAAATCAATGAAATTTGTTACAATTTAATTTTGTAAGGCTTTTCGGATTGATTGAAAAATAATATTTTTATTTTGATATGTATTATTTATCAAATCTTGAGATTTTTTCTGCAATATTTAACTCCAAACAATCCGAAAAAATTATGAAATTTGGTACCAAAAGAAATCTCAAATATTATTGACAATATATTATGGGTAAATAACTATGAAGTGTGTTACCAAAAAAACCGATATTTTAAAAGATTTGTTACCACAATCAGATCAAATTTGTTAACAAAATCCGAGATTTGTTATCAAAATAAGATCAAATTTTGTTACCAAAATCCGAGATTTGTTATCAAAATTCAATCAAATTTGTTATTAAAATCCGATTAAATAGGTTGACATGTGGGGTTATTGATATTGCTTATATTAGTAAGTCAACAATTAATTTCTTATTTTGAACATTATGTGTCATATCAATGTGACAAATAAGAAATTAATGGAGTTTGTTACAATTTAATTTGGTAAAACTTTTTGGATTGATTGAAAAATAATATTTTTATTTTTATATGTATCATTTATCAAATCTCGATATTTGTTTCTGTAATATTTAACTCCAAACAATCCGAAAAAATCGTGAAATTTGTTACAAAAAAAACCCCAAAGATTATCAGCAATATATTGTGTGTAAATAACTATGAAGTGTGTTACCAAATAAAAAAACCGATATTTTATCACAATCAGATCAAATTTGTTAACAAAATCCGAAATTTGTTATCACAATCAGATCAAATTTGTTAACAAAATCCGAGATTTGTCATAAAAAATAAGATCAAATTTGTTACCAAAATCGAGATTTGTTATCAAAATCCGATCAAATTTGTTACCAAAATCCGATTATATTGGTTGACATGTGGGGCTCATTGATATTGTTTATATTAGTAAGTCAACAATTAATTTTTTTAAGTCAAAGTTACTATTTTTGTATTTTTCCAACAACCTCTTTATATTATTATTATTATTATTATTATTATTATTATTATTATTATTATTATATATATATATATATATATTGCATATGGCTTACAGACTGTGTCTGAAATGATACCTCAGCCTCACTGAAATTATTCTCATCTTCCCTATCATCATTGATGTCACCACCAACCACATAAATCTAAACTACAGTTTTCTTATTCTTACCACAACTAATGATCTCCATAACTCCTTTATCATCACTTACATCTTTCAAATTATCAACTCCAACACCAGCACCAGGTGTTCTATACACAATTTTTTCATACTTGTTAACTCCCAACTTCTGAATTTCTTCTTATAGGTCAAAGTAGCCAAATCTATCAACATATAACCCATAAATACTCTACAAACTACCACCTAGATAGTCCATAATAGGCTCACAACTCACAAAATAACCTTCAATATTGACAATTAATGCAAATTTTTCTCTGCAATTAAACATAGAAAAAACGTCACACTCAACAATTCAATCACAATAAAAAAAATTGGTAATTAATTTAATATTTTAAACATTAATTCTCCCATAATCCATAATTTTATAATTAGCCCCAATTATATCATAACTCTAATGCTATCACAACCCTAATTTCAAAATGAATTTACAATAACAAAAAACTATAAGCAATTCAAAATTGTTCGATACCCTAATTTTGATATAAACCCTAATTTAAAAATAAAACCCTAATTTGAAGAGGAACCCTAAATTCAGAAACATATTTTCATTATCGAAACCCTAGGTCAAAATCCACAATCATATTTAACAAATCGATCACTAGTTATTGTATAATTAACACTAAATTAAAAATTCATAAACAAACAAATATTCCCAGATCCCTACCACCAAAGTTCGACTTTGGACGGAGAGAAACATGTGAAATTTCGACAAGAACAAATAAAAAAATGAGGGATTGATATACCTGTCGGTCATAACCGCTACAATGGGACTGCAATTTGTGAGATTCGACAACAATGAGATCGCGATTGTGAGTTTCGAAAACAATAGGACCACCAAATTGAAAATGTTTTGAAAGAGAAAATTTTTTGTCTAAAAATTTGTAAGGGGAAAACCATCGTTCACGACCTTTTTATATACTGGTTTTTACCCCATCAGAAAATTCAAACCATGTTAGCAGGAAGTTAGTCCACGTATGTAATATTAACGGGGCGCGCTGACAAAAATATGACGGCCGTTTCATTTTGAGTTCGATTGCAAATATAAGAGAAGGTTAGGTTATTATTGCTAAATTCCAAAAGTTTGATTAAAATTGCAAAAAATTGTAAGGTTCTGATATTAGGAGCAAATTAGGTCATTTTAAAATAAAATCTAAACTTCTTTCCTTTACCCCTTTCGTCATTTTTGCATTTTCTTCACCACCTCTCCACCCACCCCACCTCTCTCTCTTCCTCTCTCATTTGTTGATTCGCCTGAGCGCCATTTCTCAAAAAATGGCGAACGAAAATGATGGAGATGGTGATTTGGATAGAGAGATCAAAACGTGTGCTGTGTTGGGCGGAAGGGGATTTATTGGCCGCACCTTGGTGGAGAGGCTGCTGAAACTTGGCAGTTGGATCGTCCGAGTTGTTGACACCGCCATGGCTCCCGACCTCGAACCCTCCGAGTCACTTCTCTCCGATGCTTTATTCGCTGGCCGCGCAGTTTATTTCCAGGTTGATGTGCGTGATGAATCCCAAATCGTCGAAGGTATTTACTTCAGTTTCCGCATTACGTTCGGCTGTGATTACTATTAACTGTTGTTGAACGATGTACCTCGTGTGGACGTTTAGATTTTCGCCATAGGATTGTTTCAGATATTGACAACACAGTAGTAAGAATGGACTTTTATTCCCCCCAAAGAAAGCTGTTAGTTGCGTTCGAGCTTTAAAAAGATATCAGGACTTGATTTTAGACGACAATGACAAATTGATTTTTCCAAGTACAGTAATGCGATGGCAATCATTAAATAGGACCACATGTATGGAGGGTATTAGGGTTTATTTGATGGTGTTATGTTTGTTCATTCACTGTTGGTCGTGTTATGCCCGATGCTGGTTTGGTGGATTGTAATTTTAATTTTGATGGGGAAATTATACTTAATTCCTGTGCAATATTGCGTGTTCCTATGATGATTTTAGGGTGGCCTTTGATTATTTAATTTGAAAGTACATCAGTAATATACTTGTCTGTGTACTGTGTTGGTGTTCGTCATGCATAAGAGTTGCCACGAGTTTCATGTGACAAGCAATTACAATTGAGTAATTGAAAGCTGATTTACACTTCGAAGTGGGACTGCACGTATCTATATGATCTGATTGCATGATGCAGTGGTATTTGATACTCATTTCATATTTCCCTGATATTGTATGATTTGGCATATTCTAAACTACCTAATATTGGATTTTGATAATGGTGGGCAGTTGCTATTTTTATTTATATTGGGAAACTTGCATGTTTCTTATTACCACTCAGTTTTACAAATTGCCATGCTTGAGATGCCAACAATATCTACAACATGTTATAGTTCAACAAGTTATCGTCAATACGTGAAGCAAATAATGCATTTCTAGTTTCTAGATTTCGTTTTTCTTCCTTTTTGTCCCATTTTTCTGCTGCTTTGATGTCCAAAAAACACGAAAGTAATAAACAGTCCGTTTGGATGCATTGAATTGGGATGCATCTTGTGCCTTGGACTTCTGAACAACTTGTAGTAGATGTTTGTGCTGCATCTTGAGAGGATTTTTTTTCAATCCCAAAATGTATGTTGTATGTATGAACAGAAAATGTACATATTCTGTGACGTAGCAATCTATTTATCCCAAGATGGAGTTCTTTTATGCGGAACATTGAGAAGTTCTATTTCTCATTGCAAGCTTTATTTATTTATATACTCATTTATTCTATCCTCTATTTATACCAAATTATCGCCTATGATTCGTTTCTGCCTTTATTGTATATCCTATGTTGTTTCGCTAGTTCTGCTTGGATTCAGCAGGCCAAACCCTTAGTTTTGAAATACATTACTGTCTTAACTTTGTATTCTTCATTTCCTTTTGCCAGAAATTGGCATGGTAACAAGTGTTCTTTCTGTGCAGCTGTTAAAGGCGTTTCAGCTGTTTTTTATACTGAATCAATGGATTCGTTCCCTCCCGATTTCTATCTTTGCTACAATATAATTGTTCAAGGTAAAATTTTCATTGCTAGGTTAGGTATTAAATTGAATGGGTTTGCTATATTGCATCTCATCAAATACCTTTGTCCTTTTTTGCTTCAATTTTTCAGGTGCAAAAAATGTAGTTAATGCTTGTCGAGAATGTAAAGTTAAACGGCTGATATACAACAGCTCTGCTGATGTAGTTTTTGATAATGCCCATGATATATGTCTTGGAAATGAGTCCATGCCATATTCTGGCCAAGTAAGTTTTGTAAAAATTGAGGTTACTTTCATTTTTTGTGTTTCCAATCAGCAGTGATTCTAATTTTCATCCATGCTGTGCCACAGTTTCGGGACATGGTCACTGACCTTAGGACTCAAGCGGAGGCACTTATCTTATTTTCCAATAATGTTGATGGCCTTTTAACGTGTGCTCTTCGTCCGTGCAATGTATTTGGGCCTGGAGATAAACATTTTTTACCCTTGCTGGTGAATGTGGCAAAATCCAGCTGGGCTAAGGTCTGCAAGCTAGTTTAAGTTTACATAATTACCTTGCCTCAGATATTTTGTTTTTCTTACAAATGTTGGTGGATTGATTTTTTGTGATTCCATATAGTACTTTCTGACTAGACAACCATGCTGCTCTGGTTAATCACAAAGTGAAAGTATCTGTAATTGATTTCATTATTAATAAAATGGAATGATTACAGTTTATAAGACTTCAATGCCATTTTCTTAAAGCGTTTGCCACGGGTTTAAAGCTTGTCATGCACCTTAAAACCGGTGCATGCTGAAGTCATGGAGGCCAACTGATTGTTAATTTTTTGGTGTGGGCTGGGTCATGTACCCCTGTTGAAAGTATACCACACTTCGAAGCATGAACTTTTGTTCATCTAAACCTGTTAGAATTTCCCATGTGATCCATTTAGGCCCATTGAAATGAAAAAGCAGGTTAAGGAAACTATTTCTCGTTTGCTGACATTTACATTTTAGGAAGTGGAATTTTCTTGGGACCAATATTTGCATCCTTTTCGGCCAAACAATATTAGCACCCATGAGGAAACAATTAGTGGCATTTGGCTGACTAATAAGTAGTCATTTATTAGCTTAAAGTGAAGTTTTATCTAGATTCCGAGTAATACATTAATGTTGGCATTTTTTTTTATCAAGGAACCCTGTAGCACCCATTGGAGAAGAATTACCAGCTGACTATTTAACTGCGGGCTTAAGTTTATTTTTGCCTTGTTTGTGTAATTATGTTATAAATTCTAGAAACTTCTGAGATTGTTTTGTTATCATGGACATAATATTGATATTTTATGATGCGACTTATGCGGTTATGCCCCCTTTACATGAAAAAAATAAGGCTTGGTTCTTATATGCCCTGTCCAAGGCCTTGTTGCATTCCTCTGCAGTTATTGTTTCCGTCTTGCACATATGAAGATGGGGTTTGGGTGTTTTTGAATTAGTAATAGGCTTCTCATTTCAGTTTATTATAGGAAGTGGAAACAATCTCTCAGACTTCACGTACGTTGAGAATGTTGCCTATGCTCATATTTGTGCTGAAGAATCTCTAAGTTCTCAGTTGGCAACTGTATCTGGGAAGGTATTTTCATTATCTTAGTTCCTATATGTACTGTGGTTACTTTTCCTTTCAGATGATACATTGGTCTGAAATTTTTGTAGGTCTTCTTCATAACTGATCTGGAGCCAATGAAGTTCTGGGAATTTGCATCTGTTTTGCTGGAGGGCTTGGGCTACCTGAGGTAACCAGATCTCTGTTTTTCATATGATGCTTTGGAAACAAATAGCTCTTGTTGTATATATCTACGTTGCATGCTTGGTTTTCTTATGGATCCACACTTGAAATTTGAACCTCCACAGTGTACTCAAATGATTAAAGAAATAAAGTTATGTCAATGGCTTGATGCTTTATGGAGATATATATTTATGACACATTGTTTTTCCTCCAACTCCATGAGTTGATATAAGAGGGCTGAAAGCACCTTTTAGTGGCTAGAAACCCGTTTTGACAATGATGAAAAATATATTTCTATGATTCTATCATACTATTTTTTTTCTTAATTATTCCCATCTGTATGTACATGTTTCTATATGAATATTATTGATGATCTATTGGGGAACCCCTGCCTGACCTGCCTGAATTTCACACTGCTCCAAAGGTTAAACCCAAATAGGCCTAACCTTGGATTCTTTAGGTCCTTTTAGTTTTCTACCTTGTTCTGTTTGCCAGAAATCCATTTATTTTCTTCGAATTAAGAGACCTGTGAACTTGACTCGTTCTTATCAATTGAAGTTTAAGACAGGTCCATTAGTATATAATCCCAATGATTAAAATTCTTAAAGCATCAGTTCTCTAATTAATTTGATGATGATGTGATCAAAGATTAAAGCATCTCCCTACATTTTTCCTGTCCTGCATATTACTGCTTATGCTGGGCAAGACGCTACGCCCTAAGTGCTACCTAGTTTTTTTTCAGAGCATTGACCAAGATCACGTGTTTTCACGACACGACTTCCTCTGCTAGCAGAGAACTGATTTTAGAGCATTGATCGAGATCACGTGTTTTCACATAACACGGCGTTCTCTGTAAATCATTCACAGCACTTTTTCAAAGCAAGTTTATACTTGGAGAAGAATTCATAGACTTATTTAGAAAGCCACAGACCAACTGATCTCAGATGAGCCATCCTGTTTCCTTGAGCTTTAGAATCACATATTACAAGATATTTTATTTGGTTCTTACCACTGTGCCACACTGACTACTTGACAAGCAATATAGACAGAGAGAGGGATACAATAGGGGATAAATACAATGTTAGTGATTGCTGCAGAAGGATAAGAAGATTGACCAAATGACCAGAAGAAGACTTGGTCGCTGAGAATAGTTGCTGTAATAAAGAAATATTATCGTCAGATTATTAACCGTAGGGGCCTCTAATGTTAATATATCATACGTGTCTAACTTTGAATTAGCTTGATAGTTTGAACGTGTCTGAAAGATCCCAAACATTAGAGACATCACTTGCAGTGCACCTTATTATGCTTAGTCAAGATAAACCCAGTGGCATACATAATAGTATACTAATGGAAATTTTGCATAATTTTGAAGGTAGTGGAATGAAAAAATAAATTAAAATATACCATAATTTTCTCTGTAGCATTATCTAATTCTCACTCTTGACATGTGTATCAATAAATTCGTCTTGTCTTTTGACCTGATTGTTATCTTAGTACTTCGCATTTTTTGTTTTTATTAATTAGCTAGTCAGCAGTGGCAACTTCTGGGTTTTGTTTAACAAATAATATCAATCCTAATTTTTAGCCCTTGTATTTGTAGTGTAAAAATTCTGGTAAGAATTGTAAACAGGAAAATGGGCATTCAAATAACCAATTTGTCAGATAAGTGGTCAATGCAATAGAAAAAGTCTACATCCAATAAAGTTCCAGCATGAGTCTCTGGGAGTTCCTTTGTTAACTTGCAAATTTACTACATCAGTATTTAAGTAATTGTTTTAATGTTTTGCTCCTTGGATGGCTAAAGTCTAAACGTGATTAATAACCAACGATAATCATGTTTTTGGTTGTTTGTGTCACCATGCTAACTTCAACTCACCTTTCTGTCTTCAGCTATTCCTATTCCTGTTTGTCCGAAATCTTGTAAACTGAATCATGCTTGTTAGTCTTTTTCTCTGTTCTAAACCCGTTTGTTAATTGTGAGAAAGTTAGTGAATGGGTGTTGCTTGTAGTGATTATATGCCGTGAACTTATGCTTATGGTATTCGTTCTGTTTCGTGTTACAATTTATTTGCATAAAAGTACCCAGTGCAGCTATTTTCACAGGGAAATATTACATAGCTCAACCCTTTGCCCGAACCCACTTTGGTTGAATTTTCTTATTGTTTCGTTATCTTTGTGAACTGATTGCAGGCCTGTCATCAGTCTCCCTGTTTGGGTGGTCCACCGTATCGTTTATCTTATAACATTGCTGCATGTGAAGTCAGAATCCAGAAAGCTTGATCTATGTGCTTCTATTTACATTATTGCTTCTTTAGCTTCACGCACGAGGACTTTTAGTTGTTCTGCAGCACAGAATCATATTCAATACTCACCAGTTGTCTCCATGGAAGTAAGCTTTCATCCTTGGTTTTCACTATTAGCATTTTCTATTTAGTATTTACAATCATGTGTTGTGTTGCATTTCTTTTCCTGTGTTCTCTTTTGGAGTCACTGGCTGAGGTTCGGCTCTATCCTGGGCTAGTTTGAGGTACTGACTTTGTTCATAGGTGCAGTGATCAAAATATTTATCTTATTTTTTTCATGATAAATATGTGGCAAAGCCTACCAAATTCACATTTAAACCATAATTCAGATAGTAATATCAACCAAGCTACCAGGCCGTGACATAGATTTAAAAGACTAATCAATGATGTATGGCTTACATGGAAAACCAGTTTTTGAGGCTACAGGATACGTAATGTTACTTTGCGGCAATGTTTTGAAAACCGAACCGGTCATCGAACCGGTGAAGCTACCGGTTCAATGGTTCACTGGTCGGACCAGTAGTCGAACCGGTTTAATTAATATTAATTTTATTTATTTTTTATGTATAATATATAATTGTATATATTTTTATCATTAGTGTTATAATTGTAATGACATTTATCTAAATAAATAAAAGGAAAAAAAGGCTTATGTAATGTCCACATTTTGTAAGAATTTCTACAGGCTTATGTATGTAATGACCACATTTAATATTATTTTTATTTTTATAATTTAATTCATCTTTACACATTAACACAATAAGGGAAGGTTGTTATAAAATGAAATCATGAAGGATAAATAGCAATTGGTAAAATACTAAAAACAAAGAAAAATAAGAAAGTACAACAGTATCAAAGCTAAGGAATCAGGATATTTGTACCTAGCTAAATAGAATGAAATTATTATTTATTAATCATACTAACAATTTGACTAAATAATATACAAATGTCGAAGGCTAAATGGCTGTTTTAAGTGCCATTATAATAGAGAACATAGGCCCATTAACGGCCCATTAAATTGAAGCTTTTATTTATTTGTGTGCACAACGTATCCCTCATCGGCAAAAGAAAGAAAGAAGTTCAGCTATTTATATGGTTGTACAACTACCTCCTTACAAGAGATCAGCAGGACCGCTGGCCCCCTTGAACCAATACCGGTTTAACGGTTTTTGCGGTTTCAAACCGGTTCAAGCGGTTCTTATCCGGTTTTGAACACTAGCGGTTCTACAGCTCAACCCGGACCGGTGTATGGTCCGGTTCCCGATTGAACCGGTCGAACCGGCCGGTCCGGTCCGGTTTTCAGAACATTGCTTTGCGGACAAGGTCCTGTCATTCCTTTTTGTTGTGTCCTGAATCCTCTCCTTGATTATTACATGACTGCACCTGAATGGTATAAGCAAGGAAGAATTGTGTGTATGCTGAATAAGTTAATGAAAGAGGTTGCATGTACATATTTTAAATGGATTATTCACTTTCGAGCTTTTATTGGACTTAAGAAATGATTGTTATGCGAACCATATATTACCATGAATCGGGATCCTATACTTTATATTTCCTGGAAAATTAACAAAGAAATTGATCCTCTTATTGTCAGGAACAAAGTATTTATTACATGTTCTTAATGTATTCTAGTGCATGAAATGAGCCATAGAAAGTCCATTGTATGGGATATTAAAAATGTTAAGAGCATATACTGGCTGGGGTGGGTTTGTTTTCTCTACCAAACTCTTAGGTTTGAGTTGCTTACGCTTTTAATTGGTCTAGGTCATACCTGAAATAAAATTCTTGGCTTCTGAGATTTAAATGTTATCTAATTTGTGAATAGAGCTTTGTCAACTATTATATAAATTTATATGTTTCTGGATTGAGGTTTGCAGAATGGAATCTGCAGATTACAAGTTTCACATGTTTACTTATTGCATGCTTATTGACCTGGGATTTACCCAATTTGGAGCAGATTTCACGTTCTAGGTATATGTTTTGAGGTGGATGTATTGTTTGACACAGGAAGCGGTGAAGCTAACTGTCGAGTCATTCTCCCACTTGACTGTAGACTCATCTTTCACGAGATATAAGGACTCCAATGTACCGTCAAAAGTGGAGAAGCTATTAGGCAGTGGAGAAGGTATTATACTATCACTGTTTGTGGTTCTATATTGCAGTTGCATATTTTGTTGCATGTTTATTCCAGTAATCCCTGTCAGTAATTGAACTTTGTTGTCTGAAGTAACCAATAAAAATTGCAAGCCCTATCTCTGATACCATGTTGTCTGAAGTAACCAACATATTTCCTTGAGAGAGTAATGGTACAAAAGGCCCTATTTATAGTACAAAGTAGGAGACTAACTAGACTAACCAAATCCCATAATTACGGAGAATAATTATGCGTACTCAATATCTTTATTCTATATATCTACAATATATTCTATTCTAATAAACTTGTTATTCTTCAGACAACATTCAAAAACATCTCTCATGTGGTGTGTTGACTAGTAATGATGAGCTGTTTATATGTCTTGCTGGCTAACTTAAGCTCTCTCGACTAATAATAGTCAGAGAAAGGTCGGCTCAACATTCTTTTGCTTCCATCCCCCCCTCTCTCAATGTGCTTGGTGTTGTGTAACAACTGAAATGTGATAAAGGCGTGTTATATTTTTTTTCCTCCACAGTGACACTGTTTTATATTGTTACAGTTGCAGATATTCTGTTGTGGAGGGATGAGAGGAAAACCTTTCTTTCTTTCTTAGTTCTTGCTCTCCTGTATTACTGGTTTTTCTTATCGGGTGGAGCTTTTATTTCATCAGTTGCTCAGCTGCTTCTGCTGATAACTGTTTCTCTTTGTGGACATCACATTTTACTGTTGATTGGGTAAGATAAAATACTTGCAGAGCATTGCTCTTTAGCGTTTTATAGTTCATTTCAGCAATACCTCTTGAGCTATATGACCTGTACGCTGAGATTTTTTTCTTTTTACAAATTAACTCAATTATCTTTCAAAATTATAAATACTGATGAGCTCTATATTTGTTTTCCTCTGATCCCCTCAGTACAGGGAAACATTTAGAAATAAATTAAGTTGGTAATATCATTTTGGAAGATTTGTAATTAGGCAAAAACTCAAGGAGGTAGTATCTTTCCTGTTTGTTTTTCTCTCTTGTCATTCTAGCAACATAAAGTTTGTGGACTATATTATCTTGCTTTTGATTCTAAGCTTCTTTCAATAACTAAACATTTACAACATGATTTGTCAGCATGCTTGCTCGACTCTTTTCTTTGCTGGGCATAGTTTTATTGTCATTTACGACTTAATAAAAATGGTCCTTCCATCTCGATTTACCTTGTACTTCAGTGTATCTAGTTAATATTATGCTTGTTAGTTTATTTCACTTGTGTTTTTTCTACAGATATGGATCCAGAGTTCCTAGATTATCATCATCATGTTTTGAGATCTCGGAAGCTGACATGAGAAATTCTTTTTTCACCATGAAATGCATGGTGGATAAAATAGATTATCTGATAAAGTCATTGGCACAAGGAGAAGACTGGTTTCTCTTCTTAAAGGTATGTGAATATGTTTACTCTGAATCTTGTTCTTCAGTCTTCACTGAATTTGTTGGATAATCTGGTCTGTCCTCTTTATGCAGTAGTTGGATGTTAAACATTGTTCGATTTATAAATTGGACCAGTCCTCGGCCTTACGATTTTTTCTGATCTTGGTGGATTAGAAATTGTACCCGTTGGTTGGTCAAATGAAGTAGGATGTCTCCATGCGAGGAAAACTGTTGAAACATTTTCATGCCTTATAAATCTAGTCATCAATGTTTATCTTGATGCTCTAGTTTTCTTGTTTGGATGGATGTTTAGAAATAATGATTGAAGTTTTTAGTGATACCCTTACTTGAAATGCTTGGTGTCTTGGTGGGTGACTTCCATTCTTAACCATAAGTTCTGAGGGTAAATTGTAAAAGTTACATGAGATAACATTATGAAATTGTTTAGAGAGTCCTGAAGATCTAGTGATTGGAGAAAGATTTGAGATACTCAAGAAAATGACTAGGGAATGATATTGTGGTTTTCAAGCTTTCAGGTAATCGAACTGTTACCTGTCAATTTTACAATTAAAACGTATTTTGAAACAACCATACCCTTATTGTATAGGTCAAATATGGAAATGAAATATGAAACAGCTCAAATTCTTATGGACAACAATGTCTATTCATTTGGTAATTGCTTGATGTAGAATACTAGAATGTGATCAATTACCTATAGCCAACAATACATTTGTACTTGGAGGTAGCATTAGTATTGCTTGGCTGATATAGAATACGGTCATACAACATACAATGCCATTGAGTTCGACACCTAGGTATTTCACTTATTATGGACATGTTCATGCACCACGACTTTGTGAAACTGGATTACATGCAATTGTGGATCTGATAGTAACTTGTAAACCATATTCAAAGGCCTGTAGTTATAGGTTCAAGTGAGCTCTTTGGTCACCTCATGCTGCTCATCTATATTGTTCAGAAGTATTTTGAATAGACTTGACTATTGAATTATTGATCTGTCAGAATACTTGTATTTTTTCTTTTTCCTTTTGGCCTATTTAATTTCTGAAATGCTGAAAACAGTTTTTCGTTGTTGCTGATTGGGTGATCTGGATGTGATATGAAGCAAATGTTTGAGAGGGGGGTTTTTGTTTTCTGGTCCAATAAATTGTATACTTAATATGGTTTATGCTTCTCAATTTTCTAACTTGTCCCACCAGACTGTTTTTTCATACTTTACATATCAACATGCTTGGCATGTCAACCACATCATTTTTCTAGTATATGTTCGCTAGTAGATGACAAGTTGGTTTTAGTTAATTTGCTTTAAAATGATAGCTAAATACACTGATACCTCAAAAGATATCTTTCCCCTCTTGGACATTGATTCTTGTGTAAGAAAATTTCGAGTGCAATTGAAATTTGATTTTAGTAAAGAAACCGTGTAATTTTCTATTTTATTTTATTCTAATTCCTTTTCACGACTGCTTTCATCGTCAAACTGCACCAGACCAGACACATCTAATTTGTTCATTTAATTTAAACAGGTGTCCATGTTCCTGTACTTGTGTAAGGTGATCATTCCCCATTACCTGACTACGGCCATTGGCTTGGGTAAATTAAATAGCTCGACTCAAATTAGAAATCGATATGCTTTTTTTAGTAAACATGTGTGATCCTTCCAATTATTGCATAACCGTTTCTTATATTGGTACAAAAAAATTGGCAGCATTGATACTTTCGTTCACCTTGTGCTACGTGTATGAGCAATATGAGGAGAAAATTGACGGGATTGCAAGAGTTGCATACAACATTGGTGTGAAGACTGTGATCTTACTCTCAAAGAAATTACCCGTGCCATTAAGCTCGGTTTTCTCACGCTGTATATCCCTGGCAGAGAAAAAAATTTAACCAATGTACTTGGTCTGATAATCGACATTGAGAGCTGGAGGTGGGTATTGCGAAATACTTTTTTTTTTTTTTTTTCTTTTTTCCCTTCATATTTCCTTAAGAAGAAAGCAGAAGGCTACTCCTTTTAACCTCTGTATATATGCAATTCTTATATGGATTCTGTTCTTTACTGAGGATAATATACGCGTTCTGTGGTGTGAAGTTGTTGCTTGTGAAAGAAGAAAAAGAAAATCCATCTTTCAGACACCTTTTCTCCACCGTGTGGGTCTTTTTCTATTACTTCAGTACTTCCAAAGCAATTTTCAATATATATTATATTTGCCAATGGCGATCAATTCTGGGTTTGTGACAAGGTTACTGTGGTTACAAAATTTCTGCCCTCGTGTTTTAGAAATTGCACGACTTATTAATAATTTCCGATCGAAACCCCCAAATCTGTCAAGTTTGATGTTTTATGACACAACTTGCTTACATGGCAAGGAATATAATTTCATTTTACAAATCTCTCAAAGTACATTGTTCTTAAGAAAAATAAAAAATTCAAAAATTATTGTCATCACTTTTTTTTTTTTTGGAAAAAGAAAACAAATAATACCTAATCATTATGTTCATACTTCAGGAAACCCATGTACAACAACATAAAATCTAGAAATAAAACATGATAATTTTTTGGCACACAATGATTATTTAATTGTGTTATTTGTTTTAATCAGTGAATTGACGAATTGTATTAGGTGTTTGTAGTAAAGTGTTCACTAAAATTGATAGTTGATATTAGCTCTTGTACAATTATTTACAAGGAGATTTATATTCTTAATAAAGTAAAGTACTAAATTTTGTTTGTATGTCCAAGATTTATTTCATAATGTACATAGGAACCAAAACTTTTCACTTCAGTCATTATTCATTCAAGCTCATTTTTTCTTTACCATTCCACTACCACAATTTAAAAATAAAAGTCGGACATTATTTTATTTTTTTTAATAAAAAATTTGTTCTCTTTCTCACATATCTTTAAGTATCAATTATTATCAATCAATATTTAATTATTTTTATATCACACCAACTTTAATAAATATATTTTTGTCTCATTTTATTCATAATCGATATATTACACTAAGACAAACCATCTGCACGAGTGCCATGTTGGAATTCAAGGTACCAATCGCCCAAACGCACTGCCACGTGTTGTTTGCTGAGAATGAGTTCATTGCCAACCCAATACAAATGCTAAAAAACAATCAATCCACACATATAAGTGTACTTGTTAGTATTTCTTTCTGAAAATAGAAATATTCTTATAGAGTTATCTTAGTTTTGGTGCCACAACTTCAACTGAATGAAACATAGTGAAATGACAAAGTTTATGGCTGCTAATGGTACATTGCTACTAAACAAAGCTTGCAGTCCCCAAGCTCCTCAAGTCCAACTTTAGAGAAGAGCGTTTTTTTCTTTCTTTTTTTTCTTTTTTTTTTTTAATTCACATATATATCGTGATTGCTAAATAATTGCATATATACTAATTTTAATTTTAATTTATAACTATACTAAAACCCTAAATTTTATTTGCAAGTGTACTCCTGATATCCCGATTTCGCTTTCGGATTCTTAATTTCCAGGCTTTCCATGCTCAATTTCCCGATTCCGATTTTGGATCCTCAATTTCGAGGCCCTCGATTTCGGATCCTCAATTTTGATTGCGTTGTTGGGGTCGTGGAGGAGGGTGGCCATGGAGGAGGATATCGTGAGTTTGGGTTGGGGGTTTATGAGATTTTTTGGATTTTAATATTTATTGGATGATTATTAATAGTTTACATTTGATATATGAACATAAATTTTATAGTAAATATAACGATAATATAGTCATGCTATAAATTACAAATAAACTAAATATAATCTTAAAAGAACAATAGTATATGTACAATAAAAGTGTATCCTTTGTGTATATGTGCAATATTTTTTAAAAGTTTAATATTTTTACAAATGCTTCGAAAAATATAGTATATATATGATTTATCCTTGAATTAGATGACAGTTGATAGAACTCAATGGATAGTTGATTGAGTGAGATGATAGAAGATTAGATTTTTGTCATGTTTGAACTCAATGAATAGCAATGAGATGATTGCAAACAACTTAATGAATTAAAAGTTTGAAAACAACTTAATGAATTAAAAGTTTGACTAACTTATTGAATTAACTGATTAGGCCGCGATTGATATATAATAACAATTAATTAAACAGTCATCTATTCCAAAAGGCTCATATTTTGAGTTTTTACAAACTAGCTAGTAAAGTGCACGTGCGATGCACGTGGCGACGAATGTTTTTTACCGATTAAATTTAGTACGATAAATTAATTAATTTATTACACATATGACTGCAGGAACAAAATAAAATGTAGAATAAATAAACTTTTTATGCATTTTATTTTAAATAAAAAAATGTTGTCGTAATATAAAAAAATTTATATATCATATTACAACTCCAACAAAAGTATATGAAAAATGAGTTCCTAATGAAAAAACAATAAATGACTAAATAGAGACATAATGTATATTATAGATGCATGAGTTTTTTAATTTATTTATGTTAGATTCAAGAGTCATTTTCTTCTCATAAGAAACATTCATACTCGTTGAATTCTAATACATCAATAGTATTGCAAAATTCTTCTTAATTAATTTGACAAAACGTCTGTTTTATTCAACACTTAGAAATACATTAGCCAAACATATAGTCAAACTTTATAATTGTATGATTATTAGGTATTTCTACTAATAGTTCATGAGCATGTTTGTTTGTAAGAAATGTTCAAAAAAACTTCTACATTTTAACTCAACCACTTTTTTTAACTCAACTTTAACTCACTCCCACTATCATCAAAATTATCAATATAATTAAATAATATCAATCAATCATTCATACACACCACATTAACCTTAATTCACTATTCATCCACTCACATTATTTTAACTAACAATCACTTCAAATATCTCTCTCATACTTTTACATCATATCAATTTTAATTATTTTATTATAAATATTATTTTAATATACCCACTAACAACTAACCATATCACCTTTTTTAAAATTAACCAAATCAAACCAAAAAATCTAAACAAAATCAAAAAATTTTATAAACAAACATGCTAAGTATCTCTGTGAAATAAACAATTGTAGCATTAAATTTCTTGATATTTGTGTCATTAAAATTCTTGATTTTTCTTTTAATCACTGTATAAACTACTACATATCTCTCTCTCTCTCTCTCTCTCTCTCTCTCTCCACATAGACAAATTGGTACTTACCCCAGAGGTGGGAACAAATATCATCTCTAAATAAAATTTGATTTTCCAAAATCATGTACTTCTCTGAAGGTGCTAAATTATTTTTTTGAAATCATCACACATTACATGAAAATATGTACTCTAAAACAATTGTGCGTATGATCTAGCACAATACACAGTTATGATTGTAAATATTCTTATCAAAAAGTGACAACTTATTCAACATTCACAAATATTTTAATCAGTATCAAACATTCCCTTTTCAGTGTTATTAATTTGGAAGATAGTTACCTTCCATATTCTTCCGGATTTGCAATATTTATGTGTCTAATAACATTTATTGCATTTATTGTTCAATCTTTTGTATCATAACTAATGCTTGAATTTAAAAAATTCAAGATAAAGATCCTTTATTAATTCTCCAATAATAACAAAACAAAACAAAACAATGAGACAATATTGAGAAGTATTTGTCAAAATATTTCAGATGAGAAGAATTTGAATTATACTATATTATGATACTCTTAGTCATCTGTTAACTTTATTATTATGAAGTCATTATTAAAGTTTGTGGTCTATCTTTTGATAATATCGAATCATTATTTATGAGAACTAATTTCTTATAGAGAACATATACTTAAATGCTAGCAACAAAAAAAGTAGTAATTTTAAAAGATTTTTGTTTCTTGATATTAGTATTCATACTTTTCTAAAACAATTCAGAATTTTTCTTTTCCTCATTGCATTACTATTGGTTTACTTGTTTTTTTTTTTATTTTATTCACAAATAATATTTTATTTCTTGAAAGAATTAGAGAACATTTATATGCAATGCGTTCTTTTTACGTGTTTGATAGTAATAATATACTTGATAAAAATGTAGTTTTATATTGTTTATAATATTAAAAAGTGTTGAATTTATTTCCATGTTCTGACAAAATATTAAGTAACTAATTCATGTTTTTATTCACAAAAAATACATTTTACAACCATTATGGTGTTCCCTTTCAAGCAATAATTGAATAATAGTTTAACATACAACCGATATATTTTTTTCTTTTATTTCACATATTTAATATTGGTAGTAGTTGTACAATTATATCTAATTGACTTTTTTCTTAGTATGAATAATTCAAATCTATGTCAGAAAAATATACCACAAGCTTATCTTATATTATTTTATAATTAATAAAATTAATTTAACATGAATTTATAATTATTTTATAAGATTCTTTTAGGTCTATTTATTATTTTAAATTGGTATTGATATATATATATATATATATATTATTTTACATCGATATAAATAATTATATTATTTTTATTTTATTTACAAAACATTGGTAAAATTAAATATCATGGGAAAGAAATGATATGATATATTACATAAAAAAGGGTAACCAAAAAAAAAATTAAGTATTTCAAAAATAAGAAATTTAATAGTAAAAATTAACTAATTTTTTAACTAAAAATTTAATTTCTAAGACAAAAAAATAAATATATTTATTATAAATGTGCATCTCAAGTATATTTTTACATTTATCATTCGCTAGCTCCAATTGATATATGACATTTATTATTTTTATCATTTTTTTTTTATTTTTGAGTGGAATGTCAGTTATAAGCTTTCTCGTTGTGTAGTTTTACTTTTTTATTACGTAGAACATCATTTTTACATCTTGTTTAGTATTAATATTACATTTTCAGTAGAACATCATTCTAGCCTCTTCTTTAATTATTGTAATACTAATAAATTATGTAAGGACTTTTCAACTTATATGTATTTTTTTAATTACTAATTATCATAAATTAAATTATAATTACATTAAATATGTTATATTTTGTATCATTATCAAAAATTTTCAAAACAATTAACTGCACACAATATTATATATAGTGCAAATTTTTTAGTTTCATTTGGAGTCATACTTTTACTACAAGAAAATGATGAAATTCCAATGAAAACATATTACAACGAAATTTCAACAACAATTCTAACGAATATTTCAACGTTACAATTTTCGTTTGAATTTTTCAATGAAAATTATAACAAAAATATTTTGCTGCAATCATGTGCAGATCCATGTTTGTCCAATAATCCCGAAACTGGCATCATCCCAAAACAATATCTAACAAGCATTATGGGAACATTTTTCATAATTTTAATCATGTCCTCTATTTAGAAAATAAAATTAAAAGAATAAAGACAAATAATGATTAATTTACAACTCAACCAATTATAATTTAATTCAACTCATAAAGTTATTAAAATTATAACATCAATTCGGTATCCCAACTAAAGAAAATATGATATCAAAGTTTTCAATTTTACGCTTTATTTCTCTCTTTTCTTTTTATTCATGATGATATCTTATTATCTCTCTTTTTCGACATAATTTTTATCTAATTTTAGACAATATATTTTAAGTCTTTTATAAGTGTATGTAGAATTCTAATTATATATTCGTAATTTATACAATCATCCATTATATTGTCGAGTCAACTATACTACAACATAAAAAGATTTTGAAAAATGTGTTATTTTTTTATGATTTTCTTATGTCGAATTGAGAAAAAAATATGTTTTTTGTATAATATTATTGAACTTATTGTGATTGTATTGATGTGTTAAAAAAAAGTAATACATATGAGAAAGTTGACAAATTATGAAAAGTATACTTTATAAATTGTAATGGCATTATGTTTTTTTGATGCAATACTTTTTGTATTAATTAGATAGTACTCTTAACATGAAATTATTTTGGATTCGCCACTGCAGCTAGTTTTTCAATGGAACTTTCATTGTTTTTCCCAATTTCAGTGACAATTTTTTAATGGTTGAAATATGACCAAAAAAAAAAAATCCAACGTAAATTCACACAAAAATAAATATTAGTAATTGAGATATTAAATCTACAAAAATTTCAATGTAATTTAATTTACTCACCATTGGAATAGCTAGTGAATCTTTTCAATAGAAGCTATACCAGTGAAATATTTGTTGGTATTTTCTGTGGAATACCTTACTGTTAGATTTTTCATTATAATATGGAATTTTTATATTCTTTCATAATCATTAAAATGTTTATGTAGTAATTTTTTTATTTATTAATTGTGATTATAATTTTTCTTTTAAAATATATTAAAACATCTACTTTTTAGTCCATATAATTTTCTTGCAAGTCACTCGTTATTTTATGTTGAGTTTACCTATTAATTTCTCAATTGAATTAGTTTCCCTACATATTAATGGAAATAAGTATTATTTTTATATGCAATATAATATTTATATATTATATTAAAAAAGCTAATAACAAATAAAAATTATTTAAACTTACAATAATAAATTTATTTTTAAGAAAATTAAAAGCCCTAACATACATAGATTAAAGTACAAATAACTATTGTCAATAACCTAAAACATACACCTATAATTACTAAGTACAAAAAAAGTAACAATCCCGCTCGTTTACATCGATATGTATAAGTTTTAAAAGTTTTATACTTATATTGATTAATTATAACATTTTTAGTTATTACTTTTTTTCATATGTATTAGTAAGTATTACAACTTAATTAAATTTTTAATATTATGTATCAGATTTAATATTTTTTTACTTTATATTGTTCTTTCATATATATACATATAACTTTTAAATTTGTTAAAAAAATGCATAAAACTATGTATATAACTTTTTTTGGTCATATGTCTTATTATATCTATTATAGTTGTACATTTTTATATTATATTATGTATAATTACAATTTTCTAATTAATATTATTATCAAATATTAGAAAAAAGATATTTTGTACATTTTTTAATAAAGTTGATTTATTGTAATAATACATATTAATAGATAGGTGAGTAATGGTACTATATCGATAGAAATTCTTAGTAAAAATAATTAATTTTCAACGTATATAGGCATATCATGATTCACTATATATTTTTAATTAATTTGAAGATAATGATGGATAAAAGTACAAATAACTATTTTCTATCACCTAAAATTTACACTTAAAATTAATAATAACAAAAATTAACAAGCGTTTAATAACACCTGAATTGCGTTAAGAAATTGAATCCACCAAAAAACCAATATTAGCTTTCTTAATTCCTCTAATAGTGACTCAACTCGTTTACATCGATAAGTACAAGTTTTAAAAGTTTTATCTTTATTTTTATTAACTATAGCATTTTATTGTTACTTTTTAATATTTATTAATAAGTGTTACAACTTAAAGGGATTTTTAATATTATTTGTCAAATTTAATATTTTTTTCCTTTATATTGTTATTTTATATGTTTATATATATATATATGTATATATATATATATAACTGGTTTTTTTACTTAAAAAAAATAAGAAAAAATGAAGTGGACAAGAACAAAACAAAAAAAAAAGTTGTGGAAATAAATAAAAAGCACGTATTCTGAGAATACGTTTTTTTTGTAATTTTCATTGAAAAACGTATTTGCATAATACGTTTTTCATTGAAACACGTATTCTGAGAATACGTTTTTCAATGACAATTTGTAAAGAAAACGTATTCTCAGAATACTGGTTTTTGATTTTGGTCCAGATTTTTTTTTTTTTGCTTTTATTTGTGTCCACTTGTGTTTTTTTTTGTTTTTTATATATAAATTTCCCATATATAACTCTTATATTTGTTAAAGAATACATAAAATTAAGTATATAACCTTTTGGGTCATATGTCTTATTATATATCAATTAATTGTACACCGTTCTATTTTATTATATATAAGTACAATTTTCTCATTAATTGCATGAAAATAAATAGACTGGGTTTTAGTATTATACATTTTCATAAAATTATTCTAACTTTATTTTAAGCAAATAAATTGGGTTGATTAGAAGTTTCGATTGCAAAACAATCATTCAACAATTAATCTCTCATACTATTACAAAAATTATTATTTTTTATACGTTATTTTGAAAGAAAAAATAGTTTCTTTACTTTATGGGTGTTATGAGGACAACATTATCGATTTCAACTTTATTACTTATTGTTATTACTAATAGATGAGTAATGGTGATATATGATATAATTATTGGTAAAAATAATTAATTTGTTGCGAATAGGCATATAACGATTCTTTAGATATGTTAATTAATTTGTAGAAAATTGTATGATCAAAATAAAATCATGCTGCTCAACTAATATCCCAATCGACATGAAAAAAATTGGACCGGGTTTTAGTATTATTTAATTTCATAAAATTATTCTAATCTTATTTTACGTAAAGAAATTGAGTAGATTAAAAGTTTAGGTTGCAAAATAATTATTCAAAAACTTATTTATCATATTATTACATAATTTATTCTTTTTTTATATGTTATTTTGAAAAAAAATATTTATATAGTTTGTGGTTGTTATGGGGACAAACAACATCGATTTTAAATATTTTACTTATAGTTATTAATAAACTTGTAAAATTAAATAAATATTGTTGAAACAGTTATCTTATTTGATAGGATACTTACGGTTAAACTCTTAAATTTTATTGAAAAAGTAATAAAAGTATTTAAGAATCTTGAATAATATCAATAAATAAAATATTTTATTTATAAAATTTTGAATTATAATCGTTTATAGAGCGCTCAACTTGAAAATTAATTGCTCAAATAAAATAATAATAATAATAATTAAAATTTCATGAACATTTTTATTAATAACTGAATGAAAAATTTAAATATGTTAAGTCTTATAATTAAAAAATTACGCAACTTGATATTAATCACGTAATGGTTACGTAAAGATTCGTTAACTCTATTAGCTTTGCGACCAAAATTTGAAAATACAAACCACTAAACAATGACCATTTTTGTGGGATCAAAATTCAATCCAATAAAACTAAGGTGCAATCTAATTCTAGTTCTAAATACAAGAGTTTATTTTTCTTAAATAATGATCTAGTTAAATGGATTCTTTGATTTTTCTAGTTTGTTAGATTATGTATATATTCCACGTGTGCATGATTTCAGTAATATTTGAGATATCTTCTCTTGATTAAAGTTATGTATGTATCTTGTAAGTTATTTATTATATAAAATTTACCCCTCAACTAAGTTATCATGTTTTACCAAGATTTATCGTTTTGTTAAAAGATAGGTAAACAAATAGTTGAGAATATTTAGATCTTTTATAAGTATTTAATCTGTTGTTTTTGTTGCATAATTTTTTGTTTAAATAAATTTTATATATTAAAATCATTAAATATGATTACAATTTTATCATCGAAATTATATTAAAAATAAGGACGTTATTCAAAACAAAAATTCAATATCATTTTAAAACTTTGTTGTTTGGGTTAATGTTGAGTTGATTTTTTAGAGATATGGAAGAACACGGTTTGAGAGATATGTGAAAGAAACCAAATTCTTGAAGAATAATAGTGTGAATATTGTGGTTGATTTTTAAGAGATGTGGAATGGTTTATTCATTTAATTGTATTAAATGAATAAAATATCAAATGAGTATTAGTGCATTACTAATTTGAGATTAAAAATATGTCAAATAAAAGGGTTTTTAGGTAAATATTAGTTATTAATAAAAAAAATATAAGATATGTTATATATTATGTTATTACTAATTTGCTATTAAAAATATACCAAAGTAAGGGTATATTAGTTAGTTCTTTCTTTAACAAAAACACTCATCATTTTATAGTAGTATTCTGAGTTACCATTTTAGTTAGCACAACATTTAGACATAGAATATAATAAAACATTTGGACTAAATATTACATAAGATTATTTTGTAGATTTTGTTTACAAGAACCAATCTGTTTTGGTGGATGGAAACTTTATTTTTTTTTCAACAGCTACTTAGCTAAGAGAATTATAACAATTTCTTCAAAAAACACCTCAATCTCCATCATTTTTAGTAAATTTAGAATTATTTGAGTCATACTTTGGGTGTGGATCGTAATAGTTTTCAATGTTATGCTAGTTTTCAATGTTACGTTGTTATTTATTTAATTAAATATTAATGATTAACTAAAAAATATAAGATTTGAAGATTATTAGTGTATTACTAATTTTTCATTAAAATTAAGTCAAGTAAGGGTTTTTTAGGTAGTTCATTTGTTAATTAAAAATATAAAATAAGATGAGTATTATTGTATTACTAATTTGCCATTAAAAATAAGTCAAAGTAAGGGTTTTTTAGACAGATCATTATTTTTACAAAATCACTCGTCCTTTTATAATAGTATAGATATAGATAGATATAGATAGATTAATATGCTAAAAATTATTTCAAAGCGCTACTTACAAAATAATTAAATTAGTGATTATGAGAGGTCAAACCTCTAACTGACCTCAAAACACTAATTACTACACAAGATTTTTCTTTTTCTGTTTCTTAAAAAATCACAATTATTTATTCATTTATTTTTGAACCATCCTCCTTACAATGTTGCATTTTGGCCTGTTCCCTTTTTGTCTTTTTTTAGGTCAAGATGGAATCATATTCTGACAGCAAACAACTCATTTATTGAGGATGAAAGCAAGACTGCTACATAACATGCAAGGGTTCAAAACTACCAACACATGTAAAAGCATATGAAGGGTTGATTATACATAAAACAACAACTCTTTACATGACTGTGTAGCCTGGTCCTCCTCCACCTTCTGGCACTGTCCACTTTATGTTCTGCTTTGGATCCTTAATATCACAAGCCTGGACAAGTACACAAAACCAATCTCATCAATGGAAAATGAAAGGAAAATAGAAAACAAAGAAATCATATTGGTCCATCCATTATAAAAACACAAGTGGTTTCCTCATCTTCGTCTTTTTGTCGTTACCAGAATAAGAATCCTGGGTAGCTTTTGTAATTCATCGTTCTTAATCAGTGTTCTAAGAATCGGGCGGGTGAATAAAAATTAATAAAAATTAGTTAGTAACAAATAATATTTTGGACAATCTTCGTATTTGACCGTATTAATTATTACATAGTATAGTGTATCTTGTAAATAATTTAGGGTAATTACAATACTTTTTTTTTTTACTTTGCAACCTATAGTGTCGTTCTTGGAAAAAGCAACTTGAACTTCATGAGCAATCATTATTTACAACGACCATACACGAGCGTTTATGCGAATGATTATATCGTACATTAGAGGTTGAATTATAAATGTTCGTAAATTTCAAGTTGCATTTTACTAGAAAAATACTATAGGTTGCAATGTCTAAAAAGACGTATAGTACAAGATGCAAAAAGTGCTTTACCCAAATATTTATGCTGATAAACATATATAAATTTATCAACATTATTACAATCCAGCCTAGGAGCCCCAAACCCGCTGGCCAACGAGTGTCCAGCAATTATTAGAACATTGGTTACCATTGTGACCTTATTACTAAGTTTCTGTTTGTTTTTCTATGTAAGCTTCTAAATAATTATATGCAGCTGTTTTTCTATCATAGCAACCAGTGAAAAGCGGTCCCATTGAGCTGTGCAAGGTTTGAACTGAACATACCTTGCAGTGCAAGCAGTTTTGAGCATTGATTTGCAGCTTTGAGTGACCTGTTTCATCCACTACATACCTGTCATTTACAAACGAGTTAAAAGTTGAAAAAAACCAGCAATCGATGAAAACAATTGGACAATATTCATCACGAAGCATACATACTCGTAAACACGTGCTGGGCAATATCTGGTTTCTGGTGCAGCATACACAGGCAAGTTTACAAGTTCAGGAATTTTTGGGTTTGCCAAACGAAGGTGAGCTGGCTGGTCGTGATCGTGATTTGTGTTGCTCCTGAAAAAAAAGAAAAAATAAATCGAGAAGCACGTGATAGAAAAACCAGGAGTTTGAGAGAGAGAGAGAGAGTACCGGTACAAAGAGGTCGGTATATCAAAAGATACAACACCATCAGGCTTTGAATAATCAATGGGCCTCCACCGTTGTGCCTCCTGAAAATTTAATCATCAATAAACATCAATAAGGAATTTGAGAATTTGAGCATTGCTTCTAATAAAGAATATGATATAGATGTAAACTTCAAGCTGATAGGTATAATAAGCCCAAAAAAGAAATGAACTGTCAGAATTTCATGACCATGTAGGACTTATGTGGAAGGTACTCTGTACCAGTGCAGGGGGGGATGGCTGACGTTGGAAATAAACTTAAGATTCCAATAAACGCAGCTATTTCGATTTGCTTAATGCGATTAATAAACAAATCGATCTGGAGTCCAAATATAGCATTTATTTAAATGAGTCAAGTCTAAGCTCCTAGTTAAGCTCGTGAGCTTGTTTGTCTAAAAGCTAGCTCCTGAACAAACTCTTATTTTGTTTAGACTTATATCATTATTTATATATTGTTTTTACATAATTAATTTTGCTTCTCTATATAAAAAATATGAAATATCTAAAAAGAAAGTGTTGAAAAAACTTTGATAAATAGAACAAGAATTAACGACAAAGCTGACCACCTGGAATTCAAGACTTAAAGGAGAATAGTTTAGTGCCTAATCTTCCAGAAAAACATTTGTTGTGACAACAAAGAAGCTCTTTTTATTGTATCAAAATACAGTATGTCATGAACAAACCAAACATATAAGGTAGATTGTCACTTAGTTCGTAACAAAATTCAAAGAAGGGTTCATTTCTACCGGATAGAAATATTATCAGAAGACCAGCTCATATATGTAATCACTAATGCGGTGCATGGAGTACAGATGAAAGACATTTTATGACAAGCTGGGAAAGAATAATACATATCAGTGAACTTTGTATTTGAACTCTTGAATAACGTAATGAAACAATCAGTTCACTGGAAATTACAGACCTTAATATTCTATGTTCTACAATCACAGTAGGATACTGTTGCAATATTACATTACAGAGATATAGCATCCCATATAAGATAAACCGACAGAAAAAGAATATTGACTTCACAAGAAATTCTTACATCAGTCGCCTCATGGTCGGGTTTTCCATGCTTCAATGTCCACGGTGATCTTCCCCTCATTACATAACTGGTAAAGACAGCATAAACTAGTTGGTAGTATAGTAAATTTGTACAAAGCAACAACTGCAAAAATTAACAAACATGCTTTCTCAACAAATAACGATCAATCTTACTGTTCTAGAGCGCTTAATGCTAAACCAGGAAAGAGACCATACTCAAATGCCTGAAATATAATTGGAGACATGTTACTACAGACAGAGTTACTGTGACATTGTAAAGGATAAACTAAGTTCTAACTCACTGGGCGATAGTTTCTGGCACGGTGAAGTTCGTTCCATATCCATGAACTTCTTAAGCTTTCCCAGAACGCCTCTAATGATGTCCCTTCATGGAGGGTACTGAATACAGATTCTGCTGCTAACATACCTGTGAGACAGAAAAGAAAATGCATTAGCATAACCGATGTGTGCAGAAAAATTGCATTAGATTGATAGATGTGATTGTTCCTCAAAATCAGTCTTATAATACGCTGGAAATTAATCATTAGTAAATCATTAAATATATTAACCCCTTATCATGCTGATCATTCTATACAGATGAAAATATATCTCGGAATACTAACATTTACAAGTTGAACATAGTTCATCATCCGATGTCATTTAAACCTAATATTTAAGCTGGCAAAAGCAGAATCACTATAAAACATATTTGCCATAGCAATTAGAGAAAGACAGGTTCGGAAATGGCCTGATTAGCAGGATGAAGGTTTTTAACTTCTCTATTTTGATATCATTCATCTGTTTGAAGTTTGCTCTTACGAAGACAATCAAAACTCTTCAGAAGCAGTAAATAGAAAATGGGTTTTTAAAACTCGACAAGATGTACATCACAAAGATAATATACATATTAAAACGGCATGGTTTTTGAAACATTCTCTAATGATGCATATCATTCATCATCAAGTCACAATTACCAGACCAGGGAAGTAACCAAATAATAGATATAGATTACTGATACCTGATTTCATTGCAGTGTGTGATCCTTTTATTTTCGGTACATTTAAGAACCCGGCAGAACATCCGATGATTGCTCCACCCGGGAAAACTGGATAGGGAATTGACTGAAATTTAACTTAACATCATGAGCATTAGCATTAGATTATACATCAACCTTGCAGAAAACACTGTATTGAGGACAGGTATTTCTTTCAGTAATTAGCATATGAACCTAACGTTTCCACTTTCCAACTTTATTAATCATGATAATTACTGATTTTTATATTTTTATATTCACTCATAAACTTAAATTTTCAAAACTGAAGGAGAAAGGAAGTTTTGGTTCACCTGATAACCTCCTTCATTTAAAGTGCGAGCCCCATACTCGAGAACTGTACCTCCTTCAAGGATGGGTTTAATGGCTGGGTGATGCTTAAATTTCTGTAGATGATAAACGAAATATAAGATAAAATATTTATGCATTGCCAATAGCCACACTAGGCTGGTTAGCATAAAGTTAGAACAAACCAGCCCTGAAATTTAGCATGCTACTGCTTCTGATAAAAGTCATTACAAAATCACAAAGTAGTCCCTCGTCACTATTCTTCAATTTTACAAATTGCACTAGTTGAGCATGTAATTGTAAAACAAACACAAATCTCAAGGGGGTTATTTCTGAGATAGTGAGAAGGTAAGGGGACTAGATCATTGCAAATGGAGCTGGAAGAGTCATTGTTGACAATTCTCCTGGCATAGTGCTAATAATGGACTAGATCAAAATGACTCAATTAAATTCTAGTGCTTCTTCTATTAGTGAAGTTTCTAGAAAAAAAAATATATCAAACGGCGCAATGCACCTTGGGTCGCTACGGAAACAACCTCTTTGTATAATTACAAGGGTAAGGTCTGCGTACAACTGACCCCCCAAACCCAACCTGTTGGAAATATACTGGGTATGTTGTTGTAGTGAGAGGTAAGGGGACTGTACAAGAGTTTAAACTTCAATTGAGGGAGGTATGGAACTCTAGAAGTATTTTGGTATAGCATAGGGAATGGAACGAAATCACTTTTCCCTTCCTGAAACAATAATAATAATATCCAATTCGAAGAAACTATTTGCTAACTCTTTCTGTCCAACTTTCTATCCATTCCAGAGTTTGATTGATTGAATCTTTATGCAGGAGGTATTGACTTATCCGTTATCATTGAACAAATGAATCACCAAAAACCTTCTGTAATCTCTCTATAGTCCCCATACACACCCTACCAAAATCACTATACAGTCGATGGATATACTGGACACATCTACAACAAGAAAGATGCAGTTACCAGAAAGAAGAAACATTTATTCACGATTCATACAGAAATATAAGTTAGCAAGATTCAAGCAAATCCGTAGAGTGCACGTTAACAGTGATATATAAGAAGCAAAAGTGATCAAGATATGTTCCATATTTACCTGAAATTCTTCGTAAGGATTCAAGAAAGGATTACGATAATTCAATGCAACTACGTATCCAATGGCCACCTACAGAGAAGGAAAAAATAAAGGAAAATGAGATATCAAAACTAATAATCTCAAACCACCAACTATTATCTGCCACTGGAAACAGATAAAAGGAAAACTATTGCAAGATGCATAAGTTAGGAACAGCAAGTTGACGTCCATTGCCAGAACTCTTGAGATGAACAAATGTGACTACAGTAGCTCAAATAAAACCAGCATATCCCATCAGTTAAATCTAAAACTCCAAAACAAGAGTCCAAGCCCTGTTCAAAGTTTCCAGGACTAGAAAAGCGCTCCTTCAAAATGTATTTTTTAAAAGGGAAACAAGAAGAAGACAGAACCAAATGAAATCAGGACCCAAAAGATTTATATATATATATATATACAAAGGGAATCAAGAAGATGAAGATACCACAAATAAAATTGGATATCCCCCAACAGTCAAGCCTAAAACCAGGAAACCGTAGTCCAAGCTCTGTCAAATCTAAAATTAGGAAACAAGAGGCCAGGTTCTCTCAACTTTAAAACTAGGAAACAAATGAGTATTAAAAACTATTACGTGAGAGCAACTAAGAGAGGAGAACCCTGCTATATTCTATAACTTGGTTCTGCCATCACTTTCCTGTCTAAATCACTCCACTGCTGAGATAACACAACATTGTAAACTCTATGGCTTCACAGATAAACCCTCATGTATGAAGCATAAGTTATCTAGCCAAGAACAGAAGATGACTTGATAAACATTACCCAATGTGTTCATGGTTATCTGAATCATTGTCACTAAAAAGTATTCCCCTCACTATATACACATATGACAATGGAGGAACCTACTAGCGACAATGTCGAATATATTTTCTTCATTCAACTTACTAAAGTTTGCTCTAAACTATCGTGAGCTAGTAACTTGAAATGTTTGTTCGCAAAAATTCTTGCAATGCAAAATTTCCCTCCAGAAAATTACCTCAGCTCAATCAGAAAAATTAGATTGGTCATGGAATCATTAGCCACATAATAATCTGAAAATTCGAACAAAAAATCACAACTAAAATTCTCTAATTTTCAATTTTTTGCCCCATCTCAATATCTTTCAATTAGGAAACTGTACGTGGTTATGAGTACTATAATACTATTACCTGTCTATCCTGCATATGATATATGAAAGAACCCCCATATGTCTTGGGATCGAGAGGCCAACCAATCGTGTGGAGCACGGTGCCAGCGCGATGCTTGTCTGCAGGGATTTCCCAAACCTAGCAGATAAATCAAGTTCAGGATCAAAGTATTTTCATGATAAAATAGAAGCAAAAGATCAGATATATATGTATTTCAAGCATTCGTTGCGAGAAGCTAATCCTAGACACGTATTTGAAGAGGAAAAAGACAGTGAAAACACACCCTTCTCTTTTGATATTATCCACGAACAAATATATGCAAGCATGAACTCATGCTATTAAGCTTTCCATCTTTATAAATTTGGTGTCTGACACCTTTATTTTCTGCTAAAGATTAGAAAGACAGAATAGAAATAAATGAAAGATTAATCATAACTAAAAAGGACAGAAAAAAGATATGAGGAACATCAACTGGTCTGGCTTTATTTTCTGAAGAACAAATATTAAAATTATTCACTCACTAGAACTCAGTGAGAGCCACATATTCAGGATATATACATAAAGATAGGTGCATAAAAAGAATAAGTAGAAGCTTGTGCAACCAGAAAAAATAGACTATACTTGTGCAGAGTTTAGAAGGAAACGGAAGGTCTCTCATGTGGGATGCTGCAGGCTACCTCTTTAATTCCTAAAGCATAAGTCTGATGTTGCCCGTTCCCTTTAGCTCGCAAGTTGTATTTTTGAATTACTTTCTGATTATACACCAAAGAAAATCGGATAATATTAGTCTCGGAAGAAGAAAAAATCCTTATTAATTACAGGAAACGGATCACTGTGGCAAACCTCAGATAGAGATCCTCGACAACCTTCAGCGAACAGAGTCACACGTCCTGTATTAAACATACTGTAGATCAGCATAAGCAACTACTTAGCAACCTACGACACACAACATCCTAGCAAATACCGATATAATCCTTTTCACTAAATTCACAAGCTACCAGCTTTGTCCCCACAGTCCCAACACTCCATAAATGCAAAACCTTTTCATTAAGCAGGACTCCTGGTCATTAGAAGCCACAAAAAGAACATATATACTGCTAATCAAATAGAAAACATATCACACTGTGTACTATGACCTGAAAAGGTAGCTATACTTTCCACTTGGTCCAAAATTATGACAAAATAATTACTTCACACGCTAATTAACAATGAAATGAAAATGTAGATGCAAAATATGAAATGCCTGCCACCAACCCAAGGAAAAAAAAATGTATGAGCTCGAGCAAGGAGACACAAAAAGTGTTTTACATCATAAGACTTGCCCTTTAATTCTACACCAGGCTGAAAGTTGTCTTTCTTAGAGCCATCTTTAGCAATTCCCATGTCATTGGTAGCAATGCCAATTACCTTGTCAGTTGTGTCATATAGTATCTGAAAGATGATGAGGACATGAGAGCAGAAATCAATTAACATTCAATAAGTAGTCTATAAAGGGTTGTAAGTACCTCACTAGCTGCGAACCCAGGGTATATCTCAACTCCTAATTCTTCAGCCTTCACTCCCAACCAACGTACTAACTGACTTAAACTGCCGAAAAAAAGGTCACATGAATATAGCATACAGACTAAGTCGCAACATTATATAAAGACCTAAAAGTTGTTAAAATATACACATCAAAGTCTCGCATTTCAAAATGTCAAGTGTTCCTCAAATATGCTAGAATAACGTACTATTATCACATCAATATTGGATACGAAAAGAAAAGAAACGAGGATCCTCTGAAATGATGCAGCTCAAGGAAGTACGATAGTGTTAATCAAACAAATTTTACCCCAAGGAAAATCTCAAGGAGTTTTGGGTTTCAAGAAAACCCAGTTCTTCAGTTTTAATGTTTCTTGTTACATTCTTTCACATTGCATATCAGCAACATTCTGTTATAATCTCTTATAACTAGACAAAGACATTCAGTGGACGCCTAGGCAGCCTAGGAGCATAAAATCAGTTGACAAAAAACACTTATTTCAATCAAAGCATAATGAACAAGCTTCTGAAAAGGCAGAGAGAATTTTAGCACTATGTGCTTGATTTGAAGAAACTTCAAAAATAACAAGTGGTTCACTCGCTCATGAGAACGTAGTGTTCACTTGCCACATAGAACCACATAGACATTGAATTATAATACCACAAAAAGATTACTTTAGAGTTTGAGTAAGGAAAGTGCATGTGTAGATTCTTAATAGCAGATAAGGTAATGTTTACCTAATGACATAATTTCCACTGTTATTGAACGGAGATGGAAGGGGAAAAGTACGAGTTTCAGAAAGCAACCAAAACTTATCAGAAGAAACAGGGACGTGAACAGGCGCCTGCAAGTAGTGTTAGTCATTTTAAAATCAAACTGATTCATATCAACGAAGAACGAGAGGATTTGTTGCATAGGTGAACATATAGACGGATCATCATCTATGAAATAATTAGACACTTCTTTAAGTATAACAAGGTTGCAAAAGTTGACAATTTTTTGAACCATTTATTTTCTTGAAATGTTACACTATCACGACATCTAGTCTATAATACAAAAAATAATCTATTTCGTGTTAATGAATATATTAGACACACGGTTTAAGTCTCAAGTTGAATTCTGCAGGATTCTGCTAAAGTGAAACTATCATTCTGCAGCTGAAACACAGAGATATAAACATTCTTAGTGAAACGCTCAAGTCACTCTGCATTGACACTAAAAGCCTATATTCATCGAAAGGAGAATAAAGAGACATTAACCTCCTCCTCTTTCCAATTTGGAAGAAGTTCATCCAGTGCTCTAGGTTCGAAAACATTCCCCGATAATATATGAGCACCTATGGAATCAAGTGACAGAAGAGAAGGATCAGTTGTTTAGAGTTCTAGATGAAGAAGTAGTAGCAAAGAATATCCATATCAGTAAACAATTTTGTGGAAGCCCAACTAAGAGACAGTTCCTCTAAAATTATATAGCTAGCTCTTAATAGGAAAGCTGAAACAGCTAATTACAGTCTGAAAATTTATCAATAACAATTCTGAAGAAGCATGTTATACAGAAAATGCTAAAGTGTAAATGTGGGACATAAATAGTACTACCTCCGTCCCACATTCCCAAAAAGATGGTCTTGGTTGCAATTTGTGTTTGTCCCACAAAAGATTGGTCAATTTTCTTTGATGAAGTAGGTAGAACTTAAGTTCTTTTTCCCTTTTAATTCAGTTGCATACATATCCAAAAATTAGAATTTAGAAAAAAAAAAAAAAAACACACACACACACACACACAATTATAAACTTGAAGGATTTAGAAAATTGGATCTAAATTTACTTTTCCAACAGATGTTCAACCTGTGAAAGTAAAAAAGATTATCTCCAGCTCCACTAGGCAGAATTTCTTGTGTATATATATATTAACAAAGATTCTCATCATACTTTGAAAATCAATGACACATAAGCAAGCAAAGGTCTGAAAGACACAACAAGAAATTTATGTGGACCAAATATGTATTACTGGTTGGAGTGTTTATCGCTGTTCCAACTAAAATGGCTATCCAATGAAGCATAATTATGCATTCTTAGCCTTTCATCTAAGCTTTATTTTAAAAAAAATAAAAAATTCTAAGTTATTTAAGTTGCAGAATTCTGACAAATCGATCATGTCAGAAAATTTCATGCTCAGACAAACATGACACTTTGGACGCGTAATCTACCAACTGTATCAGCTTATTTTATCTTAAACCGATTCTACGCTTTTGAAATCAACAGAAAACACCCAAGCTTCTTGAAAGGCATAACATTTCAGCTGACTATTAAGCTAAATTTCAAGTGTCAGTAACATTATTAACCAAGAAAAAAAATCATTCCCATTAGCAAAAATGTAATAGTCCACTCAGACCAGCATCCTATAATGTGTTGGCCCGACCAGAACACAAGAAAACTCAAATGCACCACCAACTAATAAGCAAATCTATTTGTTTTTAATTCGAATGTCTCCATTTGGGTACACCAAAACAATCACATGTATCCTTCCATGCAACACTCAAAAAAACAAGAGGAACAAGCTAAAACAAAAGGCAAGAAGCAAAATTGTATATTACCTACTTCAGCTCCTTTCTCGACAACACACACCGACAAATCAACATCTTTTTCTTTGCACAGCTGCTTCAATCTTATGGCTGCCGATAGTCCAGCAGGGCCCGCCCCAACAATCACCACATCATAATTCAGAGACTCTCTGTTCACCGACTCACTGCAGTAGCTTCTCATTCCACCGATCGAACTCTTGCGACTAAAACCTGCGAAAGTTGCAGACTCCGACGAATTCACAAAAGGACGGGATGAGTAAAGGCTCGTTGTGCCCGGCAGCGCGTGAGCAGAACCGCCGGAAAGCTTGGGAAGATGCGAAATTTGAATTGGAACAGAGTAATTTATCAGAGATTTTGACGTTTTGGAGATGAGCCTGAGCATGATTGAACTGGAGAAAAGAACCACACGCAACGGTGTTTTGAAGGATTGTATGAATCGTGACGAGCTCATCTATAACCACGGAGACAGACGTATCAGATTTTCCGTTTACAGCATGATTACATGTGTACTTGTTAAAAAATTATTTTTTAATTCAAAAATTACTGAAAAAAATGATTTAAAATTTAAATATTTTTTACAAAAATATACTCCCTGCTATTCATAATAAGTGTCATTTTGAAAAGTTGTACATTAATTAAAAATAATTTTTTTACCAATAATAATCCTCATTAATCTTCATTACTGAAAACGTAGTGTATTTATTAACTAAATGAGGGTAATAATGAAAATATATGTACAAAAGATCCAAAACCACATTTATTTTGGTTAATAGTTGATAAAGCCAAAATTACATTAAAAAAAAAAATAGGAGGTAGTATATATTATTATATACTTTAGAGTTATTTGTGCAACTTACTTGTGTTATATTACAATAATTTTTCTAACTTTATACCATATAACTACTTTATACATATACACATATATATATATATATCAATTGATAAATAATAATATTTTTTAATTAATGCTCGAAGGAAGCGCCGATTGGATACACACGCATTAACTGCCCTCTGGCCAACCCGTACCTATTCCGATGATGACCTCAGAAGGAATGGCCTCGTTCTTCTATCCGAGCTCGGGGACATGTATGTTGGTATCGAAGTTGGAGAGTCAAAAGAGCTCCAGGTAATTATATAAGAATTCAATAAAGGAAATTAAGGTGCAGAAATGGAAACCCTAGGTCGGATTCCCGCCCAGCGCCGAGGGGTCGAGAATCATGAGCCGGAGCCCCGACCTCCACGCATCGGAAGTCGGAGGAAACCCCTTACGAGACGGGACCTCAAGTCAGACTCCCGCCTAAAATCCAAGTCGATTTACCATAGATAAAGACCGGTCTGAAGAAGAAGATAAAGGAGTCGAAACCGATAGTCCGACTCCAAGTCGTCATCGAGGTCGGAACCCGAAGGCGCAATGAGGAAGAAAATATTAAAATAAGCCCACTTGGGGTTTGGTAATGAACGATGGGATGCGGCCATATGTCCTAAACCTATGACCTCTAGGCCCATACGGTAGCATGTCTACATTAAACGTTTGTCATTCATCATTAAATTGATGTAACCCGATGAACAGTGGGTGTATCTTATTATATGTAGTCCTAGGAATCTATTTTGGAGGGGGATTATCGAAAATTCCCTAACAAAATTTCTCTCACTAAATATAGCATTTAAGGCAAAGCCCGACCTCATAAAAACTCATTTTTACGCAAACCCTTCAAATTAAACCCCATTTTTTACAACTTTAATTATTTATAATCTACATAAAATTTATAATTTGAGTTGGTCAAAACCGTTGATCAACACTTCCAAAGTAAATTAAACATGTAAACTAAATGTGGGCCAAGACATGGCTAACTTCTTAGACACCATATTACCAAGATTTTTTTTTTACTTTTTATTTTTTTTTGGATTTTTTTGGTTTGATTTGGTTAATTTTGTAAAATATAGTATGATTAGTTATTATTGAGATTTTGAGTATATATTAAAATGATATTATTATAAAATAAATTTAAATTGATTTGATGTAAAAGTAGAAAAAATGATATGAAGTGCTGATTAGTTAAAATAAAATTATGTGAACAGATTAATAGTTAATTAAAGTTGATGCAATCTATAAGAAGAATTAATTGATATTATTTAATTATATTAATAATATTAAAGATGACGACATTGAATTAAAGTTGAGTTAGACGAGTTAAAACTGGTTAAATATAATTAATTTCTTTTAGGATTACTTTATACAAGCATCCTCTTAGGAGTGAGGGACCCATCGTAAAAGTGGAGCGCCTGAAAACGCCAACTCCATCGCCCATGTTTGTTTGTTTGTTTTTTTTTTTGGGAGGGGGCTTATTACATTGATTACCCACAACGAAGAGAAATCATTAATTAAGCACTCTAGTATAACTACACACAACCAAGGGGTCGTTTACTTCGCTTGACAGGACGGGATAAGTAATTATTCTTTAATATCTAACGTTTACATAAAGGGATTGGGACAAGATTGAACTGACGTGGCGTACATGTGTCTGCAGGTCCCACAAGCCTATCATTCATTAGACATGGCCACGGGTCACCCGGCCAGCCGACCCGGCCCGGTCAAACCCGTTGACCACGGGTCCAGGCCGGTCCAGGGCCTTCTTTTTTACGACACTGGCCCGCCGATCCGGGCCGGGTCTGGTCCGGCCCGGAAAAAACAGGTTCTTTTTGAATTTTTTTTTTTATTTAGGCGGGCCCAGACCCGGCACTGACCTAGGCTGTGTCGGTTCAGGATCGAGGTAACCAAACCCTTCGGCCCACCAGGCCCGGCCCGCCTTTTGGCCATGTCTATCATTCATTGGCCGATTATTTCTGTCCGGAGTAGACCCCGAGATTTATTAATCCCGTTCTGTACATGACAGTTTACCCTCAAAATTGGCTGGGAAAAGACGTAAATACCCTTCAACATCCATTTAATTACAATACCTTACCATTTAAATATTAAAATCCGTCTGCAAGTGACACACGGATGGTGCTTCACGTGGGAATCCGGGTGTGTCTGGGGCTGGAGGGCTTCATCTTTGTGGACTTGGTTTCGAAAGTGCAGAGAGTGTGGAGCTCATCGTTTCATCGACAATGCACACATGTACAGTAAATAGTTGAATGCCTTATGGTCGCCCTCTTCAAGAACCCTAGTTTTTCATAGTCGGGATTTGTGTTTCTGTAATTCTGTTTCCCCTCTCAATGTTGGTTCGATATCTTTTTTTTTTTGAAATTGGAACTCGATTTTTTGTTTTTGATTAGCCGTCGCCCTGTGCATTTGCCCCAAATTGACGTCGGGTTTGAATCGGATTAGGGCTCGGCAAATTAAGGAACGAATGTTAGGGCTCCAAAAATCGAAACGTCACTCGTGGTAGACCTCCTGCTTACACCCGACACCCGATGAGCATTATTATGTGACCGTCGCCGCCGGATTTCTGCGGAACTATGGGTAGAAAACTCTGTGCACGTCGCCTCCTGTGCAATTTGTTGTGGAATGGATAGTGCGAAAATAAGATCTGCCGACAACAAATTCTGAAATTTTGGTATTGAAGATGAGGGGGTATTGTAGTCTTTTAATCCACATCAGATAATTTTACTACACCCAAGTAAATGGGTGACAGGGATTTTGTAAACTTGATTTTGTGCTGATGTGTAAAGGTAAATGGGATTAATGTGTCCAATCCCATCCACCCAAGTAAATGAGGCCCAAATGAAATAAAAACGGTACATCACTCCCTCGTTTTCCCCATTCAAGTTACATTCATAAAATAAAACTTGCGCCACAAAGAACACGAAAAAAACACCCAATATTAGTGCAGGCATGAAACACCAGGCAACACAAAATACTAGATCGAGGTTGTTGATATACTTCAACATATATCAATGAGCATGTGGAGGATATTGTAGTGTGGCAATGTGATTATGTGCCACAGTCCCAATCCACAGCTTGCCATTAACCTCCCTAACCTCACTAACCAACTTCATAACAACCCCTTTCTCATCATCAAGAACATCTAAAATCTCTCCCTCACCATTGATGAGTGATATCATGGTGTACATTCTCATCCCAGCCACCCTCGCCAAATACTTCATTGGAAGAGGCACCCGAAAGTAGAGGCTCCTCAGCCACGGATTTCGGACAAAAACCTCTTGGACAGCTGTCCTGCAGCAGTCGATCGCCACCCAAAAGTCGCCAGTCTCGGTTATCCGAATGTTGTCTGGAAATCCCGGAAGGTTTGCCACAACCTCTGTACTGCCCGCTTTTGGCCCCATCAGCATGTGTTTCATAATCCTGCAAAGTGGTGTAGTTTCGAATTTTCACTTTGATATGGTATGAGCATAAAAATTCATTTGCATTTGGAAGTACAAAATAGCTCCTAACTCTGTATTCATTATATATTAGTTGAAAAAAAGAATAATTGCATCAAGGTTATGTGTTATATTTATTTTCACTCTCAATTAGGATACATTCATAGAGAACATACATAAAATTAAGAAGTTAGTGTGCACAAAATCAGGCTATATGTCTATATATGAACCTGCAATTGGTAGTCTCTGTATATAGGAGGTAAGATTGGTCCTGGGACAACTGAACTCCATTAGGAAACGCCAGTCCTTTTAAGATAACATGTGTCGTTCTCGTCTGAGGATCGTATCTGAGTAGTCGTCCAGTTGCTTCCCCTTCCAACAATATGAAAAAATGGTCCCTACACACGAACACATAGAAACCTTCTTAAAATATTTGCAATTATAACAATATCTTATGAATGCACTGCGCATGAAAATAAACAACTAGTCCTCAATTATGAAACAAAGAAAAAAATAGGCATTTTTCAAAAATATAATTATAAGCATATTTTTTCAAAAAGATAATTATAACCATTATTTTGCATTTTTGGAGCCTTAGAAATAAAGGTTATAATTTTTTCAAAAAGATAATTATAACCATTATTTTTGCATTTTTGGAACCTTATTTCTGCTTAAGAATGGTTTCTCCATCTCCGAGAAATGAAAAAATGGCTAAAAACCATTTTTACACAGAAAGTGACTAGATTTCATCTTTTCCACAGCAAAAGTATTGATTATTAACCAAGAAGTTATATTAACACTATTTTTTTAGTTAACATCTCAATATAAATGAAGTACTTACACTCTATTGTATCGGTTGCTAGTGTCGGTAAAGAAGATGGATCCATTGTCATGAATGTCGAGATCGTTTGCGAAAAGAATGGGTTCCCCACCGGCTTGTGTTGCCACTTGGGTCGCGAGACCGCCATCGGGCCCCACCACAAGGAGCCCATAGTAAGCATCAGCAATGTACAGCTCACCACTCCTTTTGTCGAACCTTAGGCCGAGAGGCCGCCCGCATTTCGGCTCCACTTTCCACTGCTTCTTTGTCGTCGAGTCCTTGGCTTGTGCACATTCCTTCTCAGACCTGGAACAAGTCCCAATATACAAGCAAACTATTTTCTTATTGACCTTTCTAATTAGTTAATGTTTTATTCACTTAAAACTCTCAAGATATTTTTACTGCTGAGAAATAAGTGACTAATAAATAAAAATTCAATTGTTTGAAGTTTAAACAACTCTAGACAATGGAAAATGTATAAATGATTTTTAAATGTGTTTTCCTTCAATGGAAAATTTTTGTAAGCATACAATGGAAAATTGAAGATTTTTAGTCAAGGGAATCGAAAAAGTAAAATTAAAATGGCAAAAATGCATATTTAGTCCAGTTGGTTTAAAATTATAGCAATTTTAGTCTCAAGATTCCATCTTATTGTCTTTTGGTCTTGTGATTTAATATTTTGCTGCTGCAAAACAATTTTAAATGACATGACTGAAATTGCAACAAAATTTTAGAGTACAAGACTTAAATTGCTAATCGAAAATCTGGAAATCTAGGAATTTGTTGCAATTTAAGACCTCAAAAGAACTGAAATTGCAGCAAAATATTAAATCACAAGACCAAAATGCAAAATGTTGGAATCTTGGGACTAAAATTGCTATGAACGAAAAATGCAATTTTGCCAATTAAAACCCATACGTACCAATCACGGGAGACTAGTGCAAATGTCTCCCAGCCGGCGTCTTCGCCCATCCACCTCACCACACGTCCATCAGCTAGCCCGGCATACGGGCCACGGCCCAATCTGTCGAACTCTAGGGACTCGGGCCCGAAAATATCATCCTTGAACTCCAAATTCCCAAATCCCAACCTGCTTCGGTTGTCCCAAGGCCAACCCCCCATCACTTCATCGTAAGGCGCTATGTCGTTTCTCACCGGCCTAAAGTCTCGTCCTCCCAGTGGGCCCCACTTAAAAGGGTCCATCACAATGAAGCTCATTGCCAAAACGAACACGAGAAAATGTGTCTTCTCCATGGGAGGGGAAAAACGTACTTCGGTGTTAGGAACAGAAAATGAGAATGATGGAATGTAATGAAGTAGGTCTGCAGCATGAATTTATAGTAATCAAATTCATGTGATTATTGTGATGGCCCTTTTGTGGTTTGGGAGTAGGTTTTGTGTATCACTCAGGCTTATTGTCATGCTATTTGAATTCATTTGCTGAGGTTGATTTTATAAGAGGTGGAGATGATATCCTGTTGTAAAGGGGTGATCTCATGAGTATGTTTATCTATACATTGCCCACTTATTGGTGAAAGTGACCAATAACAGACTATTATATATATATATTCATTATTGACCATCCTCTAGAAGGAAGACAATGAACTTAAAAGGAAAATGAATATTGTAGTTTTCTCTTGTTATTTGATTGTTATTCAAATGTTCATAGTAAGAATTTGAAATGATCCTCATTTTCTCGGGCAACTGAGGTATAAGGTGTGAATTAAAGAATACACAGGATCAAAATGCGTGAACCTCCTGCATACAACAATAACACTTGTGACAGCTTCGATTGTATATTCTAGGATAGGAAAGATAGCCCAAGAGAGACGAATTTGTTTTTCTTTTTTTTTTTCTTTTAATTATAAACTAGGTGTTTTGGACATTGGCATTAATAATTTAATACTATTCTTCAATTCAAGATTTTCTGGCTATTTTAATTATTTTCACTAGACAGATGATTTCAGTCTATTTTGTTTCTTTACCGGGTACGTGAACTCTTGTCAGGCTAAAGTTATATAATTATTCCCAGAAGTATCCATCCTCAAGGGAGCCAACATACCCTATTGAAAACTCTAGTTTTCTTTCTAGTCGGTATTAATCCATCACTATGTATCTCACATAAATAAGATTTGGAGTGAATATATAGTACCAAAGATGACAGCGGGATACAAATAAGACCAACACAAAGTGGATAAGGTGAACCTATAGATCCCGTTACAATGTCTATTGTATCAAAATGCATTTATACAAAAATGAAGAAATTAGATGGCAGAAAAAATAAAATTACAGACAAGTTGAAGAATCAAAATGCAAAAAGCTTCCGTAACAAGTTTCAAAATCAACAAAAATATGGTGCTAACAGATTTTGCGCACCTTCCGGACTATGAAGACATCTCTTCTTTAGCACAAACATAAATCCTGCTAATCATGCTATGAGTATGCCACATTCAGAGATTTCATCCTGCTAAAACCTAAAGAGAAAACAGAGTACCTAATAACTGAAACATTTAATCATCAATTTTTGGTTCCCAGAACACCTTCAGGTCACTGCAGTCCAAGCCATATATAAGAGTTATTTGCTTGCCACACGCGGGATCATAGGAGAATATACTTCAAAACAAGTGCTATTGCTTAAAATTAAATCCTAGTCGAAAATGATAATGTAAACAAGGCGCTCTCAGTTCCAATCTTTTATATGTGCTATTATTACTTCTAAATAACTATTGCCAATCAATCCATCCATCCATCCACCAACGAAACGACTATATTATAAGCCTAGCATGTGTAGTCATCTTAATGCACATCCATTTGGCATATATATAACTTGCAACATGCAAACATAACTTTTTTTCATTGGGTCCGGGTAAAGGCCAAAGTTAGTCCATTTTTTTATCTAACAAAGAACCACTGGATCATCACATATTCCATCTTGTTCGAAAAATAAAGATTGTTACATTAGTTGGAACAAACTCAAGGCTCATTAAGTTAAATATCACTTGGATCTTTGTTATAAATTCAGCTACGAAAAAATTCTCAACGGTAAACTTCCCTAGCTCCTGATCAATTGATCACTTGAACTTAACCTAATTGAAGGAAAGAAGATGCTCATGCAGCAGAAATGCCTCATTCCTTTCAACAAAAGATAAATAAAAAGGATCCGTATAAAATCACTTATTCTCACCCTTTTATTTCAGTGATCTCATCAAATGATAAATATATACAAAAAATCATTGCTTAGACAGAAAAATCATTTTTTCTTGTTACGCTTCTAGAAAAACTCGATACAGGAGGACCAGGGATGCTAAACATGTAACACCTAGAAAGATACAACAGAACATTGTTTCCCTAAAGACATCCTAAGGCAGCAAAACAAAGTGTGTATTGGCCATACCACATTCCCCGCTAACAACACACCAATTCAAATCACAAGTGCACACTATATCAGCAAAAAATTATTTCAAGAAAGCTACACAAGATTAGCCCCAGCATCAGGTAGTCCAATGATCTGCAATGTTCTACTATTTCCAGACGGCAGAAAGCGCGGCAACGAAGGATCAGTAACAGACTCAATCTCGAGAAAGTCAAAATTATAGGAACCAGACTTCTTTAAACTGTATACGAACACAAGAATAATCCATCCCAACATGGAAACAGCCCAGTAATTGTTCATCCCGTGTATCAAACCCCAAGCAATAGCATACCCGACAATAATTCCAGACAAATGGCCAATAAAGCTTGCCTGTGGCACAATAATAGATGTAAAAATGAGGGATTCAAATGGGGCAAAGCTGATTGGAAGCGAGAGGATCCCGAAAAGCTCGAGCTTGGATGAAGGCTGCTTGGCGGACAAAATCGTCATCCAACCAAACACAACACAAGAGTACCCAACTGCAGTCACTCTTCGAAAATAGTCGATCTTTAACTTCTGGATTAAAACATGGTACATTCCTAAGACCAACAAACCTGACAGGACAACCAGTAGAATCGTATAATGGAGATAGTACTCCACTCCAAGTCCCACATGGCCCAACTGCTCGATAACCCCCAAGCTCCAAAGTGCGCTCATATTGAACACAAGGTGAAGGATGCTAATGTGAGAAAAGGCTGATGTGATTATCCTCCAATGATGGCCCTCCATAGCAGTCTCATAACTCAAGCCCACATGCGCATACCCAATGTTGTTCTTTTGGATGTAGAACCAAATTGCACTGCAAATCCCAATTATACAACTTGTAGCTGGCTTTTCCCAAATCTCGTAGAACAGTGGTTTTCCCATCTGGGCTAATTGCAGGGGTAAACAATGTTGAAAAAGAAGTCCTACGGTAGTGATGATATCAATACCCAGAGCAAAAACAGCACGCGCCAAGTGTTTGATCAAATGACTGACAGGATAATAAGGACCGAGTTCAAAATTCAGAAAATCTTAGATTCAATCAGATATTGCAGCTACGAACTTTGATGAATCAAACTTCAAAACTATAAGTTGGTTCCTCATAAACCAAAGCACAAACCATCAATCAGTAAGACAATAGATGAATCTCAAAGGCTTCAAATATACGAAGGAAGATGAGATTACATTCAGAATCGGAAAGCAAAAATCTACAGCGTCAAGAACCGAGGAGTCGAGTGTGAGGGAAGAATCTAGGTAGGTGCTGGAGTATGCGTGATGCCTACTAGGGATTTCTCTACCTTTTGCTTTCCTTTTTTTTTTAGATTAGATCATTACCTTTGCGATGGGAGCGTTTATTACCCACTTATTTTTTATAAAGTATTCTTATATTAAATTGTCTCATTGCATTAAAAATATCATAAAAATAAAATTTATATATTATCGAACACTTTCTTGTGTATAATATTCTTGGTTTGATATTTTGACACGTAAAGTACTACATTAGTGTTCGAATTTTACCTAAAAATTGTCTATTATTAGTTATTATTTAACAAATTATGTTTTTAAAAAAAATTAAGGGATTTATATATTAACCAAAATTCTAGTAGAGAAAAAATAGAGATTTTTAGAGATTTTCACTTTATTTTTTTTTAATTTTATTTTTTAAATTTAATTCAAAATCTTAATTAAGAAAAACTGAAAAAAAAAACATTAGTTTTTCCTGAAACCGATTTTTCCTACCAATACACAAATTTTTTTACTAAAAAAATTGATCCTAATATTTAGTTAAAACAAACTGAAAAGAATCATTAATTTTTCCTAAAAATGCAATTAAATTTTTCTAATATTGCATCGATTTTTTACCAAATAAATTTAATTGAAATTAATTCTATAAAAAATCAGAATAATTTGTTAAGATTTATGCAACTATTTCTTTCTTAAAAAAATTGATATGAACTTACTAAAACTTCGGTAAAACATGGTTAAGACAAACATAAGAATAAAAAAAACGATTCAAATTTTAAAAAGTTGCACAAGATTTTTCCTTGTAAAAGTTGCACACGGTTTTAAAATTGATTTGAGTTATTTTTTCTAAATAATTGGATAAGGTTTGACATTAAATATAAAAAATGAACCGATTTTGTTACCAAAAAATGTAGATACGATTTTACATGTATATCCCGTCCAAATCTCAATTTTTTTTTTTTAAAAATATAAAATAAAAATTGCACGTGGTTGTATCCAATTTTCACACATTTTTAAGAGAAAAGATATTCAAAAAGATTGGATGAAATCGTTAAGAATTATACAACTATTTGTTTCCTAAATTTGTATCCAATTTGCACGGTTGTTAAACTAATTTGTATTTAGATTTGTTTCATAAATAATTGACACATATTTTGTTAAAACAAAATGAAAAGAATCATCAAATTTTTCTAAAAATACACTGAATTTTCCTAACATTGCACCAATTTTCTTACCAAATAACTTGAATTGAAATTAATTACAATAAAAAAGTTGGAATAATTTGTTAAGATCTATGCAACTATTTATCTCCTAAAAATTTGATATGAACTTAACAAATAAATTGATATGAATTTACTAAAATCTTGTAAAACATGGTTAAGAAAAAACATAAGAATAAAAAAAATTGATGCATTCAAATTTTGAAAAGTTGCACACGATCTTGAAATTGATTTAAATTATTTTTTTTAAATAATTGATAGGTTTGACTTTAAATATCAAAGATGAAGCAATTTTGTTACCAAAAAATGTGGATATGATTTTGAATGTATATCCCGTTCAAAATCACAATTTTGTTTCTAAAGAATAAAAATTCCACGTGATTTTATCCAATTTTCACACATTTTTTAAGAGAAAAAATTAGTCAAAAAGATTGGAAGCAGAATACTAACTGGTCGAACATTTAATCAAGTGTGGAACTCAATCACGGTAATGTTTTTAATATTGTTTAATTTAAAATAGATGATGCCTTTGTATCTGCTGATTTTAATTTGTTTATGTTGTTAAATAGATACTGAATATATGTTTAAAGTAAATGCTAAGGTATATTTGTTAGCTGGTGATTATTATAAGATGAAAAATGACATCTGTTTGAATTATATTCGAATATGGTATTAGTGACTATTTAACAAAAATCACTACATTGTTGTAATCATCTAATCTGAAAAGGTAAATTATCATGATTTTCATACATGAACGATATAGAATCACAAATTTTCATTTCATGAATGTAACTATATTATTTGAAATTTAAATGTAATTTTTTTTGCATGTGTGTATGGAGGATTGCATAAAACATTACATAAGCTTTCACTGTAAATTAGTCTAGCTTTCCTTACCAAAACAATATTATCGGCTGAAAATATTGCAGGTGAAAAAGGTATGAAAAAAAATGATATTATTGTTTTATTTAGTTTTAATGATATAATTGTAGACTCATATGAACAATATTGAAGTTTTCATACATATGTACTTCAACCATGCAAATCAACTGAATATTTATGTGAACTAATTTATTTGTACTGTTTTGTTTGATCGACTGAAGGTTTCTGTGAACTAACTATGTGTATTGTTTTGGTTTTTCGAGTTCTAATAAGACAATAAAAAGGATTATGCTACAACCATATTGATGCATCCCATCAATAAGGCTAAATAGCAAGTCATAAACTAATACATGTATTGAATTAATTATAAAAAAATCATAAATAACTGTTTGATTTAATTGCAGTTTTGTATGTTCTATAAATTGAGCTAACATAGGATATAGGGATTTACAACATTGTACATAAAGGATTAAATTACCATAGTATTTAAATAGAAAAAAACCATATGACAATTTTTATATCAAAACTAACAATAGCATATACACATTGTCCATATTGTTTGATAGCCTATGCATTGTTACCTGTTTGCTGCTTGTAAGGTATTGATTTTGTGCCCCTAGTTTCTATGTTGTTGATATCCATTCATCTACCTACTCATGTATTCTTCAAATTCTGAATGATTGCATTCGGTTTTTTCACTCCGCAATTGCTAAAAATTCTGCATAATAGAAATAGAAGTTGATAAAAATATGATAAATTGTATACATAAAGATAATGAATTAGAGGTATTTAAATTCCTTGTTCGATATCTTTATTGTGTATGTATTGCGTAGGATGAACAACACTAAACTTGGTGAAAATATAATGTTCTGCAGAGAAGATATGTGTGTAGAAGAGAAAATTAGAATAATTGTTTTTTATTAATAAAAAACATATATATTTATGTATGGGTGATCTTTTAATGGATATTTATGTACAATCTCAATTTTGTTTGGAAAGGGAATTCTAAAAAGATTTGAATTATGAATAATTCAAAATGCCAAAATCAATATTTCCGGAATATGAATTGATTTGATGTTTACACGCAATTTTTATGGGATGAGATTCGTATGTCATCATATTTTTGAAACAGTACCGTTGTAGCCCCCGTCCCCTTCCCACCGAATGAAGGTAACTCCCTGATGTGGCGTTGATGGGTCACTCCAAGTCATCAAGTTTTTCTTTAATTATTGGGGCAAGAAAAAAAAAAACAGAATTTTATTTAAATTGTGTTAATTAAAACCAACTCTTATTAAAAGGGTTTCCTACCGCCGTAAAACACATCTACCGCGGTAAACCACATATACCTGCGCACAGGTTTCTACTAATTTCCTGCCAACTCTTATTAAAAGGGTTTCCTACGCATGAAGTTTACTGTGCTATCAGGTATGTTGATTATTTTATTACAACCTTTTTGCCCAGCTTATTTTTTATTTTATTATTTTAGTTACAACTTTAGGATTTGCAATACATAAAAAATTCTACATACTGGCTATTGTTTTTGACATACATCACTTTGTGTGTTTAATTGTATGTTGAAAATATTTAAATGTTTTATTTTCCACCTTTATTCATTCATATTTTAACATTTTATGATCTTTTACTTTTACAGAGAATGAATGAAAATGAGATTATTGACAAACAACTAATGAATGATTTTGGTTGATTTTAGGATGTTCAAATATGCTTCTTGAATATTTTTTATGTTTGGTTCTGCAGGCAGTAGCCTATAGTACTGGTTTAAATCACATGATGTTTCAGCTATTGCTATCTTGTTAGTTGTTTGCTATAACATGAACATAGATAATAAGTTGAAAAAAAAAAACATAATAAGAAGTTGGTCCCTAGTTTCAGATGATGACAATTGAATTTACAGAGGATATATAGCTCATGTAATGCTCCAAAATTTAATCACCAACATGAAGTAACTGGTGAGTTATTCGGTTATTATTTTCACATAACCTCTTCAAAATTCGATCTCGAAATCAAGCGAAACTCATAGTCACTACGGCGGAGAGGTGGTGCACTGGTCGAGGACCTCGAGGTAGTCGGAGTCATGGAGCCACGACTCGAAAGCGGGTTCGGGCAGGCTCAGGGAGAGCGGGTTCAGTCGAACACCAGTCCTCCCAGCTCTACCCGAACGACCTTTTACAAAAATGATCCCGACAGTTTGATTCTGGTTTATAACCTTCTTAAGTATGTAGTTTGCATATGTAAGTAGTGTGCGTATTATATGAATAGGCTGCCTAGGGCTTTCATTTTGTTTTGTTTTTAAAGCTCCCAAGTTTTTGGTGTGTTTGGTGCCTATTACAATCAGATGATGACATGTAATGGGAGATTGGATCATGACTGCCATATTTTGTATAAAAGTTTAATGACAATATTGGTACTACTATGTGTAATATGTGTTTTTTTGAATGTTTTCAGTAGCATCATATATACAAACAACCTAAGATATTATACTTCTGCATATCCGAATTCTACTGCCTTGCTAGCACCAGTAAATGCTAATTGATGAGAATTTACTTATCAAAACATTAAAAAGCAAATTTCTAAAATAGTCCACAGGGGTTGTTTCGTCTATTTAACTAATTTTGAGATAATAGTGTGTACAATCACTTATCAATTTACTTGTATTTGAAGAAAGAAAGTTTTGATTGTTGGAGTGTGTATGAATTATACCATACGAACTCCTATATCAACTGGAACAAAGACAAAGTAATGTACACCTGACATACGTGTATTTATAGTTTCTCAACACATATATAACACAACTAAAGGTAAAATCAAGTTAATTTGAGAAGCAGGATTCATCTATACAAGCATAGGGACCAAACAACATCACAGTAGTTAATGCCAATCACAATATTACTCAGTAACCACGAAATAAGGAAATGAGGTAAGGCCAACATAGTTCGGTGCTTAAATAGAATCACAACAATTCAGTTCGATGGGTCGCTGGAAGACCTTTTGCATGACAATGGTGCCGGCTTACGTGGTGGACGGGGAATGCGCAATGGTGTCCCACCACCATGCCTTGGAATCTTCACATGTGTATGTGCATTCACGAAACCTTCCGAAGAAGCGTCACGCTCTCGGGCATCTTTTGGCTTGAACCATTTAATGGTGTATTGGTGAGTGAAGAAAGCGAGAAGACGTAAGACTGTTCAGTCAACCTCGCTAAATCATTTTAGTTGATGGAATTTTGGTCCAATACAACCGGTGCATCTGATGTGGCTTCATAGACCTCTGTGAACAAGTACTGTATGTCTGCCCAACTTGGGTCCCTGGAATGTTGATATGCCACCGAGAATGGCTCTAACTGCATACAAAAATGTTATGAACTTTCAGCCAAGGACAAGTAATTACTTCATGAACTGTTAAAATTGAAGGAACTTTGTTACAAAAAGTTACAACTATTTTGTTAATGGAACACACCCTAAACTACGCACGGCAATTACCTAGGGGAAGAAATTACACGCGTCCGCATCAAATTCTCAGAAATAGTGGTATACAGACAAGTGTTTAAAACCCAATCAACATCAGAGGGCAGCTTAAATATCCTTCATGACTTAGCAACATAAATTAAGACCCCATATGTGTCTTACCTACAAGTAAACTTTCATAACTCAAACACATAGGACTAAGGTCGGTGGTATGGTCAATGGTAAGGGAATACCTCGAATATATCATTCCACACTGCTACCGGAGTCGTGAGGACGTTGGACTGGTTACAGTGTCGCAACCCATGTTTTCGTAGCATCCAACTAAAAACGAGGAACCATTTGTGAAGGAAATCGAAATGTTCCTGTAGTTCAATCATAATGAAGGTTGCACCGACATCTGCAACCAATACACCATGGCAGTAAAGGAAGACATGAGTGCTGACCTGCCTGTCTCCATTCCCAGCAACATGTGCCTCAGCGAGGAGGTCTATGAACATGTTGTCCACATCTTTGGTCCACTGAGCATCGTAAAGAAGCTCCTCATGTGTCGCTTCCCTTCCCAAACGTGGCATTACACTGGTATTCAATGAGAAAATAAGAACTGTTTACAATATCTTATTTTACGGATGTCACTTGTGTATGTGAAAATAATAGCTGTTGGAGTGTGTTTATATAGAGAAGAGAACAAGAGAACAAAGGACGATACATGTACAAAAAATAAACACAACCCACTATATTATGAGTTGTCAATACCTGGAAAAGCTGAAAAAGAGATTGAATACACAATTTAAATACCATTTGTCTTGTCAATGTATCTACCAAATTGGATACTAATTGATTATCGAATCTTCAGGTCATGTTTGTCAACACCCCAGCAGATTGAAAAGTTCAGAATAGTGAATATGATGATACATTTTTTGAACTCAACCACATGGGTGAGAATATTCGTACTGTTGATCGAACACAACAAAATAAGGATTTTTGCTTTTTCCAGAGAAATTGTGCAGGTATGTGCACAACAATTGCGTTTTTCTTTGAATTGGGGAGAGAGATATTTCAGATGCGCGCAATAATAGCCGAAGTATGGTAAAAATAATGTTAAAAATAAGATACTTGTAAACACAGGTCTGAACCGTAACAATGACTCACCAAAATAATTGCCGAAGTTTTCAGATGTGCGGCACCCCGCACACCACCGCGACAGGATTCATTAATTGCTTCAATGGTGGATTGTAACATTTCATCCTTCAACCGGCGACCGATTAGGTTAATTTTTGGGGCAAAAAACGAGAACTGCTATGATCTGTTCGAGTATGATGTAGTGTTTCACTAATAATTAATTAATATAATATAAGGGTAAATCAAACCGCTTTCCTTTACTGAATTAGTCAACCGATATCTAACGGTCAAAAATCAAAGATGTCATCTAAAAAAGTTAAAAATATCTAAATTATTAGGGTTATGTCATTACTTCTCCTCCTCCCACCGCTTTCCATCTCTATTCTCTCTCTTATATCACTTATAGAAACTTGATAAAATATTCTTTCAAATTTTCACAAAAATGCTCTATTTTTTAAACAATCAATCACATCTATTGCGAGTCGATTTCTTATGTTAGATAGATCGATACTATATCTTGTCTTTATGTTTAGAAAGATGCCTCTATTATTTTATTTCTTTTGATTGTCATATTTTTTTGTGTGTTCTAAGATTTTATGTTTGTTTTTTGGTCGAAACCGATGAAAAACTGACTCTGTTATTACTATTTCGATCATTTCAAAAGCTTTTCTTTTGAATATCGAGACTTATGTAATGTGTTGTTCAATTATTTTGATTCATATTGTTTTTTTTTTTGTAGAGTTTAGAAATTTCGTAAGTTTAATAGACGGATCTGGAATAATTTTTTAATTTTCGGTCGAAATCCGAATTTTATTCAGTCGAAAAAAATGAATATCGGAAATGAAGTCTCATTTTCTATTTGAATGTCTATTTGTTTTAAAAAATGTTACAAATCTTAGTCGGTTATATAAATTTTGACTATATTTTGAAATTTAATTTAAAATAAGGGTCTTAATCTCTAAAAATGTGTTCAAATCTTTTGTGATTGAACAAATCCCACATTTTAAGGGCAGCATTTAATGCTGCCCGATTTTTTTGTAAGAAAAAAAAAAGTTGCCAAAAGTGGAATGTAATTAATGCAGATAAGATTTTAACCAAAATTGGACTTACTATTTTTGAAAAATGTTAATTCTTATTATATATATATAGATTGTAAGTTGTTTTCTTGCTTATAAAAATTTTAAAGAAATGATGGTTCCATTAAAAAGGAAAAAGATTTATGAAATGTGTTTTAGTTAATCCAAATATATAAATATTTTTTTTGTTTACTTTTAAATTTGATATGCATAATTAACATAGTTTCTGCGCTAACATGTGGCACTTAGCTAGCAATTTTGTTTTATTAAATTGTTACCAACAGCACACCATTAGTACGTGCAATTAGCAAAAGCAAGCAACAACATTCCCTTAACACACGTTCTGGAAAGATAGTACATTACAAAACGCCATCTTAACACCACATGGATGGCTAAAAGAGTTGAGACATTCCACCACAACTCTAAGACAATCGTAGTCAGAGTTGCATAAGGCAACCTAGAATGTCGACAAAAGCAGGTAGCAATAGTATTCAAAATCAGAAACCTAGTAGCCGTGCATGAAGCATACATCAGAAGATTAAATCTAGTTAATCTTTTGTTAAGACTTTAACAAAAGATTAAATCTAGTTAACAATCAATCCAATACAGTACCATAAAGGTGTACTAAATTTCAACCCTAAAAGCAATTCCTTCCATTCCATCATGTGCTATTAGTGTAAAGGTTTGTGAGCCTTCAACGATGTTGTTTTCTGTTATGAAGCCTCGGCATCTATGACCCTGATGAACACATGGAGTTATATATCATCAATAAAGGTAAAATAATAATGGGACTCTAACAGACTAATAAAGCTCACTCAGACTAATTGTATACATTAAATTCATCAAAACGTAAAACAATCAATAAAAAATAAATAAAAGCATTCTTGTGCCAGTAGTTGTCAAAACTGAACGTTATACTTCAATGGCAGCTAAGATATTGAATGATTGAAAGCTAAATGTTACATCATTGTGGCAGTGATTAGTTATGCATGACTCAATTGGGAGAAATTTTCAAAAAATAAACAAAAGGACAAAAATTGGGGGTGTCTATATGTACACCCCCTAAATTTCTAATTGTACACCCCTCTCTAATTATCCTTTAATTACTTTAATCATTACTAAATCATTACGTGATGTGACTTTTAAATTATTATATGATTTGACTATTAGTTATTAAATGATTTCAAAATCATTACATGATTTAACAATTATTTTTAAAATAAATAAAAATAAAGGCATGATTTGACCAATATTATAAATAAATACTTTTTTTTTTTGTATTATTACAATTGTAGACGATCCTTATACATTTGTCTCCATTCTTTCATACAGACACTTTTATACGGAGAAACTTTGGGCATTGGATGTCCATTTTGCAAATCCACTTTCACAAAATGATTTCCATGAACAAATGCAATTGCTATGGATTGATTTAGTTCTGGAGCTTGTGGACTTGTCCAAAGCGGAAAGAATGTGTAACTACCTGCATCTGTTAAAAAATAAAAAATGCAGTTGTACTTGTTCGCGATCACGAGACCAGTTTCGGGCATTTTTATCCAATGCTCAATCGGTGCAAATCCAATGCCTTGAAATTTGAAGGAGTGTTCCACAACCTTATAATAATCACCAAAAAAAATTTTATAGTGTTTTTTATTGGTATGCAATTCCTGCAATAATTCATGACGAATCGATGGCCAATCATGTTGATCTCGACCAATAGCAACAGCTACTGACCGAAAACCACAATTTCCATCGCCTTCAACATCTTCAATCCCGATGACATATGGTTGAAAGAAAGATGGAATTTCATGAATCAGTGGATGTGTATACCGTGTCGGTTCCTAAAAAAAAATATAAGATAAAAGAAATTTTAATTGACAACTAGATTGTATCTTTTTATAAAAAAATAAAGTATAAAATAACAATACCTCCATTATTGGCTGCTGATAATAATATTCGTTTTGTTGTGGCAGTTCGTAATGATCATAACCATATTGAGTTGATGGTGCCGGGTCTTGATAAACAAAGTTCTGCTCGGACATAGGTGGCAGATCATTCAAATCAAAAGAAAAAGGCATATATGAGCTACACTGTGGTGGATCAACCTTGGGTGGCAGATCGCGGTAGACATATTCACTGTGTCGTGGTGGCTCGTTCAATTCAGACTGAACGGCTGGTCTATACGATGAACAACTATGTCTACGACTTTCATTAGGCAACACTTGTTTGTCCTTGCTGGATTTTGAACTTGGACGACCACGGATATTTTTGTGAACAGAAGGTTCACCAACAATATAGGTCGAATAACAAAGTCATCGGATCTTGACATCTTCAAATAAATGATATATATAAAACCGTAATGTGTATATGAAATTTATGAAATTTTTAGGAGTGTGCATATTTGAGCTCATATATTGAAGGCTATATATAGAATATAAAGGGGTGTATAATAATGAAAGCATAGAAAAAATATGAAAGCATCACAGAAAATGGTTGTCATACAAAAATTGTTGTATAATAATGAAAGCATAGAAAAAATATGATATGACAATAGGGGGGGTGTATAATTGGTAATTTGTGGGTCATATCATTAAAAAATAAATAAAAAGATGATGTGACAATAGGGGGGGTGTATAATTGGAAGTGTGAGTCATGTCACTAAAAAAATAAAAAAGTTGATTTGACAATAGGGGGGTGTATAATTAGAAATGAGTGGTCATGTCACTAAAAAAAAAAGGTGATGTGACAAGAGGAGTGTATATTTAGTAATTGGGGGGTGTACATTTAGTAATTTAAATAATTATACAATATTTTATCAATTAATTAAGAAGGGGGGTGTACAATTATTAAAAAGGGGTGTACATATAGCATTGCCCCAAAAATTCCATAAATAATTTTATCATTCCCAATTTTTCTTATACCCAATAAGTCGAATATATATGAACTAATTGGTTTATCCAGAGTTATAAGTGGACATATATAATTTGATAAATATAATTAATAACTATTATTTTTAACAAATCAAGTGTAGAACATGGTTGTATGTTAAATAATAGTATCAGTTTTTAGTTCTTTATTTTTTATAATTTATCAATAAGAATATAATTATTTTATTATTTTTTTCTTATACAGTATTACTTTTTTTCAAGTATTCGTGTAGCACACAGGTATAGTATATTTTGAAAAATAGTGACATATAAAGATGATTTAGAAAAAAGAGAGTATTGTTGCTAACTATATGAGTCGCTCTCAAAAAACCCTCGCCCCCAAATCTTTTCGTCTCGCTCTCTCCGATCTACAGCCGTCTGCCTTCCATAGTGGCTGCCGAGTCTTGCCGGCGGCCGTCGGCCCTTGGCCGCTTGGCTCCTTCCCCTAATTTTCCGGTCCGCTATCTGTTTCCCTTGAAGCCAGGCCTCGTCTGTTGCGGTAGGTTCCCGTCTTTTCCGGCGCCGATTCGCGACTTCTGGGTGATGGCTTCTCCGTTGGATGGTGGTGGAGCCGTGGTGCTATTATGGGGGCGGGACGCGACTCAATTGCTTAGCAAGCAAGACCTTGTGGGTTGGGCGATTGGGGAGTTGTTGTTGTTCCGAAGTCGTCTCCCCTCTGTTCTCGGCTTTTGGGTCCAAGGGGTCGTCGAGTCCATTCTTCTGCCAGTGGTGTTAGTAGGAGTGGTGATGCGGCGGTGCGGTGGCTTTGGGCAGCTTTCTGGCGTTTTTCGGGTCGGGGCTGAAGTCGTGGTATTAGTTTGTCTGTTCGGGGCAATCTGATGTTATGGCTATGATGTTGTTCCGGGGCTAGGGTGTCGACACCGTTAGGCTACCGAGTGGTTTGGGCAGTTTCGGGGTTGGTACATCTGGTTACGGGATTCACAGTCGTCTTGTTTTCGCTTGCTCGGTTAGGTGTAGCTACTTTATAAGGGCTTGTTTTAGTTTAGTTTGTGTGGTTTAGTTTTGTTTCGTGTATTTTTGTTTTGTCCTCTTTATTTTCTCATTTGTAGGATTGTGGTTTTGGTTTGGGCCGTTTGGCCTTTGTATCTGAGCAAGAGCAAGCTTATTATCATATTGGGATTTGCTCCTGTCTCTATTCTCCTGTTGGGAGTCTCGTAGTTTTTTTAAGTGTTTGTTGTGTGTCTATTGTTGTGCGTCTTGGTTTTTGGTTTCTAGGGTTGCTAGTATTGGACTTCTAGGCGGTTGTTAGATCTGTTCTCACACTTTATTCTCTCGTTGGGAGCTTTGTACTTTTATTCGCATATTTGTGCGTTTTTTATTTATAATAATTTCTCTATCGTTCTGATAAAAAAAAAGAAAAATCCAACTGGATGATGAATTTACCGTATTTCTAAAAAAAAAATCCAACTGGATGATGAATTTACCGTAATTGTATTTTTAGTTTGACACGCAGGTGAAACGTAAGTGACAGCCCGCCTGCACTATAGTTGTCTCGAGTACTAACCGTGTCCACACACTCCTACTGAACAATCCAACGGTTCAGATTGAGCAGAATATCCCCACTTCAAAATCCTCCAGCTCACATTGAAACATGTCGACGCCTACAACACAACACATTATATAACTAATGTAAGTACAGTTTGGTGGGATTTGATAAAAATATCAAGAAAATAATCCTTAGCCACAAGTTTTTAGCAGAGAGTATTAACGGCTACTCTGCCCACCGCCACACATCACCGCTGCCTCACCATATTACAGCTTTTGATACGCCGAATCCAAATTCTTATCTAAATCCTTCCGATCACTGGGTAATATTTCTTCCCTTGTTCACCGGCCCCTTCATATTTCTTTTCCCCTTTTCTTGTTCGTTATCAGCTGATGCGCCAGATATTTTTTCTGGGATAAATTACACAGAAATTTTGATAAAGGTTGTTTTTTTGTTAAATCTGCATCTGGGTTTTAGGCAGAATTGAAAAAATAAAATAAAATAAAATGGTGGGTTTCGATTTTTAGCTTATTGATTTTGTTTTGTAGTTGGTGCTGTGCTTGTGGAAAGATTTGGATTTTGTATTTTGAGTGTGTGTTTTGTGTATGTAGATACATAGGGCATAGAGAGATAAAGAGAAGATGAAGATCATGTGCGATGTGTGTGAGAAGGCTCCAGCAACAGTTATCTGCTGCGCGGATGAGGCTGCGCTGTGCGCCACGTGCGATGTTGAAGTTCATGCAGCCAACAAGCTCGCGAGCAAGCACCAGAGATTGCTCCTCAACTGCCTCACGAACAAGCTCCCGCCTTGTGATATTTGCCAGGTATTTTATATCTTTTGTTTTTCTAACTATCGAGTGCTTTGACTGAGGATTAAGACAGTGAGTACCGTGTTGTTTTTTGTTTTGTTTCTCCGTTTTATGCTGAGGGTTTCGGTTGAATGAGCAGAAGCTTTTGATTAATTTAAGAGGAAGTCATTCTGTTGTAACATGAGATAAAGTTGAAAGTTGATTATAAAGATCAATTGAGAGAGGCTAGTTGGTGGATAAGTGGAAAAACATTTAAATGTCTGAAGCACTGATTGAATTGTATTGGCTTGAAAACAATAATAATTGTCCGAGTCATGGAGAATGCTCCCAGAGGTGTTAAGTTTATGTAGTTACTTGGTATGGAGATTGAGATTGTTTAGACAATCCAGGCTGTACTGCTTATGCTCACTCCTGTTTTTTGAGTTATTTAAGGTTCAACTGATCTGAAAGAGTAATGTTGTTTGTGAAAGTTGGGGGATTTTCATGGGTTTTTATTGTTTCTTAAGTAGTTTCTGGATTGGTTATTTTTCAGTTAATTTAGATCAGGATTTTTAGATTCTGATTTACCTTGTGATGTCTCTCTTCAAGTTCTGTGCCGTTATAGTTATTATTTTATCCTGTTTTTATAGTTAAAATCAATGAAGCTGTGGTTTTTATAATTAGATAGTAAATCATGAGGAATGTATCCACCTTACAAGTGGTCCCTTTCTTGAACACAGTTGGGGTGAACATTTTAAGACAAAACAGAATATCAAGGATTATTTTTATTGATTCTTCTAATAATGTCTGTTAGAGTTGGAAAAAGAAAAGTCAATTATTATATTTGTGTATTATTAACTTCAATTCCTTGCTGCTAATGTTGCGAGTGTAGGAAAGAACGGCTTTCATATTCTGTGTTGAGGACAGAGCTCTCTTTTGCAAGGACTGTGATGGGCCAATTCATTCAGCTAATAGCCGTGCTGCTAAGCACCAGCGACTTTTAGCCACTGGAATAAAAGTTGCTTTGGGCAATAATTGCAATTCGGATGAGGTTAACAGCAGCAACGTGAATCCCGAGCCACCTAAGTCAAATTTGCAGCAGAATTTTGGATTGAAAAATGCCTCACACCATGTTTCTAGTGGCATCATGTCACCTTCTTGGGCTGTTGATGATTTGCTCCAATTATCTGATTATGAATCTTCGGACAAGGTATGGTGATGAATAAATAATTGCACTTTATGAATAACATCTTCCAGATTGATTTATGCGTGTGTATGGAAAAACCTCTTTTATTAATTTCTTGTGATCCAAAAGCAGAAAATGAAGTGAAAACTTGCGTTTTAACAATGAGATATTTATTTAGTTGTTGGAATTTTTGTTCAGAAGGGGCAGCTCGAGTTTAATGAGTTGGAGTGGTTGAACGAGATGAATCTCTTTGGCGAACAAATTTCAGGGGAGGCTTTAGCTGCAGCAGAAGTACCTCAACTGCCGTTTACTCAAGCCAACAGCCATAACATGCCTTCACACAAACCACACAAATTATATCCGGCTCACAAAAAGCCGAGGCTCGAAATCCGGGAGGAAGATGATGAAGAGTTCTTCACAGTTCCTGATCTTGGCTGAAATCGTCACCATCTTATGTATGAGAGAGAGACAGCTTTTGGCACTTGAAAACTATAATGACATTTTCATTTTGCACTTGTGAATATAGATGTTTGTACTTTGTAGGAGGTAGTTGTTTGTACCAGGTGAATGATTATGTAATGTCTGCACTTTGCAGTCAGTTTTTTTATCTTTTGTTTCCTGTTATTTTGGTTCGTTCAAATTTTATGAATACATTTGGCTTCAATGGGTATGAATGTTTCTTATGAGAATGTAAAAAGTAAAATGAAAAAAAATAATTCTGGAATCATCTAACATAAATAAATAGAAGAACTGATGCATTTATAATGTATATTAGGTTATGGACTCATTTATTATAAAATTTTATTGGGGTTGTAGCATTATGTATGATGTAAAAAGTTAGACAATAAAAATATTAAAGAAGTTATTAGACACATAGATATTGCAAATTTGTACAATATGTGAAATATATTATGATAATCATTGCAACAATTAAGATGGTCAATGATTTGTAAATAATAGAATATATAGTTCATCTATCTTCCAAATAAATAACACTGAAAAGGGAATGTCGGAGTCTGAACAAAATATTTTTGAGTTTCATGATTGAAGTTGTTACTTCTTAGTATGAATATTTACAATCTCATTAGTGTATTGTGCTTGAACACATGTACAATTACTTTAGAGTACGTTCTTTCATGTAGTTTGTAATAATTCAAAAACTAATTTAATGCATCGGGAGAAGTACATGTAACCAAGATTTTGAAAAAGGCCGACGAGATAGGCGTAGGTGCCAAACTCTATTCTAATATGATACCTTACTCGGGATTATGCACATAACAAAGAAAGAGTTCATTTTCACGAGAAAGAAACCGATGTCTTTCCACGGGTCGCCCTCGTTCCGTCTATTCGTTCTTCTATTAACTTTTATTTAGAGATGAAATTCGTTCTCACCCAATGAACGACGCCTTTATGGGATAGGAATCAATTTGTCTATATGGAGAGAGATAGGGTAATGTCGTAGTTTAGACAACGATAAACAAAAACTATCAGCAATTTTAATGACATGGTTGGTTATTTCATAAAGATATTCATTAACTGTTAATAAAAATATCTTATAAAGATTATATAATCATGAAGTTTGAATGTGTGTTTGGCCAGAATATTTTGAATTAGTTTGAATAAAGTACCAGATGAAGTAAAATTTTTGCAATACTATTAATGTATTAGGCTCCAATGGATATGAATGTTTCTTATAAGAACGTCAAAACCAGAATGAAAGAATGAATTTACTGTTAAATAATGTAACATATATAAATAAAAGAACTAATGCATTTATAATATTCATTAGGTCATTATTTAGTTCTTTAATATTTTTTTTTCATCAGCGACTCATTTTTCGTATTTTTGTTTGGTTGTAAATGTTATTTCATTCTTTTATTAAGACATCATTATGTTACTTTTTTATTAAAAAAAATTACATTAGAAACCCATTTGTTCTATATATTTTTTTTTGTTCCTGCAATGATATGTTTAATAATTAATTAATTTATCTTACTAAACTTAATCTGCCAAAAGCATTTACCACACATGCAATTTATTAGTTTATTAAAAAAGTATGATGTTCAGAACCGTCTAACGATTATGTTGCATTATATAAGAGTTTGTATATGCCTAAATTATCTTGCCATCAGAAAGAGAAAAAAAAAAAAAAATGGAAGCTTGATGTATTCATATGAAACCACATCCTACAAAAACATTCAACTTCACAAAGTGTAAAATGGAAACATTCATCCATTGAGATGTAAAAATTACAGAGCAAAAGGCACACGCTTAGGCTAAAAAAGCTCAAAACTTTGAAAAACTAAAATAAGGACTTAAAATGTGTGTTGTAATTTCCTCTATTTTGCTCCATTGAAGAGGGTAAGAACTTCATCATGTGTGGGAAGAGCTGGAATTGCACCCTTTTTGGTCGTGGTGATGGCTCCACAAGCACATGCATATGTCAATGCTTCCTTCAATCTCGTCTCATCCTGCCATTTAAATTTCATTTATCATAGTCATTATTATTAGTATGTCACACAATTTTTTTCTGTCTAATTTAATATAATATAATTACTCAAGAAAAGGGTAACTTTATAATTTAATATATGTGAAACTTGTTTAACATTGTAAGTAGCTTACGTGGATTAAGGCATGGTCATCAACAATCTTGCCAAGTATGGCTCCTACAAAAGAGTCACCAGCTCCAGTTGTATCTACAGTCTTCACGGGATGCCCACTAATTGATCCCCGGAAATTCTACAACACGCACCACAAAATTACAAAAAAAAAAAAAAAAAATGAAATAAAGGAATATAAAATTAGAGAAAAGTATAATTTTATGCCAATCTAATTGATGGAATAAGGGCCACCTATTATATAACATACACATATTGCATGTCATGGTGGTACCTAGAATAGGATTTAATTGATCTTGATTTTCCTCCAATCCATTATTTGTTCCTTCAAATTTTTTGGTTTTTAATAACTTTTAATAATCTAATCAACTTTTTGAGTGTCCCAAAAGAGAAATGAGAAAGCTTTTCCTAGACTGATAACTGTAGGAGGATAGAAATGTCAAAAGAAAAATCACACGGTGGGGCACATACACAGTCATCACATGATTCACACTTTTCAAGACAACAACAAGCCAGCAAGAAATAATTTGTACACATTACTGAATTTTGAAATCATTATCCTTTTGAAAATGACAAAGCTTCATGGGTTAATATTTCATTAAAGTCACCAACCTCCCTTCAGAAACTGGGTGCTGAGTGGGGCCCAAACCCATTCCAATATAAAACTTCATCTCACTTTGCTGAAATCTAAAGCATGATTTTCATCTATAATATAAAACTAACTTAAGTGTCTCCCCAAATCTAATTACATCCCACATTTGAATACTATGGCTATTGCAACTTAAGAGAGAGAGAGTGAATTCAACTCTAATCCACAGGATTGTTTATATTGTGACACCACAGACCCACTAATACCATTAGGCCTAAACCAACTTTGAATAATAAAATCAAAACAATTTAACCTTTCCAAATTAGTACACATTAATTATTAGTAAATTGTAAAAAAAAAAAAAAAAAGATTACCTTGGTGTAATATTTACAGCCTTTGTCACCAAGAGTGAGTAGGAGGAGCTGTAAGTTGGGGTGCCATAGAGAGAGTGCCGACTCGTCGTCAATCTTGTTGCTCCCGGTTAAAAACTCAAGCTCTACATCGCTGATCTTTATAATATCAGCTTTGTTCCAAATACTCATAATCTGCTCTTTTGCGTACTCTGCAGATGGCCACAATGGCAGACGAAGGTTGGGATCATACGAAAGCAGGGCACCAGCTGCTTTGGCCTCGTCCATTGCCTTCAAATGTGCCGATCTGCATGGCTCCACTATCAAGCTTATTGATCCATAGTGAAATACTTTTGCCTAGTCATTCATACAAATAAAAACCCACCAAATCAGATACAACTTAGTGCAAAATAGTCAATCGAATTATCGGATTATACCGTACCATATGCAATATTATGAGCAATTTCGAGTAATGCAGTTCTGAAAGGAGATTATTAATTTATTATAATGTTATCATGAAAATTTTGAGATAAGCTAAAACATTGTGACCTTATTGTGATGGGAGGTTATAAGTATCACAATTAGAGTCTAATCACAAAAATTCGATTCCCAACAGCATTTGGCTGATAATTTAAGGCACAGGCTAATAAATATTCGAGTATGACTCAGCCCCACAATTGTAACAACTTTTGTCAGATTCTAACGCCACCGTAAGGATGGAGCCCATCTCTTGAACATCAATAGCAATAAATGCACACACAACAAGTCTAGATTCAGATATTTTTCATGAATTAAATAAATTTGGAGGTTATCTATTTCACTCACTAAGCAAGATATTTTGGGGATGGCACACAAGTTTATTTCAAAGAGATATTGCAGAAAAAGAAAGCAAAGATTTTTATGAATGTGTTATGCATCTCTCTCTAGCATGAGTAGAAGTTCCATTTTACTCTGTTTTCTAAACCAGGAGTATTAAATCAAAACATACAGATTGTCATACAAAAAATATTAATCAGACAAGCAAATTAATATCAAACAAACAGGCAGCGATCTTGTACATAAATTAACTGATCGACAAAATCAGATCAGATAACGAAAAACAAGGAAAAATCAACGGTGGTAAATGTATTAGTTCTTATTCTTGAAAAAGATCTAATAATAGTCCATCAAGATTATCTCAGTTGCAACTCGGAACTAACAAACCAAATTTAGTCAATGAACTATTCAAGATTGACAGAACGAATTTTCATTTCACACAAAATAAACGAATCGAAATTGAAGAAAAAAAGTTAAATAAAATATAACTAAAAAGGAAAGTTCAAATCTTGATTTCGTCAGTCAGTATTGGGACCTAAATTAAGATTGAAATTGAAAGAACGAATTTTCATTTCAAACAAAATGAACGAATCGAAATTGAACAAAAAAACATTTGATAAAGTATAACTGAAAAAAGAAAGTTAAAAATCTTGATTTCAGCAATCCGTATTGGGACCTATATTAAGGAGCTAAATCGTTATTATATTATCACAATCTCACCAAAACCAACCAAACTTTGAAATTACAAAGTATCGACCCGAAATTTATACAATGATTCAAAACCAAGGCATATAAAGATTAGAGCGCGTCAGATTCACTCAACTCCCATTGCCACTCCACAACATTTGCAGTAAACCAACCGAAGCACCTAAATAAAACAAAATCCAAAAATCTAAACAGATTGGAATCAAATTCACCCAAAAACACAGAGCACGTCGCGCACAAATCACGTGTTTCCGTACACACAAACGCACTCACATCTGCGTGCAAGCATTCGTGTATGTGTATGATGATGATAACAATCATGAAGATCGCGATACAGAAACTTACAGATCTAATCACTCCCAGATTCAACTCATCAGGGGTGAGAAGCATGTCGGCACTGGGGTTCCTGTAGAACATAAACTCGCGCTCTCCGTCGGCGCGCAGGGTCACGAATGCCAGAGCCGTCCGCGCGCCCTTGTCGAAGTTGACGCCGTCGGCGCAGACGCCGTTATCCTTCAGGATCCCAGCGAGCATGTGACCGAAATCGTCGTCCCCGAGCTTGCCGACGAACGCGGACCTTCCGCCCAGCCTGGCCACGGCTATGGCGACATTGGCCGGAGCGCCGCCGGGCTTCTTAAGGAACCCCGGCGCTTCCGCCAGCGACACGCCGGAGACCGTCGGCACGAAGTCGATCAGCATCTCGCCGAAACTGACTATCAGACCCTTACCGGATCCGCCGTTGCTCACCGCCATCTCCGATGTATAAGCGTACAACAGATTGAAAGGAAAATTTGAAGGAAATTGAAATAATTTTATCTGTATTTTGGGGGAAGAAGTATGAGAGTGCAGTGTGAGAGAGAGAGAAAGGTGATTATATAGAAGCCTACGGATATATGAAATAAATAAATAAGATATATATTAAATAAATAAGATCAAAGTAGAAAATGTTTTATTTAATTGTATATTTTTCGGCTGTGATTCATTTGGGTGGCGATAACGATGGATCATCCACTCAATATTTACGTAACAAAATAAAATAAAAATGCAATTTACTGGATTGTATTTTACTGGCTTATGACGCAAGTAAAGAGTGGATATTTACAACAAACTATTTATTGTTATTATTAATAAATATGGAAAATTGGAAACAACTACTTATTAGAATTTCCTTTGGGGTGGGTTTTCATTTAATTTTGGAATTCAGATTTTTTAAGATTATCAACTTTCTTATATGGATTCTTCTAAAAACTTATTTTATTTTAATGTGGTGGCGAAATTGACTTGGTAGTACCATAGTAGTGTTTCATATATGTATTTTGTATTTGAAATATATAAAGACTGAGTAATCACAAAATATCACATTAGACGTAATAAATCATTTTTAAGAATTTTAAGAAACACGAGATGAATTTCTTAAAAGTTTTTAAATATCCAAATTAAACATTCTTAAAATCACAAAAGATAATAATAAAAATGCTGAAAATACACAAATAAATAATAAATATTTGAATGTATCTTTCCCTACCCATTCAAAGTTTTTCCCTTTGAATATAGTGGATTAGATTATCCAATAAGAATATTTGAATATAATTATTGTTATTTATCTTATGAGTTTTAAGAGGATTACATCTTTTTTTTTTCGTCCTAAATGAATTGGATTATTCAATAATAATATTTAGCATAGAATTGTTCTATATTGTTAATCATCCCATAGTAATAGTAATATTAAGATCTTATTCTAAATGGATTAGATTATCCAATAATAATATGTAGCAAGAATTATTGTGTACTGTTAAGTTTGTTATTTATCCGATATGAGTAAGTCATGAGGTTTACCAAATTTTTAACAATACAAAATTGAACCTACATTAACACGTGGATGTATGACAAAGTCCAAAATTGGAGGATATATGAAAACGCACCGTTTGTAAGACAAACCAACATAAACGCACCGTTTGAAAGACAACTAAATGTATTTTAATTATTATTATTATTATTATTATTATTATTATTATTATTATTATTAGAAGAGTAGTTATTTTAGAAGAATGCATGTTTGACTGTTTAATATATGTGATTGTTTTTTCATAAGTTTATAAAATGTTGTGAAAGCCTTTAAGATTAGATAAAATATTTATATAATATAATTATAAAAACTACATTTTATATATTTACTTTTTTAATATTTTTAATTTTTAACAACCCAAAATTCATGTTTGGTTCCATGAAAATTTAACTCATCAAATTTATTTGTTTTACTTATATTTTTATTGAAGCTTGTATGACATAGTGATGTTGACGAGATTGCATTAGCATATCTCGACAAATATGATCGACTCGTCTCATTAGTGTGAATATTATTCTATTTCTTATTATTATTTATTTTATGTTGTGTTGGACTTGTTGTGTTTGGACTTTTAAATCTAGGTGGTTAGGACTTTGTATTAATTATAAAAACGTATGTGTGGCTGGAGGATCGGGCAGTTGAATTTGAGATTGAAAGAAAATAACGGTTGTGTTCTCTGTACATTCTCTGTACAATTCTTCCCCATCATATGCTTCCATTTGCATCATTTGGTATCAGATTTAGAACGATTCTCGATGCCGCCGCGACGACGAGATGCAGCAACCAAACGGCATGAGGCCGACATCAACGATCGTTTTCAACAAATCGACGATTTGTTTCAATTGATGGATACTCGGTTCAATGATCTGTCGATGGGGATCAATGAAATTCGTCTCTCCCTCAATACTATGATCGGAGAGTGGCAGTTGAACCACGATGGGGGCAGTAACTATCATGGGAGAGGCAGATGTAGGGCCCTGTTAGAATATCACTTGTGAGTTGTCCAACATCCTTTATACATGGAAAATATGCCTAGTTTATAAGTCTAATGGGCTACTCCCCTTTTCACCAATTGATTTTGGGATAGAAACTCGCTTGGGCTTTATCTGGGCTTTCCCTGTTGTTGATACCTAATTTTGGCCTTGTTTATTAAAATATTACAAGTGGATATGTATTAAATCAATTGTTTTATTTTAGGGCCCAAAAATAATACCGTTTGTGATAATATCGGGGCCATTAAACATATATATATATATATATATATATATATATATATCCCTGATGATGGACACAGACAGATAAGTCTGAGGGGCCTTTACTTTTTGTCTCTTCTATCTGAAAGGAGTGAGGCGGTGCCTGAGGGGGGTGGAATCCTTTCTCTCTCCCTGATCCTGAACATGGACACAACTTCTTCTTCTTCCTCATTTTTTTCTTGATTTATTTACACAAAATACACAGGAAATTCAATATATACAAACAATTCTGAATACCTCATGTTGATCAAATTTCGTGCATCAACAGTTTGACGCTAGAAAGAGGGCCTCGTAATTTATTCGAGGTAATTCTTCGACTGACAGACCACCACGAACACCATCAATTCCTATTTTAAAATTCCTAGCCGGTTCCTTTTGTTCTTTCTCGAAAAACATTTCAATAAAAAAAAACAAAGGAAAGAAAAAGAGAGAATCCAGTTCTGTTCATATAGCATATCGGCGAGACGACCGTCCACGAATTACAATCTCCGCTCGGCGGCAACCTTGTGATTCAGTGCCAGTAAAAATTTGGACCACCGCCATAGAAGGCGGTGGGATGGATTAAAAGCGGCCGACAAGCCGGCCAACCTTATCACAAACCGACAGGCCGATCTCGCGAGCCGACCTTGCCAACGTTACTACTTCAGGACCCGACTTCAGTATCGCTGGACCTCCTTAACTCGTAACAGAACCCGAGCAGATTGTGGCCGACCTCGCAGCTGAGCCGAACTCGCCGTTTCAAAGGCTCGATTACATCACTTAGCCGGCCTACCTCAAATCAGAACGTGGCCGACTTCAAAACGCCCCGAAACACCTTGAAACATCTCGAAATAGCTCGAAACTCCCCGAAATAGCACAAAACGCCCTGAACACTTCACTAATCGGGCTTTTCAAGCCCTTTCTCCTAGCTTCTTAGCTCGCATGAGTTACTCTCATGCTCCATGTTCTTCTATCTTGACTTACAGAAAGTCAATCCGGCCGAACTCCAAGCAAGTCGACCGAACTGCACCAACCGGCCGGGACCGACTTAATCACGACTGCGGCCGACCTCCAATTAACTTCACCGAGGTCTGATCTCATTACACCTCGGGCATTACTGACCTCAGCCACCGGGGCCCGACCTCACTGTCGGACCGACCTCGCAAGAGGCTCCCAACCTCAAAACACCGACTTCACTTCTCCGGCCTCGGTACCTTTGCCGATGTCACAGATGGGCCAACATCGTAACAACCGACCTCACTGTCGGGGCCCGACTTCACAATAGCTGATCTTCAAACCGAAACCCGATCTAACCGGGGCCTGACCTCGTCACCTGCCAACGAGCTTCAACACTACAACATACGGCCAACACCAATGGCATCGAGGTTCGACTTCACAGTGGCCGAACTCCTGATCGCAAACCTCAGATCCGCAACGCATCCGCCACGAAGGCTAGATTCTGACCCGCCGCTGTCTATGAAAAGACCGCTGACCATCTCAGCGTCCTTCGAGCGATGCATTCCGGGTCTGAATATCATTTTGTCGATGCCTATTTTGGGTGACAAGCGAAATCCGTCACCTAAAAGCGAGACTCCGCTTTTCGCCAAATTTGTCTATCACAGATCGAGATCGGGAAATCATTCCCTCACCACCATCGGGGTGATTTGAACAAAGCACCTGCCCAGACTGGTGAAATCTCGGCCAAGTTATCAGGCCGCATGCCGGTAGATCTGATGGAATTTTTTGTCATATTTTGCATATGAGAGAGAAACAAGATAAACAGATAAATATAAATGCCGACAAAAATATGTGGGCTAGAAGTATGGGCTTTTAAAGCAGACAATGGAATGGGCCATGAAGGGCGATAAGATGAATTGAAATTGAACTGAAATCCTGGGCTTACTCAAATTAATGTTATGATGGCAAGTCTCAGCCTAGAACTGACTCTGATTTATTCGTGTCTCAATTTATTCACCCCAGCACAATCCAAATCGATTCAAGGATAAAAGGATGAAGAAGTCAAAGTTACGGCAACCATTCGCCTGGGGTCTGATCACTCTGCCGGCAGAATTAATCCGCCAAACCAGCAACCACAATCGGGATGAGCATACCTCTGCTCGGTATACGATTGTTCAAACCCGACTTCAAAGATTACCGACTAGCATATCACGGCTAAATTACGAACAACCTATCGGATTGCCACCAAGAATCAGCCGATCTCCAGAAACACCACGACCGAGCCCAATTTAACCGGACCGATCCATTATTCGCTCGCTTTCTAATCGACTTTCTTAAGCCGGGGCCGAGCTCATTTACCTATATCGGGTTGAATTCACTTATCAATGCCGGGGCCAAGTTCATTTATTGACACTGGGGACGAATTTATTTACTTACGCCGGCATCGAAGTCATTTATTTCTGATGTCGATACATTCTCTCGTCGTTGAGCCTCTACTCTGGCTGAGCCGACGTTAATACATTCTCTCGCCATTGAGCCTCGACTCCGGCTGAGCCGACGTCGATATATTCTCTTGTCGTTGAGCCTCGTCTCTGGCTGAGAGGGCATCTATATTTACCTCGCCGTTGAGCCTCTGCTCCGACTGAGCCCACACTGGTTAGGAAAAGTCAATAAGACCTTTCCGGCTGGAAAAAAATAAAAAATAAAATAAAACTTTACGTCAAGTTCTTCAGCTCGGTAGGGTAGTCTTTACTTTCACCAAGTTCTTCAGCTTGGTAAGGCTGATGCTCATTCGGCTGGGTTTAAGCTTTCATTTACACTAAGTTTTTCAGCTCGGTAAGGCCGACAAACCCGTTCCTTTACCGAGTTTTTCAATTCGGTGGGCCTATTCTTTTACCGAGT